TTTCCCACTGACAGTGGTTTGGACTTATTCGTTCCCTTGGTCGTCTCTGATGACTCACTCGACGGCTGGGTGGTCGTTTTTTTTGCAAAAATCCTGTTTTGTTTGGCTTTGTTGTGTCCTGATACGTCGTACTGACATGTGGCTGGGTGGTCGTCACTTTTGCAAAAACCTTGTGTTTTTTTTTCGGATTTGTTTGCCCATGTCTTGTCCTGATCATCGCTGGAATAGTGGTCGTGACTTGTCCCTTTGACTTGGTGGTTTATTGCGAAAATCTCATTTTTTTCGTCTTTGTTTGGTTTTATTTGGCTCTGTATTGGGCCTAGAATGTGTCACATGATCCCGGGGATATCTCATTTTTTTTTTCGTATTTGTTTGTTTTTATTTGCCTCTATATTATTGCCCGGAATGTGCCACATGTATGTCGTGGGTTGTCGTCCCTTTGACTTGGTGATGATTGTGAAAAACTTGTTTTTTTTTGCATTTGTTTGGCTCCGTTCGACCTTGTATTGTCGTCCCCTTTGACTTGGTGGTCATTGCAAAAATCTCATTTTTTTTCGTGTTTGTTTGGCTTTATTTGGTTCTGTATCGTTGCCCGGGACGTGTCACATGATCCCGGGGATATGTCCTAGTTGTCGTCCCTTTGACTTGGTGGTTATCGCGAAAATCTCATTTTTTTGTCTTTGTTTGGCTCTGTATTGTTGCCTGGTTTGTGCCACATGATCCCGGGCTTATATCCTGATTCGGTCGTGGGAATAGCTTCCCATATACGTCTGTCATGTGACCATTATACGGTCGCGAGGTTCTGCTGTCTGAACTTTCCCTGTCTGAACCGTCTGAACCTTTGAGTACGAGTGGTAATCCAAGGATCTAATAGCTAGGTCCATTTGAAATCATGATCTCAATCGGACAGTTCGAGTGTGACAAATAGTCCATTTGAAACCATGATCTCAATCGGACCTTTTGGCACTCAGACTGTTCATTTGAGATCATGAGTGTAATTGGACTTTTGGTACTAGTTAAATGGTGAAAACCTCTAATATATATCTTTTTTTTTGACCAGAAGTAAAGACTGACACATATCTTACCCTCACATATTTAGAAAATCATGGTACAATCCGAGGATCTAATAGCTAGGTTGCGGACAGGTTGCGGATATGACTAATAGGTTGCGGATGCTTGCAACTACCATATAAGGAAGTTGCGGATACCAGGATGGGGCGTCCTGGTAAAAGTAGATTATTAAAGTGACTTGACTTGGTGATTGATTGCGAAGACCTCGTCTTTTTTGTCTTCGTTTGTCCTTATTTTGCTTTGTATTATTGCCCAGAATGTCTCGCATGATCCCGGGGATATGTCCTATATCGGTCGGTCGTGGGTGGTTGTCCTTTTGACTTGGTGGTGATTGCGAAAATCTTGTTTTCTTTTGGCCTTTGTCTTGCTTTATTTGGTGTGGGACCTACCCTTAACCTGCTAACCTGGCCCCCCAACCCCCCAAGGGGGGCTTTGTCTCTACGTTCCCATGACACTGAGTTAACGAGCCTTTGATCAACTTCCCCCCGGTTTTTTTGTCAAAGTCCTGTTTTTTTTTGCCTTGATTCGTGTCCTATAAACCCGAGCTTTGTTGACACTGATCCCGGGCTTGGACGGGATATACTCGTTATTTTTTCGGATTTATTGACCGCTCTATTCGTTTGTATTTCCTATCACAAGTCTTGTATCTTGAGACTGACAATTTTCGCGTTTTTTGACTCGTTTTGTGTTTGTAAACTTGTCTCAGACTGGTGGGAACGTTTGGTCTCGTCATCTTTCCCACTGACAGTGGTTTGGACTTATTCGTTCCCTTGGTCGTCTCTGATGACTCACTCGACGGCTGGGTGGTCGTTTTTTTTGCAAAAATCCTGTTTTGTTTGGCTTTGTTGTGTCCTGATACGTCGTACTGACATGTGGCTGGGTGGTCGTCACTTTTGCAAAAACCTTGTGTTTTTTTTTCGGATTTGTTTGCCCATGTCTTGTCCTGATCATCGCTGGAGTAGTGGTCGTGACTTGTCCCTTTGACTTGGTGGTTTATTGCGAAAATCTCATTTTTTTCGTCTTTGTTTGGTTTTATTTGGCTCTGTATTGGGCCTAGAATGTGTCACATGATCCCGGGGATATCTCATTTTTTTTTTCGTATTTGTTTGTTTTTATTTGCCTCTATATTATTGCCCGGAATGTGCCACATGTATGTCGTGGGTTGTCGTCCCTTTGACTTGGTGATGATTGTGAAAAACTTGTTTTTTTTTGCATTTGTTTGGCTCCGTTCGACCTTGTATTGTCGTCCCCTTTGACTTGGTGGTCATTGCAAAAATCTCATTTTTTTTCGTGTTTGTTTGGCTTTATTTGGTTCTGTATCGTTGCCCGGGACGTGTCACATGATCCCGGGGATATGTCCTAGTTGTCGTCCCTTTGACTTGGTGGTTATCGCGAAAATCTCATTTTTTTGTCTTTGTTTGGCTCTGTATTGTTGCCTGGTTTGTGCCACATGATCCCGGGCTTATATCCTGATTCGGTCGTGGGAATAGCTTCCCATATACGTCTGTCATGTGACCATTATACGGTCGCGAGGTTCTGCTGTCTGAACTTTCCCTGTCTGAACCGTCTGAACCTTTGAGTACGAGTGGTAATCCAAGGATCTAATAGCTAGGTCCATTTGAAATCATGATCTCAATCGGACAGTTCGAGTGTGACAAATAGTCCATTTGAAACCATGATCTCAATCGGACCTTTTGGCACTCAGACTGTTCATTTGAGATCATGAGTGTAATTGGACTTTTGGTACTAGTTAAATGGTGAAAACCTCTAATATATATCTTTTTTTTTGACCAGAAGTAAAGACTGACACATATCTTACCCTCACATATTTAGAAAATCATGGTACAATCCGAGGATCTAATAGCTAGGTTGCGGACAGGTTGCGGATATGACTAATAGGTTGCGGATGCTTGCAACTACCATATAAGGAAGTTGCGGATACCAGGATGGGGCGTCCTGGTAAAAGTAGATTATTAAAGTGACTTGACTTGGTGATTGATTGCGAAGACCTCGTCTTTTTTGTCTTCGTTTGTCCTTATTTTGCTTTGTATTATTGCCCAGAATGTCTCGCATGATCCCGGGGATATGTCCTATATCGGTCGGTCGTGGGTGGTTGTCCTTTTGACTTGGTGGTGATTGCGAAAATCTTGTTTTCTTTTGGCCTTTGTCTTGCTTTATTTGGTGTGGGACCTACCCTTAACCTGCTAACCTGGCCCCCCAACCCCCCAAGGGGGGCTTTGTCTCTACGTTCCCATGACACTGAGTTAACGAGCCTTTGATCAACTTCCCCCCGGTTTTTTTGTCAAAGTCCTGTTTTTTTTTGCCTTGATTCGTGTCCTATAAACCCGAGCTTTGTTGACACTGATCCCGGGCTTGGACGGGATATACTCGTTATTTTTTCGGATTTATTGACCGCTCTATTCGTTTGTATTTCCTATCACAAGTCTTGTATCTTGAGACTGACAATTTTCGCGTTTTTTGACTCGTTTTGTGTTTGTAAACTTGTCTCAGACTGGTGGGAACGTTTGGTCTCGTCATCTTTCCCACTGACAGTGGTTTGGACTTATTCGTTCCCTTGGTCGTCTCTGATGACTCACTCGACGGCTGGGTGGTCGTTTTTTTTGCAAAAATCCTGTTTTGTTTGGCTTTGTTGTGTCCTGATACGTCGTACTGACATGTGGCTGGGTGGTCGTCACTTTTGCAAAAACCTTGTGTTTTTTTTTCGGATTTGTTTGCCCATGTCTTGTCCTGATCATCGCTGGAGTAGTGGTCGTGACTTGTCCCTTTGACTTGGTGGTTTATTGCGAAAATCTCATTTTTTTCGTCTTTGTTTGGTTTTATTTGGCTCTGTATTGGGCCTAGAATGTGTCACATGATCCCGGGGATATCTCATTTTTTTTTTCGTATTTGTTTGTTTTTATTTGCCTCTATATTATTGCCCGGAATGTGCCACATGTATGTCGTGGGTTGTCGTCCCTTTGACTTGGTGATGATTGTGAAAAACTTGTTTTTTTTTGCATTTGTTTGGCTCCGTTCGACCTTGTATTGTCGTCCCCTTTGACTTGGTGGTCATTGCAAAAATCTCATTTTTTTTCGTGTTTGTTTGGCTTTATTTGGTTCTGTATCGTTGCCCGGGACGTGTCACATGATCCCGGGGATATGTCCTAGTTGTCGTCCCTTTGACTTGGTGGTTATCGCGAAAATCTCATTTTTTTGTCTTTGTTTGGCTCTGTATTGTTGCCTGGTTTGTGCCACATGATCCCGGGCTTATATCCTGATTCGGTCGTGGGAATAGCTTCCCATATACGTCTGTCATGTGACCATTATACGGTCGCGAGGTTCTGCTGTCTGAACTTTCCCTGTCTGAACCGTCTGAACCTTTGAGTACGAGTGGTAATCCAAGGATCTAATAGCTAGGTCCATTTGAAATCATGATCTCAATCGGACAGTTCGAGTGTGACAAATAGTCCATTTGAAACCATGATCTCAATCGGACCTTTTGGCACTCAGACTGTTCATTTGAGATCATGAGTGTAATTGGACTTTTGGTACTAGTTAAATGGTGAAAACCTCTAATATATATCTTTTTTTTTGACCAGAAGTAAAGACTGACACATATCTTACCCTCACATATTTAGAAAATCATGGTACAATCCGAGGATCTAATAGCTAGGTTGCGGACAGGTTGCGGATATGACTAATAGGTTGCGGATGCTTGCAACTACCATATAAGGAAGTTGCGGATACCAGGATGGGGCGTCCTGGTAAAAGTAGATTATTAAAGTGACTTGACTTGGTGATTGATTGCGAAGACCTCGTCTTTTTTGTCTTCGTTTGTCCTTATTTTGCTTTGTATTATTGCCCAGAATGTCTCGCATGATCCCGGGGATATGTCCTATATCGGTCGGTCGTGGGTGGTTGTCCTTTTGACTTGGTGGTGATTGCGAAAACTTGTGTCTGAAGCCATGTGTGCCACATAACGCTGAGAGTAAAATGGCACGCTGGTTTTCGATAACCATTGAATGACCATGTCGAGATTTTTGTAAAGCTTCGCCTGGTTTTCTATGAAACTTTCAGTCAGCCTCATGTCTTATGTGATCGTTGGCTGGTTGGATAAAGAGTCAACGTGTCTGATGCATTAGAGCTATCATAGCAGATCACTGACTTCATCTTCTGAACTATAGCCTAGTCTGGTTTGCATGATCGTCTCAACCATGTTCATGATACTGCGTCTCATCACAGTAGCATTCTCCGCCTTTGGGCCTAGAAACCATGCGCCGATACCGTCTCTTCGTGCTCGAAACGAACGCATGCCAGCAGAAGAACCTGAGTCGGAAGAAACGTGGTGTGAGGCTAATACGTTACAACTGAATGACCTGGGTATACTTTGAGCAACATAGTAGACGTGCTGGGCCGCCTATTTGAATATTTCGGTACAGTGGGAAGAGGATCCGCTTTTCGGTTCCAGGAAGAGTTAGGACGTATTCGGGCACAACTAGGACATAGGAATTGGAGTTATAGAAGACATAGTCCAGTGGTGAAACTTGGCTGTATGTGTGCCATGACCGAGTAACCATTCGGAGCTCGAGTATCACTCGAGTATTGTTGTCCGTCACATTATGTCCAGTCTGAATTGCAGGCAGGATCCAAGCTTAGAAGAGTTGGTACGACTTGAAAAGCTTGAACACTTATGTAACATTTTGTTTCTGAAAATTTGTTCCGAACAACCTGAGTGAAAACCAATATTCAATGTTCGTCGAAATTCAAGCTACCTCGTTTCGCGTAAATATATCGGCCTAGCTCCAGCCAGGCTCCTCAAATCATCTTCGTGTGTATATCTACTAGAAAGTGTCTCACCAAATTGCAGTTTATTGCGTTAACCGCACGTCACGCACCGCGTGTCACTCGAGTGTCGCCGTCACTCGTTACGCATCCGAGTCCTTTCCCATTCAAGTTGTTGGATGACGCACTCGCAATAGAAACTGGCCAGACTCGTCACTCTGTCCCTTTTGAATTCAAAACCAAAGGATCAACCTGGACGTGAAGGTTCAAAAAATTGAAGCCATCTCCATGCTCTCTTTGTAAGTAAAATGCAGGTTGTACAAAGCACAACAAGACAGGGGAAGGAAAGAATATGTCACGTACCATACTTGCTTATTGATGACCGTTGAACCAAATGTACGTTTTTAAAACATGACACCGGTGACATACAATCCGTTTGCTAGCTTAACTACCTGTGATGGTATCGAATCGTCGAATCGTCGCGCCTAGGATCAACAGTGCATATGCTAGTCTAGGCACGAAGTTGATATAAAATTTGTGGTCGCAACATTTTGATAGGGTGAATTAACCTTGAAATATTGGCAAAAATTGAAACATAGAACTCTGGATTATGTCACTCCTCGGTGAATCGTCAGGACTCAATTTCTGGTTGTATTTGACGCTCTCAATATGGCCCGTTCCTCGCCTAGAGCCTTGATTTCCTTCGAGGAAATGGGTATAAATGGCCATGTAAACCAGTTACCTCCACTGCGCAGGATGGGAAGACCCATGTCTTCTAGGAGATCGTCCGACGCTTGTGCATAGCTGATCCATGAACAATTAATGAGACAGAGAATATATAATAAATCAGCCAAAAGGATGCGTACTCGAAAAAATTAAGCCCACTGCTGTAGCTCTCGTTCACCCATTTTAACATACCCGGATTCCGAATATTGACCCATCTCGCGACTCGTTCTGTCTCCACGAGCGCATCTTCCGGGGAGGAAGGGAGACGGAGAAAGGGATCAGATAGGAGATACGACGATATCCAGTGGGAGGACACTTCAAAAATGTGAGCTGGACTCGTGGTGAACTAAGACAGGTGGTCGACATCAATATTAGTTCGAGATGTGATAAAACAAAGACTACCTACCACTGCACCATTGATAGCAAAATCACGTCGTTGGATATTGCGAGCTGGAACAAGACCTCGATAAATTGACGACATCCACTGTCCTTGATTACCCAAAGGCAATTGCGGAGGATTCTGCAGCGTCTTATAAAACTGCCATTCCGACTCCTTAATACCCACATCGCTCAAACAATCATTTCGAACTCGTTCAAGGCCGAAATCACGGAGTATCTCTTCTAAAAGCAACCGTTAGATGAATGTACAAATCATGACATAACAAAATATCATACCGTCAAATATCCCTTTCCAAGAAGAAGTGTAACCGGTTGAAAGCACAACCACATCAGCTCTCACAGAGCTTCCGTCCCGTAGAACGACTGAGTGTCCATCCGGTCCAAAACTAGATACGCGATTAGAAGCGACTAGCTGAATTTTACCCGCATTAACAAGTGCATGAAAACCATTTGATCGAGGGGAGCCTTCGTCATTGGTTCGAATGCCCCAGAAGAGCGAGTGGGATGTGAGTAGAGGAGAAGTACTGGGTATCGAAAGGAATTTTCCCTTTTAGAAGGATAATGAGTCGCTGCAAACGCAGGAGGAGTGGGGTCATACTGAAGCCCAACTGAGTGTGTCCCAAAAACCAGAAACGATTTTACTACCTAACCAGGTAGTATGTAAAAATTTTCTGCAATTAATATTGATCAATTGCGATAGTTCACATCTAAAAAAATATATGGATACCGACTCTAATGCAGTCCTCAGATGAATATGTGTTGCCATGAGACCGAGGAGCCTACATAGTGAAGATACTGATAGTTTAGAAGAAACACCAAATATCAGCGTAGAAACCTGCCTGCTCTTGCGAATGAAGTGGGGAAGAGGGATAGGCGCGGCTATGATTCCATCTGCAGTCTCGAATGCGATCGAAACTTTCCGGCCCTCGTTCGCCAAGTACGCAGCGATACTACAAATCTCAATAAGTGTGCGGTACTACCATTCGAATCGGAGCCGCACATACTCTTGGGCTGACTTTCCGCCTCCGACCACTACTACGTGACCTGGGTTGGGATCATCTATAGGCTTGACTGCAGAGATGATGTCGTCCAGTCGAGAAGCGAATTCGAACGAGTGAACCACTTGACCAACAAAACCCGCCTTCTGGGCGGCTGCGCTTGAAAGTTCGGGGGGTATTCGTGGTAGACTGCATCCCTTCACAATAAGATGAGACCACAGACCCAACACTACAATGCCTGCAATGCAGATCTCACTCCTGAACAAAGGACGACGATATCATAGAACAACTGCTCCGCCGTTCCATCACTGTTCTGCACCGAAATGGCCCATCCCTTAACAGCTTCTTGGTTGTTACCTTGGTCCCATCGATGGATGTTAACAACTTGCGTATTGAATCGAATCTTGCCATTGAGGAAACGATCTGCGAAAGCTTCCATGTACTGGCGCATCTCCGTACCTGAAGGACGTTCCTTGATACGTTGCAGATGCATAGGCATCGCCGAGAATTCGTATTCCCCATTGACGCTGGAACATTGATTTTTTGTTCAGTATCATGATCTTTCCAGCTGTCTGTTCACACGCGCAGTGCTCACTTGTTTGTATACAGCCCCGGGTAAACTCTATCAGCTGCCCACACTCCTCCAGCAGTGCGGTCTTTCGAAAGGATCTCAACAGCAAACCCATCGTCGAGGAGCGTCTTCGCAGTGATCAAACCTGCGGCACCAGAGCCCACAACACAAACTGTTTTCGCCGCCATAGGACAAACGGTGGGGGAAAAAATGAAATGAAAACATGTCCAATGATTACCGATTACATACTAGTGGGTCACGGGAGATCTGGTGCAGGGATGGTATTCGTTTTCTTCAACTTCGGAACCTTGTGGTGGCTGAGAAAGGGGTGTGAAAACTACCTTGGTCTTGCGCACACGGGTGTGCCCTTCAGAGTTGTTCAACCATTAATATCTTCAAGGATACTACGGTCGCGTTTGATGCTTTTAACGTGAGCCACAGCCAGTCCTTACCTTCAAATTCCCAGCTGAGTGTTGTTGTATCCAAGCTTCATCAATGTCTACAGCGTTGGGTAAAAAATTCTTTTGCTCAAATACATACGTACTATACAGTCAACAATGTGCCCTGGATTTTACACAATATCAACGCCATGACTTCAGCGGTAGCATAATTGCTCCGAGAAGCAAGGTTGGGATTAATGAATGTCAATGTTGTACAATTACTTACCGAACTGGCGTGAAGCTGAGGCTGGTCTGCACCATCACCAATGGCCCCTACCAGACTCCTGACAAAAAGCCACTCTTCTGTTGTGCTCTTTCGAATTTTTTTTTCGCGACTGACGCCAGTGCAAAACCCTTGCAAAGCCCTCACAATGACTCAGACGCATTTTCTTACACATCTGATCCTACCATCTCTGTCATCTCATAGTCCATCGGAACGTCCTTCCTCTCCAACCATGCCGCATCTTCGCTTCCCAGATCTACACCTTTCCCGCAGTCCAACCTTCTCCGCGCTGGCAACTCTCGCAGATCGACGACAGGACACCCGATGGTCGAACAGCTTCTGGCGATGACGTAATGCTCTCCGTGCCAGCCCATGAAGTCGAGCGAGGGTGCGGCAACGGCCACGCTTTGTGCACTTGATATCCAGATGTCAGTTTGGACACGGAAATCTTTTTCGGATAGGAGATTTGGTTGTGGTCGACGTATAGAGAGATCGCGAAGGTGGAGGAAAGACAGAGAAGGGAAGATGCTGAAGAATGATGTGAACTCGTTCTTTTGGGCGTAAAGTGGTCAGTGAAGAGATGCGAATGATATAAAAGAACGTACGATGGGTTTTGCAGAGCGATGCGCGGTTATGTGTATGGCTACCATCTGTTTTGGGATAGCTTTCGCAAGTAATCTAACATTATCCTGATTTAACTCCGAAAACTGTACTCGTAGCACACGCAGGCCCGTCAGCTCTGGCAACACATCCATAACAAACCTCCACGGACAACATCCAAGGTCCAACTTCCTTATCCTCTTTCTGCGGCGCAAGAAGTGTACCACAGCTTCAAATAGTTCGTAGTCATCGTCGTGGTCCACGAGAACCAGCCGGAAATTTTCCAGATACGGCAAGAACGTATGCTTTTCGTCGATTATGTGATCACTACTAAACATCACAGACGCCGAGCTCGTCTGTTCAAACGTCCCGTGGAGAGTTAGACCCCGGAGATTGTGTGCGTGGGCAATGCGTGCTAGGACGACGGACGATATTCGTGTGTCCACGAGGTCTAGTTGGGTGAGGTTTTTGATAGTTGACGACTGGAACGCATTATCCCAAGAGTGATCGCGTTTGAGGTATGCCCCGAGGCAGAGATGGCGTAGACCATCATTCCTGTCTAAGACTGTTCGTACTTCACCAATGTCGGCAAAACCGTCGTCGTCCTCGGCGCGAAGAGTGAATTTGTACAAGTTGCGAAAGGCAGAAACGCCTTCGGCATCGAAGTGCCATCCCCTATGGTGTATGTGAGGATATGAAAGAGGATAGTGACTGAAAGGGGTACTGACATCAAGCCTAGACAACGGATATGTGGATGGCTGGCAAGCAACGATGAGACCATGTCTGCTCGCATTTCTGGGTAGCCTATCCACTCGAACTCGCGGAGGGCCTTGAACTCCGGCAATGCAGCACGGAACATGCCTGACAAAGGTCAGAAATTATGTTTAGACGTAGGTACGGATAAACACACGAGAGACCAATTCCAAAGGCTCCCCTTCCTCATAAGACCAATGTATCCTCAGAACCTTGACGCGATTGGCAAATACAGGGTCACTTCTTACACGATCAAGAATGTCGAGGCCTCTATGTAAACCTTCTAGATCTTCGCCAAAGTATAAATCCAAGGTGCGAAATATAAGCCGGGTGGCGATATCCCGAAGAAACGAAGAAACGAAGAGCCAGGTACGGAGGTGGTAGCGAGGGATGTAGCGGGCGATGCGTTCCCAAATTTCTGGTGGGGCACGACGAGAAGCGACGTCGTTTGAAAAGTGAATCTGAAGCGCCATTGAGCAATAGTCCGTTATTACTGGGGGGATAGAGAAGAAAGAAGACACACGAGTTTATCTCTGCGTACAACTGACTGCAGTTCGCGATTTGAGGGATCGAGAAGGGAAGCGGATTGATAGTCTGCAAAAGTATAGTGAATACTAAATGACGAGTGATGTGGAACACAATGAGATGATGGCATGTTCATGACTCAGATTCTTAGTGGTACGACGATAGCAGAGATCAGAGGATTATGAAAGGGATAGATACCTTGGTGAGACTTGCCGAGTAGACACTGACCAGCAGCTCTGCGTGCGTTGCCCCTTGCGATGAGGGCTCTTGCGGCGTCATGGTGGGGTAGACGAGGAGTGCGAAGATAGACGTCTAGATAGTTTTCGACCTTTGGGCCATAGCTGTGGATGATGGGTGATGTGAGATGGTTTATTTTAGTGAAGTAAGTGAGAACGAACTGTCCGGCGCCGATAAGGGCAATAGAAGTATCCAAGAGGAAATTTGCTTTGCTGTTGGGGGGCAAGGAGCACAGGGCATCGATTGCAGCGAGAGTGAGTTCATCCAGCGAACTCGGATCTGCAATCCTCGTCTGCGGGTCTGAGCAGGTCATTGTGAGCAAAACATGAATCTAACGTTCCATCCAGAAAAGAACAGCGAATTTGATTGCTCGTCAATTACAATTTCAAATTCACCCCTCTCCTCGGTCCGTTCCCGCGGCTTTCTGCGATGATGTAATCCGTAATTCACTTGCCTCTCACCTCTCGCTGGGAGAAACTATACTCCTGCACTTAGTATACCGACTCACAGATGGCGTGCTCTACTTCTCAGCACCTAATCTCGTCCGTATATATATCCCACCCATGGCTGCAGAGACCCACCACCCCGCCATGTTCATCCCCAAATCCACCCGTGAATACCGCAGCCAGGTCTCTGTTTGAATTCATCTAATCCAAGCCCTCACTAACCAGGTTTTTGCTTAGGGCGACGAGTACAAGAACTTGAAGCTGCAGGAGTCTCCTCTTACTCCGCCAAAAGCTACAGAAGTCTTGCTCAAGGTTCATGCCGTCTCGTTGCAGGTATGTACCGCCTAGACATTGCTCACCCTAATGGCTAAACATACTCGTTATCGTAGTACCGTGACCTTATGGTTTCCAAGGGTCGTTATCCCCAGTAAGCCTTTCACTCCATTGTAATACTGGTTTCTTACCACGATTTGGTAAATAGCCAAAAGAAAAATGTCGTCCCTTGCTCCGACATGGCTGGTGAAATAATCGCAGTAGGCCAGGACGTTAAGGACTACAAAGTCGGTGATCGTGTATGCCCAAACTTTGCCCTCGACCATATCCACGGAGACCCCACAAAAGAGACTCAGGCCACAGGTCTCGGCGGCCCTATCGATGGTGTCTTAAAAGAGTACATCAATGTACCCGCTCATGTAGGTCATCATTTCCTCTAGTTCGTCACATAATCTAACTCGTCGCTCTCTAGTCGCTCGTACGTGTTCCGGAGCACCTATCATATGAAGAAGCTTCGACTTTGCCGTGTGTTTTATTTCAATGTGCCTCTTATTTCCCGCTTACAATCACCCTAGGTGTGCCGCGTTGACAGCATACAACGCTCTTATGGGCCCAGTGCCCCTCAAAGGGGGCGATTATGTTCTCGTACTCGGCACTGGGGGTGTCTCAATGTAAGGCTTATTCATATCTCGACGTTTTCCATCTCCGACTCACTGGACTCTGTTCTTAGTTTTGGTCTCCAGCTAGCGATTGCTTCCGGAGCTACCGTGATTGCCACCTCTTCGTCAGACGAGAAGCTCAAGATAGCTAGCAAACTCGGAGCCAAACACATCATCAATTACAACAAAAATCCAAACTGGGACGACGAAATACTCGAAATTGTATGTTTCGTTCTATTACATACATCTTGAGAAATGTATTCATGAGTATTCAAGACTGAAGGCAGAGGTGTGGACCACGTTATCGAGGTAGTCATCTCTTGTGCCTTTCGAGGCTAATCACTCACCCTTTTTTATTTCAGGTTGGCGGTCCTGGGACAATTGGAAAATGCGCCAAAGCGACCAAATACGCCGGATACATTAACATCATTGGATTTGTCGCACAGGTGGAATTCTTTCTCGCTCATTATTCGTGCAACGGGCTCTGACATGATTCTTATTCAAGGGCAGTGAAGGTATCGACATTCGAAGCGCAATTGGCAAAGCTCTCATCTATCGCGGAATCCAGATCGGGTCTGTCAACCAGTGAGTTTGGCTTAGATCACGACCTCTTTTAAAGTGTTGAGTATACTTATCACCTTCTGCGTAGATTTGAAGATATGAACCGCCTCATCAAGGCTCATCAGATCCATCCTGTCGTTGACAAGGTGTTCTCGTTTGAGCAAGCTATTGATGCATATGCCTATCTCGAGTCTCAGAAGCATGTAGGAAAAATCGTCATTAGTGTATCGAAGACTTGAGTCGGGTGTGTCGGAGGAGAAAGAGACTGTTTTCTGCATGAATATTTAGTCAATATATGGTAAATGTATTCTAGTTTGTATTCTTAAGACTGTCTGATTTCAATTAGTCTTGTCAATCGCAAAATTTTGGACCGTTCCTTCTAGCGAGGTATTAGATTGAAGAGGCCTACGCCATTCCAGTACGATTTGATTCAGGTTGCGCTAAGGAAATTCTGCACACGGACTTGGATCATCTCATTCAAGTTTTTATCTCCCTTGCTTTCGCCGAGTACTCATCAATCAAGCGTCACCTCGACATCACGTTACTTATAGCTTGTAAGGTTGCCATACTAGTGCAGTACGCCAAGCTACGAAGCTCAAAAGCTGTGATAGTTAGCCTCCCTTGGATGGATCTGAGACTTTGGAGGCCATGTGAGCTATTCTCGCCACCTGTGAATCCCATGTAACACTTCTAACGAGTTCCAACCCGTGGCTCTGCCACTGTGGTGCGATGTTTTTGCTATATGATAATCAATAATAATAATAATAATAATACAGTTAAGTGATAAAAATGTTAAGTCAGTGAACTTGTGCTGTCTGTAAAGTATGTTAAGTCTTTGAATCGTATGATGCATGTTTGACTTGCTGTTCAGTCGATGAATGGTCTTATAAGCCTGCCCTAAACTTGTGCACAGTACTGTAGAGTTGGTCACACTTAGGTTCACATGTTCGGAGATGCATGTGACTGGTGACGAACATCTGTTTACACAGCCCGAGAGTCCAAGCATCGAATTAATATATACCGAAAGATGCCGACTGGACCAGCCTGTCAAGATTTGAAAGCTCTCGACACAAGCCAGGTGCAATAAAGTTCTGTAACATCTGATTAGTATCAGGGATCCATGGTAGTCACTTTGGGTAATTGTGTGCCACATTTTTATTGTCTGGGAAGGCTTCTATATAATAGTAGACTATAATACAAGACTAATGAGCCCTTTTCTGTAAAGATTGGTGGTTCCAATCATGAGATATTTGCATTACAAGTTTTGCATAATGCCTATGCCTATATATGGCAATTGTCACTTCCGACATGGACTTTAGGAACTAATGTCTCATATGGGCCATATTGGAATGGGAAATGATACACAGAGGATCATTCAGACAATACCAAAATTAAGTTACCCCAACCAAGAGGGGAGGGGGGGCACCTCACATGGAATTTGTAAATCAACGCAAATATAAATATATATAATAGCAAGACGGGGAAATCGATTCCAGGACAATAACATAAGTTGTTTACTAGAAATATTCAATATAAGGGGGTGCTGACAAGCACATCACACTGAGTGTGCACATTTTGCTGCACTGCTTAGGTGGCTAGCTATTAGATTATTCGATTATGACTCGTACTTGAAGGTTCAGATGGTTCAGACGGTTCAGACGGGCGGTTCAGACACCGGGTTCAGACGAAAGGGCTCAGATGGGCGGTTCAGACAGTGGAACTGTCTCCAAGGAGGTTCAGACAGGCAGTTCAGACAGCGGAACTGTCTCCAAGGAGGTTCAGACAGTTCAGACGGACAGTTCAGACACCGGGTTCAGACACAAGGGTTTAGACGGGCGGTTATGAGACATCGTAGGTTGGTTCAGACCCATTCCTAGGGTTGGAATTTACCCAAATTATCATGCTTTGAGTGCATGGATATACATATACATTCATGCAAACAGTTGCCCACTGTCATGGGAGCAAGGCATGTAAAGGGGCTTCTTGGACGCCCCAAACTGCACTCGTGGTATGCCGCAAGATGCAAAACCATGCGGGCTGTATATAGGCGTCCAGGATGCCTGGATTGCGCTTCTCTGACATTGCCACTCTATCATGTTGTTTGGCGCAGATGGGCGTCGAAGACGCCCCAATCTCCATACTGACAATTTGCAAAAATAGATCATCGGACAATATGAGCAATAAATCTGTTTGCATTGCTTGCAGACAGGTGGGAATTGCTTTGGGCGTTGAGGATGCCTGTCATTGCAACACAAGCTTTATTCACTGTATCATCTATGCTCGTTCAAGCGAGACTCAAGCCCTTTGCTTTGCTAAGCGCCCTAAGTCTCTGGACCCTCCTATGGTCAGGAACACCCAACAATGTGGTCACATGATGTTGGTTTTTGTGACAAGGTAGATAATGAAATGCTTTGGACAAGTGGTAGCTAGGGGAATAATAGGTTGTCTAGGACAAACAAAATGCAGTTGGTAGCTTAGCGCCGTGATGCCTGTGCGGCTCTGGGGCGTCGCGGAAGCTTGTAAAGTGCTGATGAACACTTTAACGCTTAAACAAGCAATGCCAAAGCCCTGTGCCACTGTGGGCGTCCTGAAAGCCCGGAACGTATACAGTGGTGCTTTGTCAAACTAACAAATAAAGATTTGCACAGTGAGTCTCACGTAGTGCCATGGGTGGGCGTCCCGGAAGCCCACAAAGCACTTGTTCCACGCGCTTTGATCTCTGTTGGGTGGCAAGTAAATATTTTGTATGGGTAAACCCAAAATATACCACAATAACACTTTACAAAGGGATTTTCAGTGTCATGCCACGGGTGAGTGTCCGGGAAGCCCACAAAGCCCTTGTTTCACCCGCTTTGATCTCTGTTGGGTGGCAAGTAAATATTTTGATTGTGTGAACCCAAAATATACCACAATAATGCTTTACAAAGGGATTCTCAGTGTTGTGCCACGGGTGGGCGTCCGGGAAGCCCACAAAGCGCTTACTTACCCGCTTTGATCTATGTTGCTTGCTGAGCAGGTAATTGCTTTGTTAATATTCCAGTGTCCATCGAATGGTACGATAATAAATGAGACATTACATTGCTTTAGTTGCCTTGAGGTATCACGGTGTCAGGATAATATCCTTGTGTATGTGGTCAAAGGGGTCGGACTTTAAAACGCTGAATAAATTGAGTCTGTGAAAGTGCTGTTCCCCCAAACTCACCCATTCCATTTTACCTCATACTGAATACATTGAGACAACCATGCCCTCCTTCACCATTGCGGGTGCGCTGCTTGCTCTCGCCAATCCCGACAATGATCCTTGAGGCTGGGGTCGTTGGCAAGCGATTACCGGCTACCCCACCGCACCCTGGCTCGTAGAAGATGGCGCTCAAAATATTGTCCATTGGAGCGTCCAAATGCGTGAAGTGATTTCATCATTTGTGGCGTCATTCTTTGCAGCACCGGCAAGCAAAAAGCTTCGAGTCACTCAGCGCAAATCGGACGCACATGTAGAAGGCCGCACAGCTTGGACGTCCTTTGTCAGCGCAAACTGGAAGTCTGTTTGGAAGGCTCAAGATATCATTGACGCGACGTTGAAGGAGCAATCCTGTGGCCCTTACAAGGCAATGGGCCGGAGGAAATCCCGCAATGTAAGTCTTGCGAATGTCAAGAGAGTGCTATTGATGATTCCACACGCTCACACTCAAACCACTCCTTTAGCTTCCGACTTTAGAAAGAGCTCAGGTTCACAAGGCTTATCCATTCCTCGCATACGCACTCTTTGGTGAAGACAGTGCCGCCAATGCCACTGCGACGTTCCTCAAAGACAATGTTCAAGACTTCCTCGAGCGGATCATGGCATGCATGTGGAACCGATACTGGAAAAATTTAAATCGCGAGCGGGTCAAAATGGTGGAACTTCAGGCCACAGTGAAAACATCTTGGCTAGGTATGTTTAATGTCGTCGCTATTCAGTCTGATCACTAGTTAACCACGCTTGTATTTTGCATTCTCTTACAAAATTGACTACAAGCAACACTACACCAACATCAGCTCGCATACGACACTATCTGGCTAGTTCAGACAAATTAATCACGTTGTTGAAACGATACAACGATCCGGAATCTGTCAAACAGATCAAAGATCAGCGTCAACAAATTTGTACCATGATTTTCTAAATATGTCAGGGTAAGATATATGTCAGTCTTTACTTCTGGTCAAAAAAAAAAGATATATATTAGAGGTTTTCACCATAATAGTATCTAACTAGTACCAAAAGTCCAATTACACTCATGATCTCAATTGGAAAATTTGAGTGTGACAAAAAGTCCAATTGAGATCATGATTTTAATTCAACATCTTGTGCTTGTTATGCAAAATAGTTCCATATAGCCATTTGATGTTTAGCATAGCATTTTAGCCCAAATATCTTCATGGAATTGTTACACTGGCATTGTCAAGTCTTCACTTGATGTCAGAAAAAGTTGACAGTCCAATGCATTTTGTGCTGGACAAGTAATTCTTCTTCTTTCCATTTGTCAAGTTTGGCCTTGGGCCCTCAACCAGTGTACTCTGTATACTTTATTGTAATGAGAAGGAGGCTTTTGGAATATGAAAGAGAGAAACTCATATTCTTTCATCCGTGTGTTTTGAGCTGAGTCAACCTGTAGTATATCTGTTGTTCAGAACCAAGGCAACACAGTGTTTCTTTGTCCTGGCACACTTGGATCCATGAGCTGAGTGCTTGTCTTGAGATGTTCTTTCTTAATTTCTTGGTGTTTCTGAAGTAGTGTTGAGTTTTTATTCCCTAGTGAGATCATGGCTTGTTGGGCATGTGTACATATGGAGAGTTGATTCCAATCCTAATCTCTTTGATTAGTGGACCCTCTAGAACTTATGACCATTGTCCAGAATAAAAAGGATTTGTGCCCCAGACAAATGCTAAGTTGGTGAAGTACATTGTTGGCCTGACCTTGTCTGAGCATCATTTCAACATCCAAAAGGGACTGAAAGCCTTCTGCCAAACATGATTCTCATCTCAGATCAGAAGGAGGAGTCAATGTGGTGAGCTCCACCAAACTATTTTCCTTGCTTGAAGGTTTAGTGGAAAATGTATTAAGATCGATGTCTTCAAACTCATCCCCAAGCGAGGGATTGTCATCCTCCAAAATTAGTAATTGAGACACATGAGTGTCACCATTCAATGATCCCATGTGTTTCTCAACTCCTTTTTGAAAGGCCTCCACTCTCAAGGAGAGTTGTTGTCTTCTTTCTTCCACATCTAATTTATCTGTGACAGAAAGGAACTTTCCTAGTTTTTTGACACATAATTGCAGTTGTAACCTAAGATTGATTAGCTGGAAAATCAAAACCAATTTTAACTCACCCACTGTGCTTCTTGAATTTCAAGACAGGCCAAAAGCCAATATGCAACTCCTTTGGCAGAATTTCCCTTGTTCTCTTTCTCTGTGAGTTGGAGTTGGATTTCTACTCTGGTGATGGGCTTCTTTTCTATCACATCATAAAGGTCCAGGGTCTTGACATTGTCTGCTCTGACATTCTGCACTTTACTTTCATACGAGGTACATGTAGCAATATCAAGAGGATCTGCTCCTTCATTGATAGCATCAAAGGCCTTTTGGCTTTATAGAAGTCCTTTCTGAACATTCTTCCATTTCCGGCAAAGTGCTGGCACTGTCAGACTCCTCTCAGTAGCTAGAAAGATATAGACAGATTGTCACAAACCCATTCTGATGATTTTCTTCTGATTGGAATCTCCCATGTGATCATCAAGTATTTCTCTTCTGTGAGCTGCTGTCATACCCCTGGTACTGCTGGTGATGTTATTGAGAGGGGCCCACAGTGTTTCCAGTATCTCTCCATCAACCTGACTTGCACAAGGTATGAAACTGGGTGGATACCAAGGAAAAAATTTGTCCTGGTGTCTATGGATGTGGAAGAGGCCTATTTCTTGCCTAAGCTCTGTTGACATATATGATATGCTATGCATCATCATTTTACTATACATCTTTTATTATAATATTTCTACTGATCTTTCTCTACCAAATGATCTTATCATTTTCGACTTTCCTAGTATTACATAATAGTTTACTTCTCACGCACTCAACCAAAACTCGGACATGTTCCTTTTTGAGCCTCAGTCTTCATTTACCAGACTGAGGTATGCTAACATTCTCATAATTCTTACAACACTTACTGACAGTACCTTAGTCTTAACATTATTTCTATAGCTTATAATCTCTAGCCCATCTAGAACTTGCAAGTAAGGGCCATCCTCCATACATCGCCAGCAGTGCTTCCCATACTGGCACATAATGTCATACAGAATAATAACAGAGGAGATGCCAGCCTATATTGAGAGGGCTTAGCTTGAAGAATAATCCATGTTCATTTTCCTGACTTATCACGAGTAAAAGTATTTTGAAAGGCATTGCTGTGGGGCAACCAGTGAGCAAGCTGTATAGCAACAATAATAGATACTACTAAGTATCAGGTATTGAGCAGTAGATAATATGCTACTGAGTATGAAGAGCATGCAAGTAGGTGCAAATCGCTGTAATATTAAGCTAGAGGGATTCATACAAACAATCTGTTAAGGTTTATATAGTGAACAGAGTTTGAGTTGGGCCAAAAGGGGAAAAAGGAGAAAGTACCACTTGCTGTGTAAGGGAGGCTATCACTTCAGGCAACTACTTTTGACCAGCATTTAGCTTGATCATATTGTGGTAACATATCCAGCTAAAAGCTCCTAGTCTCATGGGCTATTGTGGTCTATTTCACCAATATGTGGGTGTCCCTATGTCCCTTATCCCATCTAGGGAATGGTCCATGAGACCTTAAGAGGGATATTCCCTCCCCATTAAACACATGAGAATACCCCTCCATTTGTCACATGTCACAAGATGTTAGCTCAAACTTGTGAGATTATGTTACAAAACTGCTACAAAAGAAATATCCTTCTCAAGTGAATGCTCTGGGACATAAATATATATATGTACATTACATACAGCTATTTGGTAATCCTTCAAACACAGCTTTCAAATCTGCACTACACATTTTCTATGGAATACTTCATAATCATAGCTAATATTGCTAGATTCATTAAGTTCTGGTTTTTGTCTGAACCTGTTTGAACCTCTCAACCAATTAAGACTGGAAATTTTCCAAAATTGGCCATTTCTGTGGCTGTGTGGCCATAATTACTAGTTTTGCAGTGTATACCTTATAAGGCAATAACTGGTCACAGCAGCATGCAGCTAGTCTAGTATGTGATGGTGCTACATCTGGATGCCACACAAAGCAATTATGAAAGTAGTGGGGTGGCAGTTATAGATGTGGGATCTGTAAAGCAGTTGCAAGCTTGAGCAAGTCTTGATGGTATACACAAACAATGTGATTATTACATTGTTTGCAAGTACCATTGAGACAGGCTCTAATAGTGGTTTTTGTGGTACAAGTGTAAGGCAACGAACTCGAAGCTATATAACAACAACACCTAGAGCAATAAGTCTTGTTGAGGCAAGCGGTAAAGCTGAGAGGGAGTTGCTGAAGAGTATCAGGGTAGGTGTGAATCTTAATTAATATTGAACTAAGGATCTAATACATCAAGTATCTAGTCCTTATATAGTGAATAGCAAGGATCAGGCCGAGAAGGGAAAACAATAGAAAAGTAGCCTGATCCTAAAATCAACCAATAGAAAAAGAGAAAGCGAAGTGGTACAACTATCATAATCAATCAGCGCATGAGATAATTCCGATAGAGGGGAATGTGTGATTGGCTAAAGCAGCAGTCCTATTATAAGACACTGTGCTGTTAGTCATACTCATTGATCTATCTTTCCGGGGTTACTCCTTATGCGAAGTTCGTCAGCTAGACTTGCATTAATGGAATACTCCCTGATGATACTGAAGGAGTTCTTCAGCATTGTAAGTACAATAGTAAGTAGAGATGAAAGGAAAAGAAAAAGAAGAAAGCAATGAGAAGAAGGACACCAGCTGTGACTTCTAGTCCAACAGCTAACAGAGTAGTAGGAAGAGGATTGGAAAACCATGACATGATAGGAATGCAATGATGAAAAATTGATTCCTCACAACAAGCAAGTCTTGGTGGTGGAGACAAACAATGTGATTGTGTTATTCATATCTGCTATTAAGACAATAACTGCTGGTAGTAAATGGTGGTAGTTGGGAGGTCCAGTTCACAGTTCAAACAGTTCAGATTGAGTCTGCACAATCAGGTGTATTGACCAGACCACAGATCAAACCAAAGTCCAGAAGTAGAGGACTGGACTGGACCAAACCAGAACCTAGGGTTTGGTTTGGCAGTTCTTAATTCTGAGCCATTTGGCTGAACAGAACTTTGGCATCTTTATCTCCTATGAAAAAATCACAATTATGTCAGTGGTACTATATTGATGCCTTAAGTTGCTATTTGACAATAAACATGTAAAAATTGAGAGGGACTGGCTTTACTCTATTTAGAGAACTATGTTCAATGGATAATAGTAATTGAGACAATAGCTATTTGTTGTTTTATATTGTATCATCATGATAAAGATATTTAGATTAAAAAAGATATTTCAATCTTGATACTATAACAAGTTGAATGAAAAACATTTAAGCTGTTGAGCCTGTTAAAATACTTTTATCTGTGTTATAAATAGATAGCACAATTTCAGTCGCTACCTCCTCTCTCTTCAGCAGCTTGTATAGAGGGTCATGGAAACAGTCTTGGGTAAAATAATAACATACAGATTATTCCTTTTGTGTTAGAGGAATTTTATTGTGCAGTGAAAAGTCTGGTGGGTTCATCTCATTGAATAGGGAGTAGTGTGATAGCTATGCACATCCAAAATATTTCTGGAAAATATTTCAAATTGTGGTTCCTCTGTTGCTGCTATTTGTTGACTAAAAAACCTATGAGTAGGGGTGTGTGTTACCTTGTGCTGCATATATATTATGTTGTCTTTTGAAATTATCAGTAGAATATTATAAATATTCCTGTTGGGGGTTAATTCTATATAGATAGTTGTAGAAGAACAAATACTAGGGGTATCTGGTATGAAAATGGGATATATTATTATGTGGGTGAGTATTCCATCCTTTGAGATGGGAAATAGGTGTATCCTGTCTTGTAAAAGAATATTTCATCCTATGAAATAATGAATTTGTGTGTGGGGAATATCACATCATGTTCTATTATTGGAGGTTGAATATAAGAGTACCCCATGTTTCAATGGAAGATTCCCACCCTGCCAGGTTATAGGTGGGATTGTCTAATGTTGTAGTAAGAAAGCCTCATGTCATATGTAAGAATGTCCCATTCTATGAGGCCATATGTAGGACCATCCTATATTTTAGTAGGAGTGTCCGATTTTTGTAGTTATATATAAAAATATCCTATATAATATATTGGAGATTCCCATCTTTCAGTGGGAATATCAGAAACTTGGGCTTTTAGGACATTTTATAACAGTTCTATTGGGCTGAGGTTGGGAGGATGGGTGGGGGATTTGACTCAGAAACTTGGTTGAGCCATTAAAGCAACTTTGCTTTGATAGAAAGAGGCTCTATCTTTAATAGCAAGTATCTCTACACCTTTCACAGCCTTTATTTCATGCATACACCCTGATGGAGGCCTATTCAAAACTAGCTTAATATAATTGAACCTAATCAATGCTATTCTTTTTCCCACTTAGTCTGATGGTTGAAGGCTACATTCAAGTGTTCCCTTGATGTTCTGGGCTATGTAACCTGAAGAGATTATTCTCCTGGAGTGTACTTTTGATAAACACATTATATTTTGTGCTATCAAGGTGCTGGCCTATAGCCATAACGACATATAATATTGGTATATATGTCATCAGGTATACCTTAGATATTATCATATGGGATATTTTCAGTAAGGTATGGGATTGTCCCACATATAGCATGGGATGTTCCCACACATGGCCTCACAGGATGGGACATTCCCATTAAGATATGGGATTGTCCCACATATAACATGGGATGTTCCCACTAAGGTATAGGATGGTCCAGTATATAACATGGGACATTCCCACTAAGGTACAAGATGGTCCTACATATAACATGGGAGGTTCCCATATATGGCCTCACAGGATGGGATATTCCCAGCTCCCACAAAACTCTCAACAAACCCTAGGCAGCTTGTCAGCAAATCTGAGAGGAGCCTTCACTTAAAGACAACAATAAGCAAAAATTGAAGATGGTAGCTTAAGTTTTAGCTATTTACAATGCTAATGGCCTTCATAACAGGTTAACTACTCCAATGTATTGCTTTACTCTGTTTGATCAATGTTGTTGTGCAGCTGTTAAAATTGTATCTTGTATTTTGCCTAAAACCTGTCCAGCTGTGTCATGCTTTTGTGTTTCCATACTTGCCTCAACCACACTTACCCCTTATATATTTGAGTACAAGTTGAATGTCAGACATAGCTGATAATCCAAATTCAAAGAGCTTAGAATCCACATTTATAAAATATAAATCTGTTGGTCTCCTTTTAGAGCTTTCTATCTTAGGTAAGATCTTCATCTGAGAAGTTGATCTATCTACTAAGATATCTTATTATAAATTAAGAAACTAGAAGTAGTGGCCCCAGTCCAAAGTCTGTTTTTCAACTCTTCTGATAGCACTCACATACTATTAAGCAAAACCTAGTATGTATAGATGTAGTGTATTTTAATGTATTTTCTCTTGCTGGGTTCAGATCTGGTGTCAGTTTTGTGGCAAGAATACTATTTACATCCATTACCAAAATTGTCAATCTTGTTTGTTTATAACTGTTTACAATTGAAAATCACAAATAGAGATTAAATAGACAAGGAGAAATAAGGGTGTTGAAATAAAGGAAAAAACTAATACAACCCTAAAATTTATTTGTAGCACTACTTCATTTCCTTTATCTATGTTTTGAGCCTGGTTCTTCTGTGGCTTCTACTATTCAAAATTAGCTTGATGTTTTATAAGTGGGCTCTGTATTAAGGGCAGTGGTTTTTAGTTTGTCACCTAGAGCAAGAATGCTCAGAAAATATACTGTAATAGGAGCTGTTTACTATCACATTAACACTATAGCCAGTTCCATCTTTTGTATTTCCTGACAATATTTGTCCATGATCTGTAGAAGTTAACATATATATTGAATTACAGTATATGTTACTGGCTACTTTGCTGTTACATAGAGTATTTGTTTTTGTTGTGAAGTTATCTCCCCCCAAATAATGTACTATAGTAGAAGAGAATACAGTTTTGAAGAAGCAATTACATTATATATTTGGATTTCTTCATAGTTTACTGTTGTTACAGAGAAAAACAACTATCTTTAAACTAGATGCAACAAGGAGGTGAGACTTACTTTGCTTAGCATGGCAATGCTTTCATGAAGAGTAGGTGGATCTCATATGTTTCTTACATAGTTTTTGTATTCTTTTTTGATTATGCTCACATGTTTCCCACATGGGATATTATTAATAGTCATCTGAGCCTAAAGTCTTTATTTGGCACTAATTAAGGTGGAGATTGAAAATAGTGGTAGAACTCTAATCTGGAGGGTGAGCTTTTGCACTTGGAATAGACACCAAGAGTGGAAGTGTTACCTTAAATAGTAGGGATGAGGGGTGCTATAGCATCTTACTGAGTATTGTAGTGGTGTGAAGTTGATGATGGTTCTGAGGGCACTTTAAATAGAAGGTTTGAGGGTGCTGAAGGCATTTGACCCAGGGCACTGCAGGTATTCACCCATAGCACTGCTGAAATGAGTTGAAGGACTCAATTTATTGAGGGGTTAATATAGTCTCTCTGTAAAATGTGCAATTATATTATAAATCATCAAATCTTCTGGTTCACAGTTGTGGATTTAATATAATTTTGCATATTCAGATAATAAAGTCAGTTAATCATATCCACATCAAACTGTAGAATTTTTCAGCCCCCCAATACCTCATCACATATGACAAATGAAGTGTTTCTATATGATATCTGGAGGGATGCTCCCACGGGGGGATATCCCATCTATGCATGGGACAATCCCACATGTTGGTGAAATAGACCACAATAGCCCATGGGACTAGAAGCTTTTAGCTGTATATGTTACCACAATATGATCAAGCTAAATGCTGGTCAAAAGTGGTTGCCTGAAATGGAGGCTATCCCCTTAGAAGAAACCCTCTAGGGGCATCAGCCAAAGTACCAGCACTTCATTAGCCCACAAAGCACTAATCAGGCATAGCCACACAAGCCTCTATTAATACTTTTCCTTCTCACAGTATGACAAAAGGACAATAGTGGTACCACTTCTATTTCTCTTCCCCATTGACTACTAGAAGTTGAACCACTTTTCTTTTCCTTATTCTTTTTCTCATTGTTCAAATTCCTATTCACTATAAAAGCCCGTCACATCTGTAGCTATCTCTTTGGTTTAATATTACTTGAGAACTCCTGCATAAAAGGTCCCTCCCATCCTAAACTATATTGTCCTCCTCTTGTCAAATTTATCAATTTTTGTTAAGCCTGCTTTGTGTTTCCTAACAATTTGGTGCTGGAAAATAATGAGAGAACAACTACCAACTTGTATTTGCATACAGTAGCAAGACTTTATGCTGGCAATAATTAGGATCATCATATAAACACATGGACACTGTCTCTTAACCTTGTTGTTTGTGAGACTGATATTCTCATTTATGGCCATGTCCCAATATTTGATGCTGACAAACAATCAACTACTAAACAAATGCTTTTATATACAACACAATAAAAGCATTGTATGTATACTCAGTGAGTAACACTTGCAACATAACAGCAACACCTATAGACATCTTGCAAACACATAGAAACTGTTAGGAATCATATTGCTATGGTTGGGTGATATTTCCATATATGGTTATGTGCCAAGGTTTGGCTCCAGCAAAAAATCAATGATAGAATACCAGGTATGTCTGTATACTTAGTGAGTAACACTTGCAGTATGCTGGTGACAAAATTAGACATCCTGTAAATACATACAGTAAAAACAATCAGGAATCATGTTACATAAAAAAAGAGGGGGGTCATTTGTACCTTGCCAATTATTTCATCAATGCTCTCCTTGTGCGGGTACTGTCTCCTCCTGAGGTAGCAATGAGATCAATGAGATCTGTAAGACAAGAAGTGAAGCGAGTAAAATTATGCTGAAAGAAAATGAGGAAACATACCTTCTTTCAATTTCTTTGATCCAGCAAATGGTAAGTTGTGGTACTTGATCCAATCTTTCAGCTTATCTTGAGTAAGTGCCTGGTTAAATTAATCATCTGTTTCATAGTATTTGAAACAGAGAAAAGGGGAAAAACTGATCTGCAACTGTTTACAAAGACCGCTTGGTCTAGTAGCTGTGTCTGAGACTCTGATGGGCTGCTTGTTAATTGTGAATTAGGAGGATTGATGCCTTGGACTTCAGAGGTATCTGTTGGCAACAGATGGTCATCATCTGGTGGTGTGGGTGCTTTTTCCTCATGAGAATTTTGTAAGTGTTAGTACATTAGAAAATAATTGACAGAAAAGTAAAAAAAAACTGTACCCCTCCAGCTTGTTTCCACAGACTCCAGAAGTGTTCACCAGTTGTTTGAAGATACACTATCATATATGAATTTGTTTCATGTATGGACATGGCAACATATGACATATTCTATGCTATCAAAAGTACCTCATCTTGAAGTACACATTCCATAGCACTATGTCACAAAGTCTTATAATATGATGACCGCTAGTTCTGGAGATATGAGCCAAACAAGAATGCTTGTATCACTTACTGTCAGCCACATTGGCAGAGTATCCACTGAACTGAGACAAGGCTTATGTGTGAGTGTCTTGAAATGGCAAACTAGCATAACAAATGTTCAGAGCCTAGCCACAGTAAACCTATGATTGAAACATTACACTTACTCTGAGCTCCCCTTACTGATATGTACATCTTAGGTTCTGGGGACATCTTATAGCCTGTGAGAGATTATCCTTGACTGGAATGGTCCCACAGTGGTTATGGGATGTCCCGTTTGTGAGCTGGGATGGTCCTAGATAAGTTAGTTCTAAATCTTGCACTTTTTTAGCTAGGCCACAATTTGTTGAAATGAGAAGTTGGGAAATCTGGTACTATTGTTGTATATATACAGTTGCTGAAGACAATATTTATAACCAAAGCCCTTAAAGGCCAGAATTATCTGCTGTATTGTACTTTGGGATAGACTTACACAGACAGATTACCTTCACTCAAATTTTCTACAAATGTTTAGGGAGCTGCATAAGGTGTGATGATCAGCTCCACTATGACTTTTCAAGCTTCTAGTTTCCCAGGGTTTTAGTGCAGCCAAGAAAGTAACCTGTGAGAAAATGTAAACTAGCTGGTCAAGGATTGTGAAACATTGAGCTAACAGTGCACCATTATATATTGAGGAAGAATTGATTCTGCAGTATCTGATGTATTATAAAATAGTATGAGAATATCAGATGGCAATGACATATAGCCTAAAGCAAGCCAAATAATATATCGACTGAGGTACTCTTGTGATCTCCTGGGTCATAATTTAACCTTGTAATCTTCTCATACAATAGCCCTCCAGAGTAGATGTGGAACCAGCTGCCTACAATATACAAGACCTGCATTGAGCCTGTGAAAAGAGGATAAAGGCTGGGCTGGAGAGGTAGTGACAAAGAAAAAACCTGATGATCTAACTTTATTTGACTAATCAAATAAAGTGTCTGAAATAATTGCAAAGGATATTTGTATTTTGGAGATCTTGGAAAGATTATTTCCCTGCCATGCTAGTAGTACTTTTGTCACAAATAGTTTGGGATTTAGGTAAAACACTAAGTTTAAATGTCTTGAAGTTAAATTAGTGGTGGATCTATTTGGGATGACCTGTCACCACTATGGGACCATCCTAGCTTGCATGTGGGATGTCCCATCATCACTATGGGACTATCCCAGATTGTACATGGATCATCCCATGACCACTGTAGGACTTCCCATGATGTATATGAGACACCCTATGTCCTATTACAGGATCATCCTAGACTGCATCCAGAACACCCCACAACTACTCTGGGACCATTCTAGCTTGCATATAAAACATCCCACAACCTATCCAAAATTGTCCTTTCAAAACTTCCTCACTCTTTATATGAGATGTTCCATTACTCACCTGCAAGCCTTCTCTTTTCACAATCTTGGACATTGCATCCTTAAGCCTGGCCTGCACTCCCACTCATGTACACCATTTTGTTTTGGTAACATTGTCTATCTTTCTTGAAGTACATCATACTCCTTTGAAAATCTTGTTTTTGCTATAAACCTAGATTGATATAAGCTTTTCTGTGATAATGGCACCCTCTACTTTTAATTTCCACACACTATAAAAACAAAACAACAATGGTAGACTTTCTCAAGCAGACAGCCAAGAAATTTTCCAAGTCCCTATGTGACTGTTTGATTTGTTATTATCCAACAACAAAGCAAGCCTACATTCAATTGTTTATTATTTTATAAAAAGGGCCATATTAACTTTGCAACATGCTGCTGTAATCTCTGCAAGGGATAGAAGTTTTTGGCAGCATTGTTACAAAGGCTGAATTGTCAATCTGAGGAGCTTTATGAAGTTTAGTGGTTATTACATTCAAAATATCCCTTACATCTGTTCTGTTGTTAATTTTACCAATATGTAATGTAACACATGAGAGCCATTGATAAACAATAATTTGAAGCATAGCTTCCTTTTTCAGAACAACATTTATATTATGTATATGCAGCATGATTACTAATAGTACTTTATAAGACTAGGCTTCAAAGTACATAATTTAATGAAGTGGAATCTATCCTGTAAAATGCAAAGTATTATGTGGGAGGTAATTGGAGTCACTCAAGTACTGGGATCATCCCAGATGCAAAAACAATGGGACAGACCAGGAAAAATCCACCTCTTAGGTGGATAGATGTACAGTAGGTGATCAAGCTAAATGCTAGTCTTCTGTGGATGCCCGAAGTGTTTGAGCCATACATCTATTACATCAACACTCCATCACCATCACTCAACAGGAACCTGAGGAAGCCGAACAACTACTTGTCACATTTGTGGTGGAGTACAAATTAATTTATTACCAATGTAAAGCAAACCGACTCCACTTTGTCCATCTGTAAGGCAACCAAAACGAAGCTATATAACAACAAGTCCAACAGGCTAGGTCTTCAACCTCGACAAAAGGCAAGCGATAGAACTGAGTGGAGGTTGCTGAAGAGTATCAGAGTAGGCGCGAATCTTAACTAATATTGAACTGAAGAACTACTACTACAACTGAGTACTACTTATATAGGGAACAGAGAGGATCCAGCGGGAAAGTAAGTGCTGAAGTAAGTAAGGGGCTGGATCCTATAATAGGCAACTGAGTAAGAAGATGAATAAGGGAACGAGTTAGCGCTTAGGAATCATATAACAAAGCGCTGAGGTAATGTGAGAAAGAATGAGTAAAGGATATATGATTGGCTGATACAGCTACCCTTATGAATCAGGCTCTGTCATGCAGCCAGCTCGCTTATCGATCTAACTCCGGAGTATTCCCATGGCGGCTAATGGTTCAGCCTACAACCGTTAGCGGGATATCTCCCGGGAGTACCTGAGGAACTATCCTCCTAGAATGTAAGTAACGAAATAGTCTTTGAGGTAATTGGAAAAAGAAAAGAAACAAAATGACTAGAAGTATACCAAATGTAACTTCGAGTCCAATAGCTAAGGGTGTTACCGGGAATTCTTCTGACAACCAAGGCATGACGGGAATGCGATGATGAAAAATTGATTCCTCACACCATCCATCTATCCATTCCCTCCTACACATTGCCTCTGAAACACATTGCACTGGACCTGGGATATGTTCTTCTCAATGGACCATGGAGCGGACAATTGGAATCCTTGGTCAAGAGATCCGTCTTCACTCCAATCCATATCAGAATCTCTCACAGTATGCAGTCTTACGTGCGCAAATTAATGCTCTCAAGGCTATGATACTGGATCTTGAAGCTGATAACTTATGACAGGTGGGGGGCCCATAAAACCTGGCAGAGGGCAGTAGGCAGGGTTTGTTATGATTGGTCTTTCCTTGTATTACCAGAGCCTATCAGGGACTCTTATTTCATTTATGCAGTAGCTAGATACCGCTACTTACCTAATCCCTACACGTGTTGCTGTTACTATATTCGTTGCTTACCTGTAGCCCTGGCACAACCCAGGAGACTTGCCCTAAAGGGGCTGTAGTACTATATAACTTCTGCCTGTACATAGTACAAACTCCAATACAGATATACACTTTCAACAGCAATAACTTATTATTCACAGAAAGACCCTCTCGTCTCAGAACTGCACTCTCTAACCTCGTTAGAGGCTCAGCAAGATAGCTCAATTATAACCACTGAACGATATCCAGATATCTCCCCATCTCTGTGTTAACTACTCATTGCACTATGAGTGTAACAGGGTTATAGTGTCATACAAGAAGTCAAGATGGCTGAGCACATATATGAAGATCTGGTTCACGGCAATGAATCTGCATGAGTTCACTTTGGCTACTCTCAGAAGCTGAGGCCGGTGGTATAAGAACATCATAAGGCTCTGATATCATTTAGCAAAGCATAGATCATGATGTGGATGGCAAATACCTTGTTTGATTGAGATTTGCCCAAGGTTTTTAATATCAAGGCTATCGGCTGGTTTGATCTCTTCCAGAGTTTGCTTGATTTTGAGGACTACAGTCTAAGTTTAAATTGTATTTGATTAAAGGCCATGTCAATATACAACATAGAATAACTTACCAGAGGGCCTGGATGATTTGGAGTCACCGTAAAAGAGTAAGTCTTGAAATCAACCATGAGGTTGTTGACGTATACCACTACAACACTTTTGATGTGAGATATCTTTGCCTCTATTAAATTTCTGGTAGTCATAGTAGCGAGAATAATTGCAGAGATAATATCAGAGGCAAAGATATACTGTAGTGTTGTCAAAGAAATCCTGGTCACAAGACCAGTGCCCCAACACATCTGGTCCCCCAACACATTAGATGCCCTTCTTGGCTCATACCACCACTACAAGATGTTGGATTTATCTTTACCCACTCCTTCTAGTGATAGTGACTCAGAACTATTTTTTCCATTGGTGTGAGACACAACAAGTTCCTCGGCTAGATCAGATGAGATATTGAAAGTAAGTGGGTGGACTCTTAATTCATTTTATCTTATCTTTTTTAGGAGAGCTATATGCGTCTTCCCGATCTCAAATATAGTAAAGGCACAAGCAAGAAAACACACGACTCCTACAAAACTTTACTAAGGAAATACGAGAAGACCAAAAATAAGTTGGTATTGATAACAGGGAAATATACTAACCTACAGTGAGTTTAAGTATATATTTATCATGAGTAGGATTAACAAGGAGAAGGTAAAATTTCAATACACTTGCACAGTCAACTTCAAGCCTTAGTATGACCAAGGAGCCATGCAAATTTGTCATGAATCAGTACAAACACAAAGATTTTCCAATGATATCATTTTGGATTGCAAAGGATTGGAGGGTGTTCTTTGATGCCAAGAAAAACACATCAGATATAATCAAGGCTGCCAGACCGAAAGGACCCAGTTGCTGTGCCAATGGTGTGAATGTTGCCACAAGACTCATTCGGTTCAGTGATGGAGAAGTCATTAATGGCCATTGTGCAGCTGCAATTCAAAAGGTTATATGAAATTTCTTCAATGAGCTTCGGAACAATGTGGTTGTTCCTGTTTTTTTTTTGCAATGCCATGTCAATTTTCAAAACACATGTTCCCTCAAAGCAATTGATTCTTACCCAGAACTGGCTTACTGTACAGATAACTGGAAAATCTCCAAGATTGCTTGTGAGTCGTACTGGGTGTGGAAATGTTACCACATTGATGGCAAAAATGAAAAAGAGGTCAAATCCAAGGAGAGCTCCAAAACTTTATTAGGGAAATGTAAGGAATCCAAAACAGAAGGACACAAGGATGCGTCAATCAAGAAGGCCAGGCTGGAGACTGGCAATTTGTCAGACTTGGACTTGATTGACTTGCACACCGACATTGTTGGATGTTCTGCAGACTCCAGTAAAGTAGCCAAACTTCATGCAACCAGCAAGGACACCACCACAAACAATGTACTAGACAATGCAAAGGCCCCATGTTTGAAAATCAGGTATAAAAAGCCCATGTACGTATATTATTTTGTTTTATTCTACTGACAATAACCATTCTCATAGTGCGTCAACCATATCAGCCACTCACCCCGTCCCACCAATTCCATCCAGCTCAGCCACTCTATACATTGCATCTGCTGAGAACTGTGCCTTACAAGTGGGCACCTCCGACATCATATCAGCAGCATTATTGCTGACATCAGCTGTGGAGAAAACTAAGAAAGTAAAAGAAGGTGCTAAGAAGATATCATCAAGTAAGGACTATCTGAAAGTAACAGTTGCCATCACACCAAGGTAACGCTTGTTCGTTGTATGATACACTTACTGATTTTTTGTAGAAATTTATGTGAAAAGTTAATACCTAGTGCTCTTTGTAATCTATGTATCTGTTATTAGGTAGTTGTCTCTACTTTCCTCTGCCAGAGAAAACCAATTGTTGTAGTTCATCACATCATGATGTCACAATAGCTAACAAGTGCACCAACATGTTATCACAATATGCCACACTGCAAACCCCACAAACATAGGGTCAAAATGATACAGTATATATGTACCACTTTATGACATGTATTCCACAATAACTATGGAAAGTCCTGATATAACTTTAAATTTGTCTGTTTCAGTACTCTAGTCAATTTAAAGTTATTACTGGGCTTTGCTCAATTTCCAAGTGAATCAATACAATGCTATGGTATTCCATTCCAAACCAAATAATGATACTGCACTCATGGGATATCCCAGTTATCATTGCTGGGACATCCCAGCACTTATGGGCTATCCCAGCACTCATGGGTTATCCCAGTCAACATTTCTGGGATATCCCAGCTAACTTGAAAGTATACCATGGTACACCATACTCCAGGGAGCTACTAGCCCCTTAGGTTTGGAGATTATGTACAAGCTAAGAGCCCTAAAACATAGGTTGCCTGAAGTGCTAAAATAGGAAAAAGTCTTTTGTACAGTTTGTCTGTGGAAACACTGTGCACCTACAGTTCAACAAAACTTGATCACAACCACCAAAATCTCAGCTTTGAAGCTTCAAAAAGGTGGGTATAAACTGTGACACAGTATGAATAGCTTTATTTGAAAGTTTGTGTGACAACTTGGTACATCACCCTGCATTTGGATCATCCCATCCTACCTTTGGGACAAACCTTGGATTGTAATAATCAAGGCAAAAGAGGGCTTCACATGGGTTGTCATATGTTAGAACAACCAGTGAATAACCCTGCTCTGGTTGTGGTAATTAATTGACTAGAAATACTAAGAAGAAGCTCAGTCAATTGTAGAATGACTGTTTATTCAATAATTACCTAGAAATATTAAGAAGAAGCTATAGTACTATCAGTAAAATATTTTTAATGAATGTAGCTATGACATACCTCAGTCAATTGTAGAATGACTGAGGTAAAACTAGTATGAGGATAGAAATGAAGTGTATTGCAAGGTTGTCTAAGTCCAAAATCAAATAAAGAAGGTATTTCTCACATGTTGAATAAACGCGTCACGGCTATCAACAAGTTCTTTCTAATCAATGATAGCAAGTGTGTAGTGTAGGCTCAACTTTGTTTTTCCAAGCCCAACACCTGCATATATCAGTTTTCCATGATCCTACTTGCTGTTTTTCTTTCTTTCACAGCTAGGTTAGTGTTGGAAAACTAGTCAAAAACTGCACACAGCATATGTTGTCTCAGATCAACTGCAATAATAACTGTTTCACATCTTTTTGAGGATCATATCTCCTTTTTTTTCAATTCCTAACTAGCACTGTAACAGTGACACATTTGAGCTAATTATCTATTGAGTAGGTTGTTGAACAGTTAGTGAAAATTTGAATATTGCTCCAATATTGGATGGATAGATAGAACACTCTACAACATGACTATGCTGTAATTACAATTCATCAGATATTCCCCTTGCCCTTTTCCTTGGTGAACCAATACTTTTACTGGGGGATACCAAGTAGCTCAAATGAGCCATGACTACATTTCCCTCGTCCCAATCATCCATCCACACATTTGAGCTGCCATGATACTCATCTATTAATGTGACATATTTGGCCATTTTGAACAATTCCCCATCAGCTTTTGAAATGGAGTCACCCTCTTCCAAACTGGCCCCATCACCGGCTTCATTGAGAGTATCAGAACCTGCACCGCCAGGTGTGCTTTCATATGCAGTGTTTTGCATGTTAAAAGCCACATTATTAAGATCATCTGCTAATAGCCCCCAGCTCTCTGGTAGAGGCTATGCTCCTTCTATCTCATCAACCTTGGATTTCCACTTGACACACAGCTTACAGAGCTTGTCAGCTTGGCAATCCAGCTGATATTGAATATCACAGTTGTTGCCTAACAATAATAAAAGTCAATTTCTCTCAAATATTATTTGGCCAGATTTATCACATATCTCCATGGCTTTTTGGAGACTTTGCCATTCCTCCATAAGCCACAGCTGTAAGGCACATTTTTCTACCTTTAAATGCTTCTCTTCTTCTATACATCTGTCCAGCTCCAGCGTGTACCAAATACCTTCTCTAATATGCTCGTTTGAAAGCTAGCCAGGTGGTGATTGGTCCTCAGAAAATTTGTCTAGTCCAATGTCTTGCCATATGTTGTTGTCTATGTCCAGCTGAAATAGTGTTTCTTTTGCTATGCATTGAGGTGGAACCACAGTGCAAGGGGCTTTGCACTGAGTAATGAGCTTACTGAGCTCATCACATAATTTGTTGTAAGCGGCAACCAGTTTGGGGGCTCCTGGCTCACAACGCTTGGCAGATGTTTTAATATGACTGTGAAGTTTGTGTACTACACTGTTTCAGTAATAATTTAAATCTGTGAAGTAAAAAGGTATGTACCACTGCTTGTGCGCCAATAGGACCGCTCAAGCCTTTCTATCTCAAACTTCCACTGGCGTAAATGATCTCTAATTCATTGTTTGAGGGCCAAGGCATTCATGCAAGTTCACATATAAGTATTTTTATTGAGTTTATCCAGGTTGATGTAACACCAAGGGCAGACATCAAGTGAGTGATCTTGCTTTCTAAAGAATGACATTTGAGTTGAAGCTCTGAAATATGTATATCTAGATCAAAAGTATTGATATCAGTGTGATTTTGTCCAAATAAGGTAGATTCCATATCTTGTAGCTGTTTGCGATTGACTTCTAAGTTCTTTTGTAGAGTGAGAATGATTTGATGGCTTGACTTCCTCTGTTGTGATTTCAACCTGTTATTATGTTCCATCATGTCACTAAATATGGATGTGGGGTGTAAGTTACTCACAAGGTAAAGGTTTTGTCTGTTCTTTCACTTGACTATACTATTCCACACACAAAAGTTTGGGCTCCAGTTTGACGTCCCAAAGGGCAGATTCTGTGGCTAGCTTTCTCGTTTTACATTGTTTCCACCTCCAATTTAATCACTGACTGAGTCCCATAAACAATCAATCAGTTAAAAACTGAACTTGGTTGTCAATTACAAATAGACGCTGAAAATGCTGTCAGGTGATAATAGTAAGCAGTGGAGAATATAAATAAGTACAAGAAAGCTCACACTGGAGACATATAAGAAGGGATGAATTTTTGAACCGCACTCCAGAAGTGTTCACATCCTATCACAGGTATGTCTTGTTATCTCTGTATTTTCCTTAGAAAATAATAACTCAGTCTGATAGTAAAAGACTGAGGTGTTAGGTTCCATAAACAAGCATAAAAATGGAAGGGGAAGATTCCGAAGATTGTTGTTTAAATAAGGAAGGAGTTTCTCACAGTTAGAAGTGACAAACTCGTACTAAAAGAAATGTATCTAAAAGCTAGTATGTAGGATCAAAACATAGACTGAAAATTATAGAGTGTTGTTCTATCATTGTAGGTAATATATTCAACATGTCTAATGCAACACTCAAGTACTATGATAACTTGCATAATCAAGCTACCCCAATGGCCAATCAAGGTAACGGTGCCTTGTGGCTCTGTTCAGCACTTGCTTCTAGAGTTAACCATGAGACTGCATCTCACAAGCCCTGTCAAGAACTTGAGGATTATCTTTGTAGTCTATTAGAGAATAATGTTGCTGACATAATCAGATGGTGGGGTGTAAGTACTGATTTTAATTGGTATTGCAAAGCACAGTAACTAATCTGGTTATAGTACCACTCAGCTCAGTATCCAGTGCTATCATTGATGGCATGTGACTACCTGGCTATCCAGGGCTCCTCTGTTGCAGCTGAGAGAGCATTCTCTAGTGGTGGAAGGACAGGTACTGTATTGAGAAACAGGCTTCTTCCAGAAACATTTGAAGCTTTACAGATTCTCAAAGATGGGTACAGGACTGGCTTACTGGATGTTGAAGAGGAAGCTACTTTACATAAGAAGAAGCCCTTCAAATTAGCTAGTGTTAGTGTGTTAGTGTAAAATTGTTTGTGAAATAACATCTGAGTATGAGTAGCTGTGTTTCCTGATAAACCAGTTCTTAGGTTCTGACTAGTTTGAACCAGAACTGAACCTATTGAACAATTATGTAAGCAAGGCTTACTGATGGGTCCCACCAATGGCATCCTCATGACATCATGTTGAACTGCCATCTTGTATTCTGGAATGCTAAAAATGTATAAAACCCTATTGTTTCACTGCCTTGTACAGTAGACTAGTTTCCCCCCCTTTTCCATCACACTCTGATTCCAATTCTGCTTCTGTCTGATGAACTGAGTGTTTCCACCTTACAGTGGTCTTCCACATTAATTTAAAATTCCCACAGTCTTAAATGGTTCAGAGGTTCAAACTAGTTCGAACCTGAACTGAACCAACTGAGCCAGGAACCTACCTGAACCTGGTTCAGTTGGTTCAGTTCAGGTTCAATTCAGAGTTCGGAGAAAAATGCCTCTGAACTGAACTGAACTGAACTGAACTTTGGCAACTCTTTGACTTCAATATGATGGGGAACACAAAATGTGCTCAAAGAAATAGAGAAGCTGTATGCCTGTAGAGTGAAATGCATTGAGGACAGTTTCAACATGACATTGCACTGTGTCTGATCTACTGATGTGTTTGGCCAGCCTTTGTATGATAAGCATCATGGTATGTGTATTTTTTATTTTATTTTATTCTCAAAATGGAAGGAGCTTCGAGAATATACAAATCTGTCCATTTTTTTTTGTAGTCTGCAGTCACCATCACTGTGGCTGGCCAATGTTTACAAATGTTAAGTGCAAGCCGCTGTGGAGAGAGCGAGGATCAAGGTTACTCTGGGTTTGAAAATTTTATTATCTCAACATATCTTGTCATTCTTGCTGTAGCAATTATCCTCCTCTCTCAAACCAGTGTGGCTTGGGAGGAGGCCTGCTGTTTTATTAGGTATTGAATTAAGAGTGCCCTAGTCAAGACAAGATAAATTTGAAACACTCCCCCACCAATAGTATGATTGCATCATATAGGTGCTGAACCGTGGGAACATTATCCCCGCAACCATTTCTATTCTTCTGGACGAAATGGCAGTGCCAGTGGGCCTGTGGGACCTTTCTTACAACTGCCACCACACCATCCTTGCCATGAGCATCCTAGCAAGCTCAAAACTGGAATTTTGTCCCTATCACTCTGCATTTCTTTCTCCTGCCCATAATGGTGTTAGGCAAGCAGGTGACGGAGGAGCGAAAGCTCCTTTCGGGGTGTTAACTAAACATACACAGTCACGGTTTTCACTGAAAAGTGGAGCTATGGAGCCATCTTCAAGAAGCTCCAGGATCGCTGATCCAGATAGAAAAACAAACATTGTAGAGGGAGAATTGATAAACTCAATCCAAAAAGAATCAATGGACCCTGATCAGAGCGAGTCAACAGAGGGCGAAGATCGAGTTTCTGCATTGCTGGAAGCCAGATTTAAAGGTTGTGATAGTGATGATTTGAGAATAGGCGAGTATATGTCATCGTCGTTATAATTATTTAATTGAAGCTCTTTGCTAGAACATTGCAAGAGGATATTGGATTGTTTATTAAACCCTTCACTGGAGGGCGTTGTACGTAGCCAGAGTCTCATTGCCCAATGTAGTAATACTCACTTCCCACAGGTTATTTGTAATGTCACAGTTGCCGAACACGCGGTAGTCATACAACTGATAGCGGAGGAAAAGATCGAGGTGAAGGGCAAGTAAGTGATAATCGTATTGTTGAAGTCATTCTCTTAGTCATCCGCCCAACTTTCTAGACTTACATATTTCCCCAATACCCTCGAACTGTTCGTGATGTGTCCATACCCCATCCATGAAAGGCCTATCGCACACCTCTGTGCCTCTCTTCACTACTTCATTCACGGCATCGAACACGATCAGACTTTAGTCGAGGTCCAAGTATTGACCAACCATCGCATCCATTCTGACGATATCACTGCCAACCCCGATCTCCAGGTTGTCATCATCCCATATCCTCTCGACTCCGTGGGCCAGCCTGAGACGCTTTGGGTCGGAGAAGTGGGATTTGCACAGCATAAAAATGCCATGGTTCAAAAATTGAAGATGGTGTTAAAGAAGACGCCTTCAATTGGTCTTGTCCTGCTCGTCGTCATCAGAGAGACTGAGAAGTGGAGCTCTCCTCTAGAAAATAGCTCTACTGCCATCACACTGCGGAAGAAGCCGAAGGATGTCATTCCGTGAGTTCTGTCCGTCGAGGAGAGAGACCGGTATTTTTGGGCCCGTTGTAGTGGAGGGATTCAGCTGGTTGAACGTAGAAGTGATCGAATATCACGTCTTCAAACGAGGGCAACATGACAATGCTCCCATCGATCTTGAGACTACTGATCCCGCCAATACTGTGAGTGGAGTAAGTACGACATAGCGGACCCATTTAATTTTTCTAACCATATCTCAGACCCTTTATCCAACCTGTGATATGACTCGAGTTGAGCGTTTGTTACGTGAAGGGGCACAAAGTATCAAATCGGCTGTTATTTGACATCTCGAAGATCTCAAAGTTGATCAGGCCAAAGTTGACATCGTCCATGCATCACATCCTGAACTAGAACTCAACTGGGACCGGATTCGGACGCACATGTCAAATGTGATTTATTCCACCGCTCATTTCCGTTACGCCGATTGGTACGACCGTAAATTTATTAAACGCAAGAAGGTTGACAACGTCCAAGAATCGTCCATGGTGCCTGATGCCTTAGCTGGAGGAGCTGAAGCAGCGCATGCTCAAGTTAAGAAGCTGAGGCTCGAAGCTGCAACTAACCCGGCTGAGTGATGGGGTACGTTTCTCTCACTTTGAAAATGGATCCGCATTGAATGCTAAGTAAGTTACAGAGTATCTGGAAGGTCAATCAAACTCGTGTATGCCTTTAACCACGTTGTATGTTTTGGTCCAATCTGTACGAGTAATGGTTGTAACGAACATTGTGATTACTTGTATCTCACTTTTTGTGTACAATTAATGTATCCGTCTTTGATTTTTTCTCGCAGTGTGGAACTTTGAAATGTACATGTTCGCTGGGATTCTGTATAAAGATTGGTGTTCGGTGTTCCAAGCACCACTTTACAATGTTTCAGATGCACTATAGCAAGTGCAGCGCAGATATCAGCTCAAAAATGCCTGGATGTTCCAGGCAGTAGTACTGACATGGGGCTGAGAAACACACATCTATATATTTGTGTTGTGTTCCCAAGAGAAATGAGACTCTTTCGAATCGAAGAGATATCTAGGCCGCGTTTCTCACTCTTCGGATTTCATCCAACTTTCTGCTTTCCTAGCAGCACGGGGCGGCGCTTCTGGATTAGATAATGGATCATGCTTGGAGCCCATATTGTTGGCAGTTTTTTTAGTTTTTTTAGTTTGATACCTGAATCACAATCGAGTAGTATAAACAAACTATTATACATCCTTTGGATAGCATATGAATCTCAGTTCTCTAATTATCCGGTGTTACGACCTTGAAGTTGGCAGCGCGACAATTATTTTGTCGAGGATAAGACATACTATCTCCAAGCAACTTGCTCGACTGACTTTGCGAGCGTTTCGCTCGCGGGATCTCTGCCTTATCATAATTATCTAGGACAAGATATTAGCATACATATATAGTAAGTTAATACTAGTAACAACAGTGTTCATCGTCTAACTTGCGCTTGGGACATTCTGAAATTGAGTGAGTGCATCGTGTTACCAGAAATCTCTCCAGTCTAACGTACGGGGTGTTGCCGCTACAATAATTTGTCCGATTGTGTGATCTTTATCAGAATATTCAAGGTATGTGTCATCATTAACTTGGCTAGCATTGAGCGCTACATAAAAAATTCAGTTGTAAGCTAGCTCAGTCAAAAAAGTGACTAGTACTTACGCTCATCGTTCATATCTATATCAACCTCACCATGCAAATTAACGATCCCATCTACTGAGATTTCTACAAGTGATACGATCTTGGTCCAACAAAATACATAGAGCTGTGTATGACGTACGGTCTGAAGCTACATCATCAATGAGGCCAACTTCGTTGTCAGTCTCTACCTGATTGTAAGTTAGACAACAGTGACAAGGAGGAGTCACTCGCTCACCAACGGTGGCGGTTCACGAAGCTGTGTACATTAGTTATAATTAGAAAAAGTATTAATAGTGACTAAAAAAATGACCTTAGGCTTTGGGAGGGGGTGGCGTTCTTGAATGCTCGCTACGTTATCATTGTCGCTTTCTACCTGTTTGTAAATTAGACAGTGGCGACAGAGAGGATTTAGTTAACCATTCACCAACATTGGATGTTTACGACGCTATGAAACTAGTCAGAAAAATAATTGAAGATAGTGACTAGTAACGACCCTAGGTTTGGGGGGGGACTGGCGTTCTTGAATATTCGCCATATCTTCGTGTATCACTTTCCCCCTGTTTAAAAGTTAGACAGCAGCGACAGAAATTAATTAATTACTCACCAACATTGGATGTGCACAAAGCTATGTAGCTAGTTAGAAAATTGAATGAAGATAGTGACTAAAAGTAACCTTGGGCTGGGGTGGGTCCCTTTCTTGAATGCTCCCTGCGTCTTTGTTGTCGCTTTCTACCTGATTGTGGCTTATAAGAAAGACAGGATACTAGGTATGATAGATGCTCGAGAAAAATATTTACTGTTCTCTTGTTTGATAATGAATCCGAATCTTCATCATCGCTTTCTATCTGTTTGATGGTGAGCGGACATAGCTGCAATGAGATCAGGTACTTACCACTGCCTTCTTATGATGCTATAAAACTGGTCAGACGGATTGGATAGTTTAAATGATAGAATTCACCTGAAGCCGATGGATGATTCGTTTTGTTTTAGGCACATGGACCTAAATGCAGATATTGATTTAATTGAAGTAACTCGCGGGCAAAATATACATACATGCTTGTCTTCGATTGCTTGAGATGATTTGCTGGCCGGGCTACCAGAACGCGCTAAGCTAATTTTAACTGGGCAGAATTCGTGAAAAGCAAACGGGGAACTTCGTCCCTTTGACTCCTGCTTACGATATTCAACATTGAATTGCAGGGCCTAACCACACTATTAGTCTAACTTCACCACAAATTGTTGAAACGCACCGTGGACAATGCTTCTAAAGCATTCGAAACGTAGGATCTTTGGTTTTTCCATACCATCCTATGTTCAGCATACGGGAATCTTACTTCTGGAACGTCCGAGGAGCATGGCACTCGTATCTTGACCATGAAAACACATTTCCGATGTACAAATGAGAGAACCACAGATCAGGAGATATATTATTACGGCGGCTTTTTCAAAAATTATATCTAGAAGGGGACGACATTCAAGAGAAAAGTTCGGCTTTGAATCCAACTATTTCATTGCAAGCTCCGTCACAACGATGGCTCTCCCCTAATCCGAAATCGAGGATAGTACAATTGCCTTTCTCGTCCTTCACCACATTCCTCGGGGCCAAGTCATTGTGACAAACTCCGAGGGCGTGAATTTTTCGGAGACCTTGAGCAAGCAGACGACTGCAACAAAAGTTAGCCTTGGACGTCAAACCGCCTCCCAGGAAGCCTACCTCTGTACTGTGCTCAACTCGTCGAAAGAGTTCAACGATGAGCCGCAATCGCGAGTGACCAGTAAATAGGTCGTTCCTTCCCAGAGATACAGTCCCAAACATTTTGGAATGACCGTTCCCTGGAGGGACGACAGAGCTTGATAGAAAGAGAATTCTCTGACCATCGACTGGATGGCGTCTTCATCATCCTTGACCATTTTGATGAACACTTTCTGACCATCAAATATACCTCTGTAAATGGAACAGGATTCGGTGGACTCGGAGGACTTTTCCATGACGAACAAAGTTCTGTGGCGAGTTTTGAGAGTATATCTAGGTCGCCAGAGGGTGGTCAGCCTATAAGGGAGGGTTGGTACTCCAGTCGTGCAAAAGACCAGTCTGCCTGCGATGGATGGCAAAGCCGTCTGGAGAAGTTGCGACACGAAACCTCTAAACGTCATTCCTTGGGTCGATTGACTCTAATCGCAAAAGTCAGTCGAGGACTATGAGTATAGAGTGGATACTTGCCTTCGAGTTGGACTCCTCTGAGGTGTCCTGTGTATCGTTGGCACCGTCACCAGACGGGCCCTCCGACGGGGGTTCGTCTTGTCCTATGTACCTGCTCAGCGGCTTTGGAGCCGAATGTAGTCGATAAGGTCCATCAGGACCATCTGGGAAGTGAGTGTGGAGGGCGTGAGCTAGGAAAACGGAAGTTTGGACGAAGACGTCTTTTCTCTTTTGGATTTCCAAGGAATACCATTGAAAGGGCTTGGAGACCCACAAAGTATTACCGTCTCTCAGGCACATCATGAACTGGAGTTCTGTGCTGAAGATGAGGTGGGTGATCTGCCTGGAGACGCTCTGGTTCCACAACTGACGAAAGGTGTCAACGGAGCGACTTTAGCATAGTCGTGGAGATACGTTACCTGATGTACCATTTCGGAGGCTTTCTTGCGCCAATCTCCGGTCTGGCTAGGCTTTGAGGGAAACTCGCGAACGATTTCGAATTCCCCGTGGGTCCCCAGGAAAGAGTGAAGCTGTTCGAGGAGGTTGACTTTCCTGCGGTCGTCGGGAGCAAGAATCGATCCGCAAACCGAGGAAGGCTTGAGTTCCACCATGAGAACTCCTCGGTTGACTGTTTGAGGTGTACGTGAGTCGACCTGCGACTCCGGATATGAAAACATTCGATCGGTACGACCGGAATCACCGGAGGTGACGGTGTGGAGCAACACCTTGGATGAAGATTGAGGCAAGGAGTAGACGTCAAACCGTGTGAGGAGGAAAAGCAGCTCCCCGGAGTATTTGATGCGGTTCCATTGAAACATATCTGTGTGAACGCCGACGTCCCCTTCGCATGTGATGTGATTGGTGTCGAGTAAATAACTGTCGGGTGGCGGACGAAAATCATGGGCGGACCCGAAGCTGGGACCCAGCAAATTGAGAATATCTGCAGCCCAATGAAAATCGCGACCGTCAGGTAAAGTAAGTTCACCGAAGTCACGAAGCTTGAGAGACTCGAGGCTGCGCGCCGACTCTATTTCGTCTGGATTGACTTTATGCAGAGTACAAGATTTACTGGAAGAGATTCTAAGGACAGGCGGTGGAGGGATCAAATGTCTGGCGTGACAAGCCGAGAAAGAAAAATCGGCCCTTTCGTCGGGTGCGTTGTGTTGCCAAAACGGGCCTCGATTTTGACTGTAAAAGTCGCGAAGAGAAATCTGCTGAGTGAATGCAGCCATGTATACTAGGACCTACAAGTTGAAGATTTTCGAAGAACGTATTTCATAAATGTGGTGGATGACATAAGCAACGCACTGCTTTAGAATCCGATAATCAATGTCTGTCTCCAAGGAGCGATAATCCCTCGAAATGTGACGTTAATCGAGGCTAAAGAATGAACGTGGGAAAACCACGCGGAGGGAGACATCAGCTGGACGTCCTATACTGTCGTTCCCAGTCAGTTCGTATTTGAGGTACAATTCGGACACTATCTGAAAACACCATATAGCACTTAGTACTTACTTTAGTTATTTTACCCAGTGAATTGAAAGACCTTGAAAATCCCTCCTGAAGTTTTTTCAGCTCGAAATATCAAGCCGTTCTTCTTTCCCTTCTTTCAAGCCATTTTTCGACCTGTAACAGCTATGTAATGCTCAAACAATAGAGCGGAAGCTCCCGAAAGTCAGATTCAGACCCAGGTGTACGTGCGCCACAGGCTGTCGAACAATGTGTTTGACACACTTCAAGAGTCCTACAATGGCCCGTCAGCGAAAATCAGCAGCAAAACGTCCCTACCGAGCGTCGAAGGACCTGGAATACGAGAATAGGATACAGGCAGCGATAGAGGGCTATAAACGGGGGCTCTACAAGTCATATGCAGAGGCTGCGAGGTTAAACAACGTGAGTGATTAGATTTCTGATCGATTGATCAGATGAATGTGATCTGGAGTTTAGGTTGCCCGTCAAACACTTCATGATCGAGCGAAAGGAGTGCACAAGACATACCAACAAGGTCAAGAAAAGAAACAGCTCCTATCTGCAGCAGAAGAATCGGTTTTGCTCGATTGGACACAACACTATGGCACCATGGCCAACCCCATGTGTCCCAAGAAGCTTCGGTCGTGTGTGCGTGATATCTCGGGAAAAATCCCTGGAAAACATTGGCACTACAGGTTCATTAGCCGCAATCCATCACTTGTTCTCCGAAAGCCGCAGAAACTGGACCCGAAGAGAGCGAAGAACTTCAACCGGACAGTAGTGGCTGACTACTTTGCACAGCGAAAACAGTTGAATGATATGTATGGTGGGATTCCTCCGGAACATGACTGGAACATGGACGAGAAGGGGATTCAAATGGGAGGAGGCAGGAAAGGAGACGGGACAAAGTACTTTTATAATAGGAAGCAGAAGGGATCATACCGCATCTCGGACGACAATTTGGAGCTTGTTACGGTGATAGAGTGCATTAGTGCTGCTGGAGTGTTGATGAAGCCTGGTTTCGTGTTGAAGGAGGGGCCACTGCCTGATTTAAGTGACGTCGAGGGCATAGGAAGGTCCGTTTTCTCCATTCCTCTGCCCATATCATTTTACTAACCTTTTCTTCCAGTATATCCCGTACAAAAACTGGCTGGACAAACCGTGGAATATGTGAGGAGTGGTTCAACAAGACATTTATCCCTGAGTCCCGAGCTTGCCGCATTGATGACAGGCCGGTCGTTCTTACTTTGGATGGCCATGACTCGCATGAGCAACCTGTCCTTCAAGCTCTAGCTTATGAACACAGCATCATTATCTATTGCCTCCCATCAAAAACCACTCATAAATTACAGCCACTTGATGTTGTCGTGTTTGCCCCAGTTGGAAGGAGTTGGAGTTCGCACGCAAGCCGCCTTGCAATAGAAGGCATCAAAATTGATCGTTACAACATTGTTCCAGAGTATCTTTCTATCCGTCATATTATTACACCAGAACTCATCCGCACGGCCTTCAAGGAGACTGGTATCTATCCGTTCAACCCGAATGTCTTCACGGAGGGGGACTTTGCGCCAAGCCAAGTAACGTCCACATCTGCTCACTTCCCTGATAGTTATCCAAGTGACGTTGACACAAGCGACGAGTCTTTCCATACGAGCGACGGTAGTAATGAGTCAGACACCGAGTCAGATCTGATGCAGGATGACTCCCCCCCAGGACTGCTTGGTTTGACAACGCTCCCTGGCCCGACAGTTGAATTGGACGGATACCACGACCAAGAACCCTCTCAGGAGTATAGAGAGAACAACGATGAACAGGAAGACTCGTCTTCCTGTTCATCTCCATTCTATCCTATTTTCCCCCACCTCTTTGCTTCTTCGCCTACTCAAGCTTCCTCCCCCACACGGGAGGGTTCAACACTTCCGCCTGAGCTCTTTTCCTGGCCGCGTTTCTCCAATACTCCACCACCATCTCCTTTGCAGATGTCTTTGCCGCCACTCCCTCCTGCTGATCCTTTCGTCAATAGCGCCTCTCGATCACAAACTGGCAGTGCCCCATCTCCTTCTCCATCACAGCTTGGGCTTGATGTCTTTCCATCTCCTACACCATCTGACCGTGTGCGCACAAAAGCCACCTTTGCTCAAAGAAGGTGCAGCGGATACATGACTAGGTCTTCATCTGCGCAGTCTGTGGGGGCTGTTTTAAATAATGGGCAGAATGTGTCTCCAGAACAAGATCAACGGTGTTCGCACCCTGAGTTGTTGATGCAGTTGCAGAGCACTCAGTTGAAAGTCGGGCTCCTTGAGGATGAAAACACACAGCTGAAAGTGACGTTAGCACAGCTCAAGGCTGAAAGGGATGCAGCCAATGCACATTGTACGCTTGCTCGACGTGATGCGGAAGACATACGGAAGCGCTCAGGAAACCATAGGAAGCCTCGACGAGGCACCACGAAACCGACTGCCCAGTTTCTCACTCATCCTGAATTAAAGGCCGTGTTCGAACAGCAGGAGATCGAGCGGAAGGAGAAAGCCCGCATAGACACAGAAAAGGAGGCAAGTAAGCAGCAAGAAGACACCGCTCGTAACACACGAATAACAATAGAGACTGTGATGAAAGTCTTTGACAGATCTTTTGCGTCTTACAAGCGCAAGGAGGACCTCATTGTCATAGCCGGTGCTCTTGGTTTACCGATTGATGGGACAGTCAAAGCCCTCATTGAAAGGATCAAGTCTCACCTTCAAGGACATAAGGAGTTAGCAGATAACCCCCAGTTTGCTGGCCTTTTTGGCCGTCGTATTCAGGCCCCTGAGGGTTCTAGTCACTCCGGACAATCATCCCAATCACCCTTATATTCTAGTGTCAACTCATCTACTGCGTTTTCCCCCCAGTCTGTCCAGACTCCATCTTTTTTGGCCACACAATCGCAATTTCCTGGCCCCACATTTTACAACGGTTTCTCTGGCCCAGGCTGTAGTACTCCTGGGCCCTCATATAACTTCAATATCTCTGAGCGTGTTTTACCTCCCCCAACTGATGAAAATGGTGTGACAATTACATATTATAATGAGTTGGGTCAACCGTACTATGTTTTGTAGTTAAATATACTCTGAATCTGGTGAAACTGTTGTTTTGATTCTGAGTCAAGCATGAAAGCAATGCCTACTATTCTACTATTATTTGTTAGCAGTGGGACTTCGTCATTTTTTGAGGCTTTCCTCTGCCGAATCGGTGCTTCAATCCGGCATATGTGACCTTAGCGTTACTTTTTGTTACCTTTGTGACGTCCGAATTGTACCTCAAATACGAACTGACTGGGAACGACAGTACGGAGGATGTTGCCCGGAAAATAGGATGCAAACCTCCTTGGAAGGTGGAAGCAGAAACGACCCGGTGTCGATGATGAGAACTGTTGTTAGAAAACCACACACAAAACAAACTAACACACAATCCTCCCAGATTCCACGGAACTTGTTTATGGGCTTTGCCTCCTAGAACAGTGGAGTGGTCTGGTTGTTCGTGGGGTGGTACGTATAAAGATCCTTCAAAGTAAAACCCAGTGGTGTATGAGTGTGGGTTTTGAGGAGGAGGGATAGTTGAATTTATAGAAAGATAGGGGGTTTGTGGCGAGTATAGACGAGCACTACCTTGCTAATCGTAGCACAAGGTAGGTTTGAGAACAACGAGGATGACGAGGTGACGAGGTTCCCAGTGATAGCAGGCTCCTGACGCACAAACTGTAGTGCTCAGAAGGACTCTAATCGAAGGGGATGACAATCACTTTCAAAAGTGACGAGTGACGATGACAGCAGTTAACAGTGGTAGAAGTGGGAAGTGTTGTGACCACACTGGATCACAAGTAGCAGTAAGAAGTGGACTTAAGATTAGAGAAGAAGTCTGGAATCGAGTTCTTGTTGTTTTTTTACAAGGTAAAATACAGGGGTTTATATAGTAAAAGAGAAGTAGGCTATGCACAGTATAGCTGTGCAAAAAGAATGAGAAAGAATATGAAGGAAGGAATGTACGCTGACGAATCCTGCGTAGGTAGTACAGGATAAGATTATCAAAAAAAGAAAAGAAAGGGATAGAACAATAAATGCTGTGAGTAATATCACAGGTTTGTACAGCCATAAAGTAAAGTCCAATAGCAAAAAGAGAGCAGGAAAATCATGATGTCATGGGAAGATGCAGTAAAAAAAGAGCAAGGCAAAACACTATCAGTATCAACACAGTTCCTTTATTGTCAGTCAGGCATTCTAAAAAAATATGTGTCCATAAAAATGATTCAAAAATCAAAAATAATCGCACTGTAAATGAATGTTCTGCTGAAAAAAAAGAAACTGGAGCCACCGGTCCACCACCTAGTCCAAATCTGACAGTTCCATGGCCTTACCAATGGACTGGTTGTGTTGGACCACCTGATCAAACGAGGGAGGGAGAGGAGTAGTTCCAATTTGGAACAAGTGAGTCCCAGGCAGCGTGTGGTAGGTGTAGCTGTAGCGAAGACGATGGACAAATGATAAGTGTACCCAAGTGAATGGGACAGCGATGAACATGGGCGACGCAAGGGGATGAACCTTCTCCAGCTCAAAAATTACCCACCCACGCTCCAACCAGGCAAGACGAGCGACCGATGTTTTGATAGTATATGATGGCAGATCGACGTCATGAAGATGGACCTGTTGCCCTATTTGGACCGGCCGCCGGGGCTTTGCTGATATCAGCAGTGGCACGTGGTAGTCAACGGATCGGCGACGGAAGCGGATAGGAAGTGGTGACATCAGAAATGGTGGGGGTGCAAAGAAGATGAGGAGGAGGAGGGTGGAGGTGACGAGGAGGTGAACTAAAATGGGGACCCAGAAACGACCGTCGGGTGAGAATAAAAAGGAGAGGAAGGGGCCCATGGTGGGGCTAGGCAAAGGAAGGGGAGTAAGGGAAACGACAAAAGTGAGGGCGCAATGCAATGTGTAGCCAGTGGCGACGCGAAAATTTGCCGAAATGCCGAAATGCCGAAATGCCGAAAGTACCGGATGGAAAAGCAAAGGTGAGCATGACTGGATTGCCTAATAGAGGTGGTGCTGATCAGCCACAAGTTCAAAAGGGGCAATATTAATTACTATTCCACGTGGCACTGTGCCTGTGTGGCGCAAAGGCGAGTCTTTTTGAATATTCGCTTCGTTATTGACACCTGTCCATGCTACCAATCAACTTTGGTGCATGACACCGGAAGAATCGAAATTCATTTCGGCAAAACCGCGCCGGAACAATAAGCTTCTGCGGAGTATTTAAGGATCGCCGCATGTTGATATAGTTGTCCCGAGGTTGCAGAGGTGCTACAATCAGGTTGACCGGAAAGTAGCTCGCTAAATCGTCACGTGTAGGTTCGTTATCTTCAGGGACAATTGCCGAGGAGTCCCACACCCGTTGGTCGGACTCGATTATAAAGGTGTCTAAGAAGGTTCGGACCAGCACATTTCCTGATTCGCCCTTGCAGCATGTCCATCCACGACGATACATATAAATATGAATAGTCGTACACAGCGCAAGCGTACAATGGAGCCAGATGGATATACCTTGGGGTCCACGCCACGAAAGCACATGGCGATAGAAGCAGACGACGACGATGACAGCGGCGAGGAGCCGTTCGACTTTGACCGAGACTACCAGCCACCTGCGGGGGAGGTGTTGATGGTCCCTTTTGTAGGCGTATCTTGAAAGTTGTGGCGCCCTAAACTGACTAGCCGATCGGCAGGCGGTCCCTTGTAGCAGATGCCAATTGACTCCTGGGAAGGTGGAATGTATGCGTGAGGTCTCCACGGAGGAGACATTGTCGAAGCACACGAGTTGCTCGCTGTGCGAACAGCGGGGGTCGCATTGCTTCTGGGGCACCCTTAAGCTTTGTGGAAATCTGGAAAAGGCACAAATGCAATCAGGTACGAGCAAGAGTCGAACGTAACCGTCCTAGGAAGGTCATCCGGTTTTTGCGCATTTTACAGAGAAATTGCTTGATCCCATGGGTCTGCTGAAGGAGGATACCAACCAAGAACGCGAACAAGCGATCCAGCGCCACATGAAAGTATCTGCAGACCTCGCATCTACGGACAAAATGCTCTCCGAGGCAATTTCAAAGTTGATTTAGCACGAGAAAACTGAACGACGTTCCCATTTGTTTTGCATTTTACAATAATGTTCAGCATAAGTTTTGACTTGGACTGGTAAGGGAATTGTGCAAAGTAAAAGTTTGACAGGATTGCATTAAATTATCCTGGACTACCTTTCAATGAATGGGATTCACATAAAAGAATGATTTCGGTGAACGACGGTGGAAATGCATAGCAGCGTAGAACGGTAAAATATAGACCAGTGTGATGCACGAATGCGGAGGGCTCTGGGGAAATAATAATGTTGAATGAATGCCACGTTTGTATCGCGAACGATCCGGGGATGACCCAATGCTTGTGTGCAATGTGGTGCTCACAAGACGCCGCGGATCGAACGAACTCCTTGGAGGAACACTTTTGGACGGCTCATGAAATGAAAACGCGTAATTCGAGAGCATCAAAATATCATATATATTGTACAAAGGATAGATGCTGTGCTTTATACATTTGTTTTGAGATGAAGAATAAAACTGTGCACTCAATGAAGCAAAGGAATTATGCCACACACGTAACGGAGCATGAAACTGATTAGAATGGCGGAAAGAAGAACCACGATATAGTATTCGGTATACACGAATAGGGAGAGAAATCGATAAATAAAGGTCCATGGCATTGCAAATGTCCCAATACAAAGAAAGTAGTGTCGAGTGATGAGTTAGTTGAAAGAGATTGTGTCAGGCAGTCGGAAGGACTTATAAAACCAGGTTAAGGTTAAGTTAAGAGGTTAAGGTTAAGGTTAAGAAGAAAACAAGATTTTCGCAATCACCACCAAGTCAAAAGGACAACCACCCACGACCGACCGATATAGGACATATCCCCGGGATCATGCGAGACATTCTGGGCAATAATGCAAAGCAAAATAAGGACAAACGAAGACAAAAAAGACGAGGTCTTCGCAATCAATCACCAAGTCAAGTCACTTTAATAATCTACTTTTACCAGGACGCCCCATCCTGGTATCCGCAACTTCCTTATATGGTAGTTGCAAGCATCCGCAACCTATTAGTCATATCCGCAACCTGTCCGCAACCTAGCTATTAGATCCTCGGATTGTACCATGATTTTCTAAATATGTGAGGGTAAGATATGTGTCAGTCTTTACTTCTGGTCAAAAAAAAAGATATATATTAGAGGTTTTCACCATTTAACTAGTACCAAAAGTCCAATTACACTCATGATCTCAAATGAACAGTCTGAGTGCCAAAAGGTCCGATTGAGATCATGGTTTCAAATGGACTATTTGTCACACTCGAACTGTCCGATTGAGATCATGATTTCAAATGGACCTAGCTATTAGATCCTTGGATTACCACTCGTACTCAAAGGTTCAGACGGTTCAGACAGGGAAAGTTCAGACAGCAGAACCTCGCGACCGTATAATGGTCACATGACAGACGTATATGGGAAGCTATTCCCACGACCGAATCAGGATATAAGCCCGGGATCATGTGGCACAAACCAGGCAACAATACAGAGCCAAACAAAGACAAAAAAATGAGATTTTCGCGATAACCACCAAGTCAAAGGGACGACAACTAGGACATATCCCCGGGATCATGTGACACGTCCCGGGCAACGATACAGAACCAAATAAAGCCAAACAAACACGAAAAAAAATGAGATTTTTGCAATGACCACCAAGTCAAAGGGGACGACAATACAAGGTCGAACGGAGCCAAACAAATGCAAAAAAAAACAAGTTTTTCACAATCATCACCAAGTCAAAGGGACGACAACCCACGACATACATGTGGCACATTCCGGGCAATAATATAGAGGCAAATAAAAACAAACAAATACGAAAAAAAAAATGAGATATCCCCGGGATCATGTGACACATTCTAGGCCCAATACAGAGCCAAATAAAACCAAACAAAGACGAAAAAAATGAGATTTTCGCAATAAACCACCAAGTCAAAGGGACAAGTCACGACCACTACTCCAGCGATGATCAGGACAAGACATGGGCAAACAAATCCGAAAAAAAAACACAAGGTTTTTGCAAAAGTGACGACCACCCAGCCACATGTCAGTACGACGTATCAGGACACAACAAAGCCAAACAAAACAGGATTTTTGCAAAAAAAACGACCACCCAGCCGTCGAGTGAGTCATCAGAGACGACCAAGGGAACGAATAAGTCCAAACCACTGTCAGTGGGAAAGATGACGAGACCAAACGTTCCCACCAGTCTGAGACAAGTTTACAAACACAAAACGAGTCAAAAAACGCGAAAATTGTCAGTCTCAAGATACAAGACTTGTGATAGGAAATACAAACGAATAGAGCGGTCAATAAATCCGAAAAAATAACGAGTATATCCCGTCCAAGCCCGGGATCAGTGTCAACAAAGCTCGGGTTTATAGGACACGAATCAAGGCAAAAAAAAACAGGACTTTGACAAAAAAACCGGGGGGAAGTTGATCAAAGGCTCGTTAACTCAGTGTCATGGGAACGTAGAGACAAAGCCCCCCTTGGGGGGTTGGGGGGCCAGGTTAGCAGGTTAAGGGTAGGTCCCACACCAAATAAAGCAAGACAAAGGCCAAAAGAAAACAAGATTTACCCGGAATGCTGGGATACATAGCCGCTTTACTCTATAATCCAAATAATTGCTCCCCGGAAGCCAGTCCAGTCACGAGCTGCCTCGAGTTTCTTGTCGGTAAACAGCTCTGTGCCATGGTTGGATATGAAGTCCGGTCGTCAATTGAAGAACCCGATCGGGATGAAATTGTGGGCTGGGGACATCTAACCTCAGGCGGTACAGTCGCCAATCTAGAATCTATGTGGTATGTGGTATGCATAATCGTATCCGGAAATACACAATATCAATTCATTGTATTTTATCTTTTTTGCAGGGCTGGTCAGTACAGTCTTGCCTCAGCATAAGTATTGACATCAATGAGCTTTAAATGTATCTAGCTCGTAACTGCAAATTCTTTCCACTGTCACTGAAATGGGCATCTGAAGACGGCAATCCTCTGGCGTTGATCGCATCCTCATTCAACATCAATCTGTGTACAGGCACGAAGAAACTTCTTAGTGAATGCAGCACTTGGGAATTAATGAACATCACTCCCGATGAGGTCGTTGAACTGATAGATCGACTCTGCGAAGAATACGGATGTTCTCCAGAATACATACAAGATATTTTGAACCCCTACCTGGTTCAAACAACGGGAAGAGGAGTTTTAGAGAAGCATTTCAATATTAGGTGTCCGATAAGATATTTCGTTGGACAAACGCTTCATTACTCGTGGCCAAAAGCTGCAGGTAAAATCTTAATGTCGCGCTATGTATCGGTAATGCGCTGGTTGCTAAGCTGATAATTTCCAGGGATCTCAGGGATTGGAGAGGAGAATGTAGTTGCAGTCCCTCTATCTATCACAGGTCGCATTGACACCAACTTACTCGACGTTCATTTAAGTTACTGTTTGCAGCGCAAACAGGCTGTGTATGCTGTCGTAGTTATCATGGGGTGAGCTACTTACACGATCCCTAACCTCCAATACATCGTGTCAAAACCGGCTAATCTCCTCTCAGTTCAACAGAGCATGGACTGGTTGATCCACTTTCTTCCATCATTCAACTGCGAACCAAGTATCGCAAACTTGGACTATCTTTTTTAGTCCATGCAGACGCTGCATGGGGAGGTTACTTTGCGACGCTTCTAGTCCCAGTACCCCTCAGCGAAAGTGATGACTGTCAAGTAGATGCGTTCGATCCTGAGTCTTTGATGTCGCCCTATGTCAGAGAAGAATTTTTACACTTACGCTACACTGATTCTATCACCATCGATCCTCATAAATCTGGTTACATACCCTATCCCGCTGGTTCTCTTTGTTACCGGAATGGGAAACTGAAGAACATGGTGACCAAGTCGGCTTCTTACATTGTGAGCAGCATCGACAGCCGTGATAGCAAAATGGGCATCTATGGGGTGGAGGGGAGGTAAGTGTTGGCTTCTCTGGAACATTGGACAGTCTGTAATAGTAGAATGCAGTAAACCAGGGGCTGCAGCTATGGCCGTGTGGTTATCAAATGAGACCATTGGCTTACACAAAGGTGGGTATGGCATGATTCTGGGCGAGTCGATGTTTACTACCGTCAAGGTACACAGTCTCTGTTTTCATCGAGAGCCAGACCACCTAACTTTGCTTGTATAGATGTACAGCCATTACGTGACGATGGGTATGAAAAGTTCTAGACTCATCGTCGTTCCATATATCATGTTGCCCAGCGAACAAGAGGGTAAGACACAAAGAGATATCATCGAAGAGAAGAAACATATCCTCGATGCCATCGTTGGTCGTTCAGATGACGAAATCATGACGAACCCGAAGACACGGGAACTTATGAGGAAATTAGGCCCCGATCTTATTGTCTTCACGTTCTCATGTAACTTTATCTGCGCTGACGGCACAACGAACGAGGACGTTCAGGAAGCGTCCATCCTGAATGAGAACATTTACCAAAGGTTCTCTATACACAATCCTACCGATTCCGCAAAGGACTTTCGATACTTCATAGGATCATCGACGATGCAGCAGCGGAAATATGGACTAAGCTTAACGAACTTCAAACAGCGACTTGGACTTATCGGTGAAGAAGATCTCTTTGTGTTGGATAATGTTGCGATGACACCGTTTCCAAACAACACTGAACGTATTGCTCTGCTTGTCGAGGAATTTCGTACGGTCGCAGAAGATGAAGCAGAGGTGAGCATATAGATCCATAAGTGCTTGATGATGAGTTGAATCATGTTTCCAGAAATGCGCCTTGAGAAATACCGTTACTCCGACGTCACATGAATTCGTGGTACAGGGAGAAGACCGATTGTACCTGGTGTACAAAGCCTGTTTTAACACTGCCAGCTCCCGATATCAACATGTGATCACCGGAGATATACCAATTACGTCGAAACAGGAGTATCTTGACAATAAAAGACGGATACCTTTCGCAACATTCACAGCAAGAACCCTGGAGAACATAGAGATCACATCTTTCATCAACAAAAATAGTTTTTCCATTGAGATCACATCAACGTCACCCACAGGGTACGAATCCCAAAATTTGTCCTGATAACGCTTACTCTTGGCTCACTTTATACAATTAAATCCAGTACGATAGCAATCTTAGAATGTGAAATCACCAATATCAACACCATCTACACTTGCCCTCTCTCCCGACGATATTTGGAGCCGGAATATCCTGATACGATGCTGTTCTATCTCTACGGAACGCCCGCGGAGACATTTATAGAACACATTCTCCTTCGTTCGCCAAACGTGCAGCTTAATGGACGAGTCGAGATCGACCTCCCTGGAGTCGACGAGAACAAGCTGAGAGCGGAATTCGAAAGGGGATTTATCATGAAGACGGACATACTCGAGCGTGCACGACTTCCTTTCACGCCCTCTCATCGCCCGACGTTCTTTCAGCCTGGCCTCAAGGCCAAGATATCGCTTTTCCACAGAGATTGCCACAAGTCTCGACTTTCCGACCATGTCAAGAATTACTTCGCGAAAGGCACGATGGTATTGAAAGATACAATATATGTGGACTTCGATCTTCTTAACCGCACCATGCATTGATATAGCCTACAAGATTTTTTTCTCCCCTTTTTTCACATTTCTGCTATCACACGTGGTGTTTAGATCTCGTGTATTTCTTTCACTCCCATCAATCCATGAAACATAATGTACATTATTGTTATTATCTTGCTAGTATCCAACAAATCACTTTCTCGGTTTCTTGTATACACTATTCTTTGTCCATTGTACATCTTTTTGCGCGAAACACAAATCGGCAACAGGACTAAATCAGAAACGTACCAGTAGCAATGCGCATCTACGTAGCCATGCATACACTCCACTTACATATCATCGCCACTCAGAATACCACCTGCCCATTTACCCAGAGCACACGCGCCAGCACCTAGGAGGAACGACCAATCAAAAAGTACGCCAAATAGCGAATATGCAGGCAGCGTGGTGAAGACATTTGTGCTGTCGTCAGCAGTAGGGAATTGGCCGTCGTCAGACGATGGTGGTGGGGTGGTGAATGGTGGAAACGCGGTACGTAGCTGGACTAGGGTTGAAAGAAGATATATACCCTAGGGAGTTGGAACGTCAGGTAGGAGCTATTGCAACGAGAAAATGTATATTTACCATGAGCTGTGCTAGAGTTAGGAGCATGAGAGACGCGGATAAATGGCGCGATGTGATGCGAAGCGCCTGGGGTTAGATGATCAGTGATGGATCACGACAGTCAGCGACTAATGATCAAAACGCACCCTAGTGACGCCCCGCAGCACAACCCTTACGCTACTCAAGATGATGATTCCCACAAGCGCGAGACTGATTTGCCTAGAAAGAGAAGGAACATCCACTTTTAACTTCCCAACGTCGTCATAGCCTTCCGAAGAGAGAAGTGAAAAGATATATGCGAGAAGGTGGGCTATTATGTCACCATACGACGAAGGTGATGTTTCTGAGGAGGATGAAGGGGGAAATACAATGTTTATTATCGACTAGCCAGGCAATCCATGATCAGAAGGGGCAAATGGAGGAGTTGAAACGTACATACACTACAAACCCGCCCAACACAATAAACAGCCCATATCCTAGTCAAAAGTTTTCCATGAAATGAATGTGCAAACCGGGCAGCTGATTGGTTGGACTTGAGAGTAGACAGACGAGTAGACATTTCCGACTCAAGTGCTTGAAGTCCTATCACTTCTTGTTTCAAAGAACTGAGCTCTGTGCAAATATGAATTGGCGTTTGACAATATGATGGAATATAGCATACGAGAATCCCTGTTAAATGGCGCTATTCGTGAAACCCATGAAGCTGACTGATTTTGCTGTGAAATATGTGAGGAAAGCATATAAGGGTGTCGATTCAGCGGACATACAGGTGGTGGCTGATAATTATCCACTTCACGAGTGCGGTCGCCCAAGTCAGTCCTAACTCGGTCTAATGCATGCTCAGCAGTGGCAATAGATGAAGCAGAAGATAGCGGGCTGTAAGGGAAATATATGAGTTTAGCGATGCTACGCAATGTTCAAATGAAGCTCACGCTTGGCGACCAAGCACTCCCCAGGCACCACTGACTGCACCGAGGCCTGAGAGCAAACCGAGGATAGTGGTTCCGAGGACGACGAGTCGACAGGTGACTGCTGAGAGAGGACTGTAAGAAGAGAGAGCAGCAGGGAGCGGGATGTAGGATAGGAGAGAGAGGAATAATCCAACTGGTAGCAGAACGAGAGCGATTCGTATGAAAATAAAGCGGGTTTGAGAGCGGGTGGAAGTGTCTAAAGGTGCTGGGTTAATTGCTGGGTTAAGACGGACTTGGGGTGTATGACGAACCAGAGTGAAGAGTCAATGCGAAGCTGAACGAGATTGGTACAAGCAGGAGGATTGTGGATAGAAGAAGGAAAAGAGAGAAACGCCAGTTCAACATGCGAGAACTAGTGAAGTCGGGTCAGGTTGTACTACAGGAGAAAGAGAGGAATGACTGACGACGGGTCCATGAGATCCAAGCCTTGAAACATGAGAATCATGAACAGTATGCAATTCTCTGCAAAACATAGTGAAAAGCAAGTCTGTGCTAGTGTCGAGTGCAAGGCAGATGTTGCAGTTGGCTTTGGGATTGTAGTGGTGGAGGGCAACGTGTCCTGTGGTGCCAGATGCTGCAAATCATTGTACAATTTTTTCAACAAAAAGCGTCGACAGGCGAGAAACAACGCAGTTCTAGGTGTGATATGTTAGAGGAGGGTGTTTGGAGTGGAAGAAAGAGCGTACAGACCTTGCGAGTGCGATGAGGAGAACGGATTCAATCATGGGTGTTTCCGCATTGGGAGGATTACGTTATTTGCATTGGGTGCAGGATGGGTGGCTGTGTGCACAGCAGAGACAGCCTCGGTCGGCGTTTGGAGACGGAGACGCCGACAACGACGTGAGCAACGACGACGACCATGGACGACCCATCCAGAAAATCTGACCCTTCCCTTCACCTCGACATCCAATCCGCAACTGCTGCAGACCTCTCCTTCACAAACCAGTCTCAGCCTCATGTCTGTCTTTTTCAATCCGCTTTTTTGTCGAGACTAATACCTCTTCTTAGGGAAACATCTTCGTAGCAGCACAGCGAGGAGACCTCGACGTCATCCGCGAGCTTGTCGAGTCGGGTCAGGCTACTGTCACAGACAGGGACGACCAGAACGTGTACGTTCATTTCGTCTTTCATTCACTTGTATATTCGCTTCTGACGATGCACTGACGCCACAATAGTACTCCTCTTCACTGGGCTGCTATCAACGCACAGCTCGCTACTTGTCGCTACCTTCTCGAACAAGGGGCTGAAGTCGATGCTCTTGGTGGAGACCTCATTGCGACGCCCTTACAATGGGCAGCCCGCAATGGCTACATCTACATCATTCAACTCTTAATATCTTATAGCGCAGATCCTAGCATCGCAGACGCTCAAGGCTACAATGCTCTACACCTCGTCACCCACTCCTCCTCAGTCATGCCACTCTTGTATCTTCTTCATCAACCAGTCAACGTCGACTCGCGAGACTCGCAAGGTCACACGAGCCTCATGTGGGCTGCGTACCAAGGCGATGCCTTGTCTGTTGACTTGCTACTCAAACATGGCGCCAATCCCAATTTGGTGGACGATAGTGGTTTGACTCCCTTGCACTGGGCCGTAGTAAGAGGAAATAGAGTCTGTTTACGCAGATTGATTGAGATGGGTGGTGATATACACGCAAAGGACACAGAAGGGCGTACCCCAAGAGATATGGCTGTTGAGTTGAAGAGCCTAGGCGCGTGGAAAAGAGCTCTAGAGGAAGGTGGTATGACAGAGTATGGAGTCCACAAGACGAAACCACTAAGTGAAGTATGCACGAATCATCATCTTCAGTCAATCAAACACACTCACCCCCTTCTCTTCAATCAGCGAAACACAAAAATGGCGATTTTCGTCCTTCCTACGCTGTTCTTCTATCTCATATTTACTACTTTATCTATCCTTCCCTGGTATACCGGTATTATACTCGCCTTGGCAGAATTCTTTGCCATGCATCATGTAAGTCTTCTTTATCTATCATATTCTGTCAGCAATTTTGAAAAATCGTTTATGTAGATCGTTACTCGTGTCCTTCTAAATAAAGACACTTACACAGGCAGTGTCAACCAAAGTCCCTACTTCGCTGGTATAATTGGTGGGTCGATGACATGGGTGGGCTACTGCTGGATAACGCGACTCGTTCGACGTGAGTGCTGATGTTTCCCCATGAATGTTTTTCTTATAAATGCAATTGCATGCTATGTTTAGACACTCCTCACCATGCCTTCCTCCATCTTTCATTCGCTCTGACATTTGGATTATGTGCCTACAACTTTTTCCGTGCCATAACACTTGATCCCGGCGCATGCCCTCGGCCTGCGAACGACGGTGAGCTCAAAGCGGTGAGCACTTTGCTTACTCGACCAAGTTTTAAATCTGACAGGAATTCATTCAATTGCATGATTACTATAATAAAATAAAAAGAACATCGAAGATCTCGCATCGGAAGGGCGGTTAAATGGACAAACCTTCTGCATACAATGCATGGTAAGTGTTGTATGTAAACGCCTCTGTCCTCTTTCTCTATATATCATTTCTAGGCGCGAAAGCCTCTGCGTTCAAAACATTGTCGAGTGTGCGACCGCTGTGTTGCGAGAAGTGACCAGTAAGTTGCGCAGCGTATTTGATTAAAGAGATGAAAGAAATGATCATTTTTCTGTAGTCACTGCCCATGGGTTTGGAATTGTGGTACGTCACATTTTGTTCTTTTCTAAGCTTCAAAGATCATTTAATTAACGATTTTTTTTTATTCTAGTGGGAGCTAACAACCATCGTCAGTTCTTATTGTTCGTCACCACCCTTGTAATTGGGATAGCACTATTTGATTATCTCTGCTATGAATGTGAGTATCCATCCCCCCTCCTGAATGCGTAAAGGTTATTAATCTAATCATTCTTATCCAGTCTTCGCCCTCGAACCGATCTCCCCACCTTCGTCGTCGGAATCGGAATGCTCCACCCCACTCTGCATACCCTCATCATCTGATCCCTTCCTCTTTTCGGTCGCAATGTGGGCTACCCTCCAACTCAGCTGGACCTTCGTCCTCCTCGTCACGCAGTATTGGCAAGTCGCACGACAACTCACCAGCTTCGAAGTGAGCAACCTCGGCCGATTCGGATTCATGGGCGGGCGTGGGTCACTCGCGGCCGGCGGGGGCGGTGCAGGCGTTCAAATGGGACACCGACACAATCACTCACACAGCATAGGCGCAGACGCCGATGCTGATGGATCGATGGATAGTGTCAGTGCATCCGGAGGGCACAGACACAAACACTCGCACGGCGGCTCCTGCTCGGCACTTACCGCCCCAGGCTCATGTACTTCGTTCCTGTTGAACCTCCTCGGACTCGACAGGTTCACGCGTGGGCGTGCGGTAGCTGGCTTGGCGCTCGCATCGTCCTCGCCTGCGTCGTCGCGTGCGCGCAATCCATTTGATCTTGGTGTTGTGCGGAACTGCAGGGACTTTTGGGTGATGGGGAGGGAGGTGGGTGTAGAATATGGCAGGGTGTATGATGTGCCACTTGAGGGATTCGAGGAGGCGAAGAGGAGGAGGGAGGCGGACAAGGAGCGGGAGAGGGAGTTTGAGCATGAGCATGAGGGTAGCGGAATTGGGAATGGGAGGGGTAAGGGTCTGTTTGGTAAGTTGGGTCTGAGGATGAACATGGGTTCGGGAAGGAGAGGTTACGAGCCTCTAAACACGAGTCAAGTATAGAGGTATAGAGTCGGACCACCTTTCTTGAGCATTCATTCATTTCCTTCAAAGCTGCTCTTGCTATCACGTTCAACTTTCGTACTTTAGTTCTGACCAGCCACGAGTCGCCCAATGTGGATGAGAATTTCAGGTTTGTTTCAAGTCCATGTATCGAGAGATTCTGCCTATGTCTAGTTTGATTTGTAAAATACCGTCCTTCGTGACACTATTTATACTACTCTATCGGATCACTAGACTTTTCATAGTGTCTATTTTACCGACGGATCAACATGTGGTAGAGTATTCGTGTATGCACTGGGAGTATAACATGATACTTCTTGCATGTAATGCCGACAGGCATTTGCAGGTGACGCGTCAACCGGACGCATATATTCATGTGTTTCTTCGAGTAATGCGAAAATCTCAGATTACCGGACAAGCTGAAGCCTCAATGCAACTCAAAAGTTCATAAACCGTACTGCATAAGATTTGAAAAAGCAAAGGACAAATAGCATGATAATGCAATACAGCACTCACAAGAGCGTAACACCTTGAAACGTTCTCCGCTCACTTCGCTGCCTGTAGGAGGGTCTACTGACGTTGAGAATTCAAATTCAAATAACCTTTGCGGTCGGATCAAGCGAGGTTTATTGGAGCACGAAAGCTTGCCCGAGCGAGTCGGCAGTATAAACTTGGGGACCTGAGTCAAACGAATGCTTCCGGCCATGAAATGATCGCACAGGGAGTAATTCGAGAGTACACGTCGGGGGCTCGGAGGTGCTGCTTCGACATCCGGATGACAATGATTAGTAGGCTCAGTAGATTCGGAGAAGTCGACGGAACGGGCAAAGATAAGCATAGTCACACGATTGATAGTGTCGCGATTGCGAGTATGTATGTACGGTGAAGTCATATTCGCTGACTACATTCGTTGGTGTTGATAAGAAGGTTCATGTAATATCACTGTTTAGGAGTGACAGGTCGTGAGCTTGGTATAGGAGACGGTGGAGGTGGTGGAGGGTTACAGCTACAGTACTTACTTTGACTGAGTCATCGGTAGAATGACGCCGACGAGAAAATGAAAAGCGTCACTGCTGGTGCTCAGTTATTTGTGGGGTGATTTTGGTTCAGGCCCTTTTCATCTCCCGGAGAGCCCCATTGCGTCACACTCAATACGTATTCACCGTCGACTCAGATTGGCTTGCCCTATAAGGTACACTATGAGCTGTTTGCGATGACGCGATATGGTAACCTCATACACGGTGCTACATCAGATTCCGGCATGTCCTCTAATACGAATAAGACTTAACTTACCAGCACTCCATATTTGACAATCCATAATCCGGTCACGTTCACCACGGATGTAAAGACAACAAAGGCGGAGGAGTGGCAGGACATGTGATATAATTGAACGAGTTGTGAGACCTGAATAGGTTAAAACGATGGCCCTGTGATCAAAACATCGTGGAGTCTCGGGCTCTTTGTAGATATGATGATCAAATCGACGAAATGTCACGGCTCCGAGAGTGGCGACACGAACTTGAATGGCGTGAATGGTAGGGGCGCCGTAGTACACGAATCAACTTTGTAGTGAGCTCAAAGAGTTTCAAAAGATAAAAAGAAAAAAATAAAAAAAGAGGATGGCCAAGAAATACTGTAATAGTGTTTCAGCTCGTTGTCGAGACTCGTGTTCATGCCGCCCATCATGGGAAGAAGAAGTGCGTTAATGAACCTTGAGAGTCTGATTCGCTTATACTGTCAGTGATATTGCTCTCACCGTCGCTGTGTGATGATGGTGAGTGCACACAGTCGTACGCAGCGTTGCGCAGCTGTGAGCGAGGAGCACTCACAAGGCGTCTAGGTGAGACAGCGCTGCGGGTCACTGCGCTGGTTGCCGACGGCGTGGCGGTACAAATGGTGTGAATATATGTCAAAACTGGCCGGGTGCACCGATTATCTGATTAAGATAATACTATATTCGGCGGTGGTAGTCCCAATAAAGAAATAAAGTGACGAAAAGGCGATGACAGTTGAGGCACGCTCCGGAGGTGATGTAAGAGAGCCCAACTCGGTCCTTAGCGTTGATCTCTGATGAACGACTGCAGCTCAGCCTTTTTCTTGCCAGCTATAATTCCTCTGCTATGTTTTCCTCCTTCTCCTCATTCCTTCCCTCAGTCCTCCAGTCAAACCAGGAAAGGTCCCCCCAACCCCCCCTCCAGCACGACCCCTCTGCTGTTCGCTTCACCGAACACCCCACAAGCACAACGGATGATCCAGCCATGAAGAAGAAGGAAAAGAAAGACAAGAACGCCAACGAGGTCTGTGTCCTCTCTTCACTCTTCTTGTTTTTTTTTAACTCTAACCCGTCTTTCCAGACTTTCATTGTCGTGCGCCCACCCCCGTCAAAGTCGAACCACCCACTTAATCTCCAAGTCCAGCTCGTACCCCCACACGCTCGTAACGATCGTTACTCTACTGGCTCACAGTTCGAGGCTTCTACCGGTGATTTTACAGAGAAGCAGTCCTCCACTGACCTCACTCGCACCACCTCTAACAGGTCCGAAGCATCTGCCTATTCTGGATACACCTCAGCGGCCTCAATTTCCTCATTCTCCTCCTCCTCCACCTCAGGACGGCGCATGATCATTCCCTTATACAACCTCCAAGCACACAATGTCATGACAAACACCATCGTCGACGCTGGCACCGATGCCAAAGTTGCCAAGTTTGCCAAGAGGGGTTTGGAGATACTTAATTTGGCTATCTTAGAGCCAGTTGAGGTTTGGGGGGTTAATCCACTCCCAACTGCCTTGCCAGGAGGAGGTAGCGCGCGCACTAGCGTCGATGATAATCATCGAGACTTTGGTTTGCTGCCTTTACCTCAATTGGCTTCTCCTTCAAACAGGCCTAGCACTCCAGACAGGTCCCAGCTTGGACTCATGCCACCAACTCATGACCGCCAGGTCCTTAGGAAACCTAGCGTCGCAGTCATTCCTTCCACACCACCCTCTTCTATCAACATTTCTGGCGGCACTACCCCTCAAAATGGAACTAAAAGGTTCCTTGGAAGGATGTTCAAGAAGCGTGATCCATCTCGTCCCCTTTCCATCATTGAAGTCGGTACACCATCTACAGTAGTAACCCCACGCAGCACGTCGCATACGCGTACTCATTCTACCGCGCGTCAATCCTATGACTTCTCACCCCACTCCGAAGCGCCACTTATGACCGACAAGATGTCATCACCCCCGATACAAAACCCATCATCCACACTCTGTCCTCCAGTACTTGGTATCCAACCTGCGCTCTATCCACCTATATATCCCCCCAAAGGCCGGCCTACGATGTACGTCTGGGTCGTTCGCAAGTGGCTCAAGGGCTGCGATAACGGCCTGCTGAACGAGATGATGGGCAAGCTCAGTATCAACAGCCGCAGTGAATCAAACGCGTCATATTTTCCTACGGGTTCTTCACAGGTCGAAGTACGATTTGAGTGGTCCAGAGGGAAGAGCGGGCGGAAACGTGATAGGGAACGCGGTCGTAAGGATGGCGTATCCAGAAAAGCTTCTGTGGCTGAAACAGCCGCCACAACACATAGTGGGAACGGTAGCCGGCGTCAGAGCGCGGTACTCGAAACGTCCTCTCAGAGCCCACTGCACGCGAGCTCACCGCCACCCCGAAGTCCAATCGCGCGCACACTCGACGCATCGCACGCGCAACACCGTCAGTCTACCATCTCGCATCACAGCACGAGCACTGACACGGGCACGAGTGATGAACATATGGGCTCCACGGCGCTGCATGAAGACTCGGGTGATGAGAGTGATCCGGAGGATTCCGAGACTCCTTGGTCGTGCGTCGTGTCTGTTCAGCGCATAGGGTCATCGCCCCTCGGGCGCTCTGGCTCTGCTACGACATCGACGTCCGGCTCTGGCTCGCGTGACCCCCACTCTCACTCGCATCACCGCCGCGATAAGGAGCCAGGGGTGCGCATAAAGGTGGCTACGCTCTCGCCTTCGCCGCATCATCCCAAGGTTGTGGCACTGCTGAAGATGCCGTTCCCGCTGCCAGATATAGAGGTAGAGAAGTTGGTCGTGCATAAACGGGTGATTACTTCGCACGGCGTGAACCGTATGGTGCCGGTCTCAGGGGAGCTGGTGTTGACTGCTGAGGAGATAAAAGATTCGATTTCGTCTACTGCCTTGTGGCTGATTGTGCGGGAAGGCTTTGGTGGCGTCGGGAAAGTTAGCAGGAAAGGTGATGGCTGGAGGATACGAGCGTGAACTTGGGCGTGCCCAAAGTTTGACGAAACTTCGTGTCTCTAGTCTAATCCCCCTGCTGAATCATGCTCTCCTGCTCTGCGGTCGCTTTCGTCGCAAGTTACGTGTCAACCATTCGGGTTAGGTGTACATCGTCTTCATTCCCCTTTTCCTTCAGCATTGTCCCGTGCATATATCCGCACATAGCATGCAATCCAACAGTACTAGTGCTTTTTGGCTTACTCACGCGTTTACTACTAATCTAGCTGCTAGTTAGTGCCATCTATTTATTCCATCTGTCTCCTCTTTCACACTCATCTCATCAGTTGTTCATACCTTCCATTCTTTTTCTCGCCTTTATCTTCGTCGGTCGTTTAGGAGACCCATCGGTCTACATGAGAACCAGTAATTTGTATTACACACTACATCCCAACAAGAAATTCTCCATTGTAACCAAGAGAGTTTGTGCGAACCTTAAGACCGGAATGGACTTCGCAGACAATTGAACCAAGAAATATAACGACCGAGACCCTCGCATCAATTACAGATAATAACTGGACCCTGGGGATTGAGAGAGAAACCGATGATACCCAAACCTAAACCAAAAAAATATAACAACAAAAACACCGCACTATTTGAAAATGGCAATTGTACCCTGAAGATAAAACCGAGAGAAATCTATGATGGGCCACGATACAGCCCCTACCAACAAAGATGAGAATAACATTCAAGCATTCGATCACAGGCTGAGCCCGATTCTCAAGGATATTAGCAAACAGGAGAAGTTGTCCCCCCCCCCCCCAACCAAGAGACGCTACCGCACGGTGTTGATGGGTTGTGCGGGGTAAGTGCCATCAGATGCGGCCGAGTGCCTTATTTCCACCCTAAAGGAGAGAAGCGCTTGTAAAGAGCGCCCCGACTACACACAATGCGGTGGTAATTCCCACTGAGCCAGTGAAAAAAAACGCTCACTCAACACCGCTAAACGTGAGAGGTCGTTGCGGGATTAGAGCCTGCGGTTGAGGTGGTCGACGTCGCACTGGTGGAATTAGTACCGGTGGAACTAGGAGCGAAAACAGAGTGTAAGCACGGATGCTGTTGGATCTCGAAGTACGCACCATCGTAGGTCGAACGGCCGGGACCATAAACATTATCGTCGGTCTGTGAGGATCAGAATCAGTCTTGGTAAAGTTCGAACAAGGCGCTAAGCCTTATCCCACATATGCAGTTACCTGTCGGTGTAGTGACGTTTCTTGATAAATGCTCTCCAAACTTGCCCTTGAGTAAATTCAGGGTTAAGCCAAAATGGAACAGGGTAACGCCGTTGGAACGTAACTCACCACTGACCACACAGAGTGATGTCTATTACGAGCTGTTGAGGGGCAAAGAACTCGCTGATGCTTACAACTGGGAGGGGGATAGGCGCTTGATGGGTCACCCCAAGAACTAGTATCAACGGGAGAAGTTGATGTTAGCTGTGTAATAGATTCGGGGATATCTGCTCGCTACGAAACCAATATCAGTTTGATATAAGGAGGATAGTCCAACGAATAGATCATGGACTTACACTCCAGAACCAGATACTGAGGATCATCATCAGAAGAAAAAGTAATGAAATCAATGGACAAAGCTAGGCATCAACAGCTTCGAGCGGGCTTACTATATTCCGGAGACATCAAACTGAGCTGCTAACACGCCCCCCCTGTGCAGAAGCAAAGCCAGCCCCAGAGCTGTTCCCTTTCGTCTCCGCAACGGTACACCCCGAACCCTGACTTCAGTCGTCGACCACAGAGGCCCCCGACTGGTCTTGGGGTGTTGTGTGAGTGCAGCGGGTGTTGTGTGTAAAGCAATCTGATTGTTGGGCATGAGGTTGACGCTCTCAATGATGCCTATCTCGCCATCGTTGGGCCAGTTTGGTCCATTTGTCCATACCTTGCAAAGCAATGGTAGCTGATATCAGATAAAACAGCTCTGAGAAACCTGATTGGATCCACGCACAGATGGCCAGACCTGCCATGTGTGGAACAATAGATTTCAGGATGGATCAAACATTGACGTGTAGAGAGATAACGCACGAGACAACCATAAGGTAAATGAAGAGCATCAATGATGAAAACACTGCCTACGGAGTAGAAATCTTGAGAGGTGATTCAAACCTTTGAAAGTTCGAAAGCACGCCACTCAGTGATGACCCTTCAGATCTTCAGCGATATAAACGGTATACAGAGTTTCTCTCAATATAATAGGGTACATCCTTGGTATTGTCAACTTTGATATGGCATTATTGGCACTATTGACGTAGGATGATGTAGACGCGCTTTGCTTGCCCACCCATGGCCAGATAACGTTGCTTTGTCAAGGAGCATAATTTTTTCTGCAAAGAATAAGAAATAAAGAGAGAAATGTACCGCTTGTCGTAGTTGTCAGAGTATGTCCATGCTGAGGGAAAAGTCCTGACCTGCATATTCCCGGACGATGTAGTAGGAAGCGCAAGCGCAACCGAAATAGGCGAGCCACGAGACGAGCGCAAACTTCATTCTCAACGTGTACGTTCACTGTGGTCCTACGGTGGGAGTACAAGTGAAATCCAGGGGATGCATACTCGCCATCAGGTTGGCGCGCTGGTATATGAGAAAAAAGCACAACAGCGCCCAGGAGAACGACAGCGTCTTTCTCCACCACCGGTCTGTTTATGCCGAATCAGTCAACGTATCTACCGGACAGACCTCGTTGACCCACGGTGAGTTTGGAGGCTTATCCTGGGCGAGCACAGTGAGTACTGGTCTTTTCTGGTGACTGTGGGACTTAAACTCATCAGCGGTAGCAGCTCACTCCATCTATTTCTTCCATAGTCCCGCACCAACCTTGACAGGTCTGTTCTCGAGATCTGGATGGCAAACTCAAAAGGACCCTATAGGTAGCCGACGACTTACCCCTCGCCCATCTCACGTTATCCTGTGAGGTATCTACTTTACCTTGCTCTTTGACCGACCTGCGCAAGCCTGGGTATCTGTTGTCAATGATGAACATGACTCGGCTGTCTTTGATGTGAGTAAGTGCCATGACATTCATATCACCCACCGGATGCATTTACAATGTCTGCTCGTGATTCCACTCAGAGCCAGGCAGTCCCATCCTGAACGCTGTTCCGAGTGATCGCTTCTGGCCTGGTGTCCTGGAAATAACATTGGACACAGGAGCTGTTTTTCTTGCGACGTATCTCGTCGTGTGGGACTCATACTCGGACGTCTTTATCGGAGGGCCTTAAGGCGCCTCTACCGCGACGTTAGACATCATTTGTTGGACGTATGGATCCTCGTAGTGTCATCTCGGCGGATATATACAACACCCAGCCCGAATGACATGCTATTCCTTTCTTGTCGTTGCTCTCCGATAGACATTAATGACATTCTCGGCTGCGTCATGCAGTACTCCGGTACCTCTGTTCTCGGAGCCACTGAGAAAAGCATCGAAAAGCAGCTAGTCCATCTCGTCCTCTGATTCGCCACTGGTAGTCGTGGAAGCAATCTCAGATTCGTTTCTCCTTACGGCGCCCATCGTCGAATCTCCTTCGCCTTCTATGCTTCAAGTTGCTTGTTTTACTCTCTTTGTTCGGCTAAGTGGCCTCACAGCCATTTTGTGTGGAATCAAGTGCGGAACGGCATTTGTGAGCAGATTGTCCCAGCCATCTCTTTATGTCTAACGCATATCTTACCCCATGGCGGTCATCTGCTCCAGACTAACAGACGGGACTGATAACCGCACGCGTATGCCCTTTTTACGCTGATGGGCACATCAACCATTCCTTAGCACCGATGCACCAGTCATAGTTCCATTCATGGCTGAGTGATGATCACGTGGATCAGACAGACACGATTGTGATGGCGCAGTCTTGTTTCGACTGCACTTGCTCTCTTCCGGATGCAGCCATCTACTTGTCAAACTGGCCCGATTATTAAAATAACAACCCCGAGTCTCCTGCATGTATGCTGTACATGCTGTACAGGTGGGAAATACGTATTCGCGATTTTACATGTCCTTGACCTCCGCATTGAATCTCAGGTTCATGATAAATTGACTGGGCAAACCCCCACTCGATCATAATCATTTTTTCCACCCCCCTCTCTTTCCTTGTCCTCCGTTCTATACACCCTTATAATGTCCTCCCAAGTGTGTACCATCGCTGTCATCTTGTTACCCCCCGGCACCTTTTAACGCACCACGTAGGTATCCAATGGCCAGAACCTTCAAGAAGGTGATAATTCTGCCCCAAGAGTACCACGGCGGACTGCAATGGCATGTCAATTCTGTAGAGGTTAGTGAACTACTCTCGTACTTTCTCAGCGTAGCAACCTGAATCGTTTTAGGGCGCAAGTTAAAGTGCGACGGCGGTCGTCCGAGCTGTGGAAATTGTAATCGCCGCGGTTATCCGTGCGTTTATACGCCAGTGTAAGCTACTGTCTTCGCAATGGGCCCGACATTTCCTTACCAACGATCGCCCCAAGTTCTGAGCAGCAAAAATAACCACTCCGCTCTACTTTTTGGGATCTGTCTCCTTCAGTCTTTGTTCCCGCGGCTTCTCTTCTGTCTTCTCTTCTTTCTTCTCTTCTTGAAGATCGGGAGAATCAGCTTTGACAAGCCCCACTGCCCCCTCGACATAGCTCGAAGATGTACTTCGCCGAACGTTTCGGACAGAATGCCGTAGATCAAATGGACGCAATAACTGATATTCATAGATGCTGGATATTCAACTACCACTTATTAGCCAATGTACTTAGTAACTTTTATCACCACGTCCAGTCTCTTGTCAAACTCCGATACAGCGGTGAAGTTCACGATCACTTCCAATGTAATTTTGTTCGCCGGGGAATTCTATTCGCTGTCGTAAACTCTAACACAATTTACCCGCTGATGTAGAAGGACTTAGTTGTACACGACGCTGAGGGAAAACCAGTGCTAAGGGTTCTTGCAATCATTATCATCACTGGAGCAAAGCTGATGGAAAGTATCATATAGTAAACATGGATAAAGTCACTCGATACAAAGGAAGCTAATCATATTCTTACGAACAGGTCACAAAAAGGGAACTCGAACGTATTGCATGCGGACTCGTTGCCCTATTCGCTCAACAAAATAGCTGTGAGCCACAGCTGATAGTGATGATTGGAACGTGACAACCTTTCTCCGGCGAAGATGGTCTCGACTGATTTTTTAGCATGACGTCCGAAATGTAGATCTACTCTCTTTGCAAGGAAAGATGTTGAAAAAGGGTGCGTAAAACGGTCCTTCGCTACGATATCTCCGGGGTCGAGTCTCTTCTAGCTATCGCGGCACTATCCACAGGGCCCATAAACGGCGCTAACGTTGACTTTCCGTCACCCAGCCCACAGAAATAGGAACCAAATACCTACAGTGGTCACGATGAGATCCTCTATGACGTCTGCGTAAAATTCTCCGGCTTTTACTGAGTAAAGGTATTCATCTGCACGTGTATTGATAAGGGTCAGCGTCATTATCCATATGTGTAATCACTCGATGCACAAATTAACTTAACTATAATAACTCGCAGAGCCCTCGTCATCAACATGTAAATGCGCCACAATCAGAGCGGACGTGCATGTGACTAGGTATGATGGTGCTAATTTGAATATTTTAGTAGGGAGGAGACTCACCATCAACATGGACGATTTCGCGTATGTTGATACTGCCACACGTACTACACATAGAGCTAGTGTGGCGGAACTTCATTATGGCAACTCGCTTCACCCAGAGGCGCTGGATAGCTTCTTGGGCAGAGAAATACAAAGTCGCAAGTGATGCTGTCCATCAAAACTAACCGATCTGGGCACGGCAAACAATACCCACTGCTAGAGACGAAATCAAACCGGCTTCCATCTACAAATGAAAATGTGAGCGACGGAAGGACAAAGGTAGTAAGCCACAAACCTTCATCTAGAAAGAGTTGCCCGAGTGATGTACTCGACAGGATGCGGCTGTATTATTGCATAACAGTCGAATGATAGTAACCCTACATGAACAAGAGCCGCTTGTGCCTGGTGTACAGGGTTTGGCCCTGGATGAGACAGGATTTTAGTAGACAGTATAAATGCATGAGGTGAGATGGAGGAAGCCCGTAAAAATCAGCTGAGCGCCCATATACGCTAAGGGACACATAAGGACATAGATTCTGTGCGCTGTCCCAGGCATGTAGATGGACAGAAATGATTCCGGCCATATATGGCTACCGTGTGCGAAGCCAATGCTGTAGCTTAATCTCCATCATTCGCCGATCTTGAACATTTCATAGCTCGAATAATTGAAAGTAAATCCAGTGTCGACAGCGTCAAATTGATAAAGAGATAAAAAGCACACCAAAACTAGGAAGTTGTCGAGGTTTATAAGGGGTGGTCTAATATCGAGGCAAAGATTTCTTTGAAAGTTAACAGCCGTGGTAACAAAGCCTACCTAGGGCGCTTAATTACGATCGATTGCACGACGACACCGAACGGGGAACAGGAAGCAGTTCCATTGTGTAATAGCCCGCTCAGGCTGTCTCGTCGCATCTTGAAATAGTACCAGTGGATTGTTCCTGAGAATTGTGAGTAAAAGGGCGACGGGTTGCGTTTGATGGTATAAGAACATATACCGGACTTCCAAAGAAGGATCAATATCACTGAGGGCGGTGAGTGCACTGCACTTGATCGTTTGATGGTCGAACTGGCCTGCCTGTCGGAAGGTCACGGTGCCGCATCAAACCATTATTAAATGCTGCTTTTCCTATGTCAGTCAGCATTCAAGGATCACAATGGGCGCTCACCCTGGGCGTCAGAAATGATACATACATGTACGAAACTGATTTCACCAAAAAGTACTGTGTCTGGTTTAGCAAACTTACAAATCCAGCGTGCCGCACGTGCTGCCGCGTGTTATCAATTCCGCGGCGTTCTCTGTCAGTCTCAATTTTAGTTCGAGTTGTTCTTCCTTCATCGTTTGGCAGTAACGGCGATGGATTGGTCCCAACATCTTATCCCTGGCTCATCAGAGGCATTTTACATTTCAGATTTTATCACTGCAGATGAAGAGCAACATCTATTACGCAAGGTACACTATCATTTATCCATCTCGCGAAGTATTCCTTGAGCGCCAGCTTGATCTATTCAACTTCAGATCAACGAGACCCCAAAACAAAAATGGAAAATCCTAGCAAATCGGCGGTACGTAGGGCATTTCTGTAGTATGTTCTTTTTATCAGATAGCCTAACGCATGACACGCAGGTTACAACTATGGGGTGGGCACGACGAGTCTCTCGTTAGCAGCACCTGCTCATTCCATCATATTCCCAGGGGGCGAAGTCCTGCAAAACGTTCTAATTCGTCAGGAGATGCCGTCATTTCTGAACAAATAGTACTTAGTGTTCCATATATCGATTTCAAACAAGTGAACGCCGCTCACTTTGCCGCTTAGCCCCGATGTTATAGGACGTCTTAAGGCCACAGGAGCTTTTGCTTCTTCCGCTCATAAAAGCCCCAATCACGTTATTCTCAACGAGGTAAGTAGCCATATGTCCTAAAATCGCGGTTTGTTTGACTTGCGTAGTACTTACCAGGCCAGGGTATCATGGTACGTGTTCAGCTTTCGAGCTGATGAAGGTGGGAGTATTCAGCCCCTATAAAGCCTCATCAAGATGGGCCATCATATCATCCAGTCGTAGCGACCATCTCTCTTGGATCTCACACCGTTTTTCACTATTATCGTTACAACAGCGACGATAGTCTCAGTAGTGCCGACACTACAACTTCTCCAGCAAAGGGGGGACAGGTTATTGACTCGACCCCTATTTTGTCAGTGTTTTTGGAACCTCGTAGCGCCATCATCACCACCGGATCTTTATACACACAGCACTTGCACGGTATCGAAGAGACTCGATTCGACACGTTTTCCGCGGATGGTGTTGTATCCCTTACTAACTCACCCTGTAAGATCCCTATAGCCAATTGGAAAATGGTCAGAGATGAACAAGCGTGTATGACACTCCACGAGGGAGGTACACTCGGGCGCAGAGCGCGGTATAGTTTGACGTGTCGAGATGTTGAAAAAGTGGCTAGCGGACATCCGCTTCATAAAAAGCGAGTGTGAGATACATGGATAGCATAGCAGCAGCCAAAGCAGATGGCGAAATCTAGTTTACACCTAATCGCAGCCCTGTCCACGGTGATGGAAAACATGTAGGACACACAGTAAACCCCAGAAATTTGGGTGTCAATTACTGGGTTGAATTAAATGCCCTTCCTATTGATCACTTTCCCCCATATTAGTAACTCGGACGTCCACGGAGCAACGGACGCCAAGCAGTTGTAGGGGTGACAGCAAAACAATGTAGGGAAAGAACGTCCGATTTGCGGACGGAGTGCTGTAAGAGCTTCCTTTGAAGAAGAATAAAGCAAGATACATACTTCTACAATCTATGTACAGGGCCAGGAGAAGATAGCAACGCATTAAAATGCCTGTGATAAAATGCACATCAGCCTCATGAAGGGAGTATATATGAGCATCAACGTACCAAACCAGCAAATAATCGAATATCTGACTGCGTCTCGTAGGAATCTCCTTCAATGCTGTTGACCTTTATTACGTCAAACCTGCCCGTAACGTGATTCCAGTGAAATATCCTCTTTACTCCCGACCAATGACACCATCGCACGCACCGCCAGCAAGGCTTTGCAGAGCCCAACCCATTTTTATTCACGCGAGCCACGTAAATGTCAGCACCGTTGACTCTTGGCTCTCTCCTGCGTATATTCCAACCTTTCTCGTGATCCATCGCCGATCCAAGCTCACTAGACGACGCATAGCTGGCGCGATTCATACTGAGGTCGCTCGGACAGGCTGCATGAGGCGAGTTCGCCCTGCCTGCATGTTTTCGAGAGGCCTTTGACGACCGTGATGGCGCTTCCGTTTGAGCTTTGGATTGAGGCCCCTGAAAGACAATATTCAGGGACCGCGCTCCCTTTGGGCAGCCGTTGGCCTGCTGTTTCATTCGGCGGTTTCCCTTTTTCCACCGTGGGTCGTCGATTGGAGCCTTGAACCTGCTGCTTGAAAGAAGGTGACATGCCAGTCAAATTGTATATAGCATGCATTTCAGCATGCATAGATACAGGCTTCCGATGACCATGCGTCCGAACATCATTGCCATCATAATGCGTTCGATGATGGTTGTGACCGGTGGATATAACCTTTCCACCCTTTACCAAGACGGCGCCGAGGTTATATGTCATCGAAGACTGATGAAAAATACTGTGAGCAGCCTGGATAAGTGACGATCTTGCGATCAACGAACCTTGGACGCAGCCTCTATGCATTGAGAAAGATAGAATTCGGTTTTGCTCATGTTGGTATGAAGGTGGATGAGAAGGATAATAGAGATATCTGCAATTTGAATGTTACAGCACTGTCTGATCCTCACTGAGTCACTTGTTATTGAGACGTCAAAATAGAGAAGTTGGAAACACAAGTTTGTATGTTTTCAAGTCGTTATCCAAACAATCAATCCAGATCACGTGACTATCATCGTGCCTACGTAAATACCCAATTGCAAATAATAAAGGAAAGAAAATATAACAAGTGTCTCAAGATACCAAATGTTTTGAAACCAGAATCCTGTTGGCAAGAGCTGTCAAGTTTGCATCTGCCACAACGACTTCTGGGGCATATTCAGCGTCAAATACTTGCTCAATGGCCGAACATATGCGTTTTGCCTGCCGCTCGGACCAAAAACTGAAATCATCAGCATCACGGTGCTCTCCAACAGAAAGTGGTTCAGAAGCCAGCATGCCTCCACACGATAATGGAATTAGTGAAGGATCCGAGTCCAAGCAAAGGGGAACAACGCGCATGAGGCAGTTCCGAACAGATGGGAAATCAAGCACAGACGGCTTGTCCACTGAGCAAATGTCACCATATAAGTCGAACAAAAGAGATATCTAAAAGACAAAAATACTCGCCATAAATCTCGAAAGGGCCATCCATACTCAGAACGTTGTACTTCCCATCATGGTGATAGCGGACCTCGAGTAACGTCTCAGCTCAATTCATCAAAGGTGGTCCGTGATTGAAGTTATTTACCTCATAGTGGCCAATTACCCACGGGAGAACATTGCCCTCGAATATAATAGAACCGGTTTCGGGTTCCAATCCCCGGGTAATGGGACGGTTAGAACCAAGAGGAATATCACCATCCCATTCTGCATCATGCACAGGAACCCACATGCCAAGAGACGATGTCTTGGTGACAAGGGTAGACTTGTTCGCTCCCACCTATTTAAAAATGTTCGTCAATATTAGCGATAGTTGTCGGTGTTGAAACTAACCCTGTAGATGCCAATCCAATCACGACGCGAGTGCATAAGAGGCGCCTGCCAGTTCACCTTAATAGGCTCACCTAGGTGGAAGCGTGAGCTACCAGCCTTGCTAGCAGCGATGGATATCCTGTATTTCGCTGTATCGTATGAGGACAAGTCGTTGGCCACTCGTCTTCACATGCAGATGGTCAAACATTTACGATGCAGCAGATACAATTAAACTCACGTAATCACGAGGCGTTCTCGAGATTGTTGGAGAAGAACCTTCGTCTCTTGCATAACTTCAGAGATTTTCGGTTTGGCTGTCAAAAAGTTAGCTTAGCACCACAAACTTAATTTATTGTTATTTAACGTGAACTCACATTTCGCTAGGAAATCTTCCACCACGTCGGCGGTTTCCTCATACACCTTGTCGAAAGTACCTTTGACTTCCCTGGCGACTCTTCTAATTTCTGGTGCGTGCCGCCCGGCCCGTGATTCCAACAGCCGTGCGTTCTTGCTCGCAACAGACTTGATGACTTTGACAAATCCAGCTTCTTTCCGTAGGGTGTTGCCATATAACTTTCGCATGTGGGGGCTATTACAATGATCAGTACAAGTAGCCTAGGAGAAGCGCCGAGAGTACGCTCACTTTTCCACCATCCGAAGGAACCACCAATGCGACAGAAATCTGATGACTGCTAAAGAACCGACGAGCTTACTTCCGCTCACTAAAGCAAGTCCCAAAAAAGAGGCACCACTCATTAACTCGGGATTGTTCAGGTAACTTTTCACAAAGGTTATTGGCTTTCCTATTGGTGAAGCGGAAGGAAATATACACCCACCGATAAATGCCGGTGTACTCTAAAAGCGCAGGGAAGTCGTCCATGAAAAAATCTCCATAAAACCACCCTAAATATGCACAATCAGATGTATACTGTCTTTCCAAGTTGAGATGTTTTACCAAATACTCCCAGAACTTCAAAAGATTCCATAGCTGCCCAGACATGAAGGCCAACTAGTAACTGGAAGGACCTGTGAGCATCGAGCGGTCCGTGACCAAAGGTTATCCACTCACTGTGCCTAGCGTATGACATAAAAGCTCATCCCCACCTGTCCAATTACTAGGGAAAGAGTAAGTTTTCCAGGTCAGGCCAATCAATGAAACTGTTAATCATGAGCGCGCTTTAGTAATATTTTTTCCCCCGGCCGCTGTTCGAAACTTACTATATGTCATACACAAGCTGACATTGTACAGAGCTTTCCAGTTCGTGAATGATTCTTGAATGGCACCTTGACCGTGATCATTCTGGGGATAATGGTAGTTCTTTAAGAAGTGCCGAACTAGATATTTTGATTCACTCTGTGCACGCAACAGAAGTCCAAGCCCAAAGCTGTGGAAGATACACCAGGCGCATGCGTGTACGAAGTGCAAAACTAGGGCCGTTTCATGAGATAACGCAGGCAAGAAACAACCTACGACGACGTAGAATACAATAAGAACAAGCATCGCATCCGATGAACTGTTATTAAAATTGTCAAAAGAGTAATTCGACAGTATTATGATAAATGTACGCACCGGAGTAAATCAACGTTGTGAAAGATGACGGTATCACTGCGGAAGTATTTGTTATGAAGATCGTGCTGCGAGATCGCACGTTCTGTAGGGGAACGTGGTCCGCGGCTTAAAGTGCGATCGATGACAAGCCTATCAAAGCTACGAGACTTCTTTGTGGTGGGTTTGGTCTCGCATTCGATCTCGGTTTCTGTTTCTGTCTCGAATTCTGTTTCTGTGGCAGTTTCACCTTCGGTCGCTGGCGGTGTTGAGAGCTGTTCTACAAGATCTTCGGTGATGACCGTCGAGTGGGGTGACTGTTTCTCCGGGCGGACTTTACGAACGGACGGAGGAAAGGGACGCCGCAAGGCTATGGGTTTACGTTTTCCGTACATTCGCTCGATGTCTGGATTAAACTCAGTACGATATTCTAATAGAAACAGGCAGTAAACTCACGAGGGTTCTCAAAAAACACGAGGAAAGCAAACTGGGCTGCATGCGCAGCCAAACTGACGAATAGCACCGGATAGCTGCCCACGATCAATGAAAGCCCATAATAGCCGGCATAGCCTGTCCGTCAAGGTAATTAAACCTCTTGACCCTATGTTCAAGTATTAACTTACCAACGGAATACATGGGATGCGGTGCAAGTTCAAACACGCCATCGAAAACCAGAGCACCACGCTGAAAGAAAACATCACCCCAATACCAGCCGTAATCCTTGACAACATCGTGGGCCTCGGTTTTAACCCACAGGTTGAAAACAATGAGAGCGATCCCACCGATCCACCTATAGATACGTAAGACAGATGGAAAATGATGAAAAGAGCACTTACCTCATGATATGAACAGTGATAGAAAGCTCTTCGGGAACTCGGAAGCATGAAAAGGCAAACATGCAGTATGCCATGAAGTCACTGTAGAGTGATTAAATGTATGAATTTGGCAGAGGTCATGTATAGACTTACTTAAGGAGGATCACGTCAACGAGTTGACGAAAAAGCAGCCAGGCATTATATTCAAGCGGAAGAGTCTATCAGGGGCCGTCAATTTTCGTCCCAAGAACCTTGCTGGAGTACACACATCGAAAGAGTAATCCTTCCCCATTTTTCCTGCGAGTTGTGCTTTAATCCAGTTTCTAGTGCCAGGTTTTCGACTCTCGTCGAGCCATCCCAAACGATTTATTTCTCTGACGATCCACTTCTTCTTGCTTTGTTTAGTGAGAACCCATCCTAAGCCAGCGTCATAGGCGGCGCGCCAAAATGCGAAATATAGGAAGAAAAATACTCTTGCGACTGAACGAGGCAACAAGAAGAAAAGCAAAAGCTGAGTCCCAAGAAGACTCAAATTCAGCAAGTCGAGGTGGCTTTTCGGATAGGAGGGATGAAACAAAGCTGTTAATACGTCGTGTGTCGTTGGAACGCGAAAGACTGTTCGACCCTATTTAAACAAGAACATTCCCTCAAGAAAGATGTTGCCACATACCTTCTCCACCTGGAGTTTTCCCCCAAACAACCTCATCGCATCTGGACTCTGCCACATTCTCCTGAGATTGGTGTACAGAAGCCTCAGCAAACGCGTCTTCTGGCTGTGGGGTCAGTTTTCTCTGGCGAAGCAAAGTTGGGACCGCCATTGTTGAAGACGTTCTGCTCGAACCGTGACGTGGAAGAAGTAGACCTTGGCAAAGAGAGAGACAGATATACAGTTTATGTAAAAGCTCATTTTCAAAATGCCGCTAGTCCATACGCTACACTCAAAAAAACACATGTCACTCTACGCGTCGGAACCTGCCCTGATGTCGTCAGCCTTAAAAAGATGACGGTGAACATTTTGCTACGTTTCCTTTGGTACCGTCGTACAACACATCGCGAAACATATTAATTCAGAGGAGCGTGGTTCGTTTTTGCACCATTGCTCTTTGCTCAGTCTTTGATGCCGGTGTTGGAGGAGGTTCTATCATTCGTACCCCTTTATATTCACTCCACACCTGACTTGTACTATTGGGTGTAGAGTTGCTAATGTTGGGGAAGACGGACATGAAGGGCATTTTTTTCGGCTGGCTTCTTGTTAGACTGGATGTCAACCCTACGAGGTGCCTAACATTCTTGCTGAACAGATGTTATCATCCATATGTATTTTTATCATAAACCGTACATACGGACGACGGTGTCTTGTTTGTTGTCCGTGGAACGGCGATAAATGTATATTTTCAAGCACCAGTATAGACCAGACATTTCGTCTTTAATTGGCTCGAAGCTATCCGGGGTTGCTTTTCGAAAAGGGACAACTTAACCATTAGGGTCCATATGTTCAAAAGTACATCTTCATTATTCATATCATACAACACATAACATCGTACATCACTAGTTGAAAGTATGCACCTCGGAAGTACCCCCAGTGGTGTACCATATAATGCATGCCGCAAATCGGCCTGACAGAGGCTAGGTTCGCCAATGGAACCTTCTCTTACCGTGACCCTACGGGCCATTGGGCGTGTCTCGTGAGCATCACGGTCGAGCATCCTTCCCTAGTTAGCTACATTCTCTCGATGGCCCCTTTCGCTCTCAACCTCACCAGGGATCTCATCCAGCTAATGAGGATGCTGCATCAGTACGAGCTGCACGCAACAAAACAAAATCATACCAAATCCAAATCCCTGAGACATTCTTCAATCACTTTAACTCCCTTCATCAGATCTTCTTCAGAGATAATCAAAGGTGGCGCAAAGCGGATGCTTTTGAGAAAAACATGTGAGTTACGCCACGAGGCCGTTGCAGAATAGTTGGGAAATTTACATGTTGACATGGGTTGGTTTGGCCAAGACGCCACGGCTCTTCAAAAGCAGACAAAATTGCCATGCAGTCCGTCCCTTCAGGCTCTTCTGTTCGTCAATAACAACGGCATTTAGAAGCCCCTTACCCCGGACCTCTTTGACCAAAGGCGAGTTGACGGCCCGTATGCCCGAGCGGAATTTCTCACCAAGTGCCTCAGCACGGTCAGCGAGCTTCTCGTCCACAAGCACACGAAGGGCCGTCATAGCAACTGCACATCCGAGAGGATTCCTAGAGGGCATTGACTTCAAACCATAAATGTTCACTTCGATGAAAACATACCCGCCATATGTACTGCCATGCTCCCCGGGCCTGATGCAATGCATCACCTCACGGTCCGCAAGAACGGCAGACACGGGATAAACTGTAGAGCAGGGTGTGATGAACATTTGGATTTTGGAAGCAATTAAAGGCTACGAACCTCCGCCCGACAAAGCTTTGCCCAAGAGGATGACATCCGGTCGGATGTTATCATGTTGGCAGCAAAGCATTTTCCCAGTGCGGCACAAACCCTACAATATCGTAGAATCAAAATCCATGACAAGAAGACAAAACACGCATGGCATACTGTCTGGATTTCATCACAAATGAGGAGCACATTGTGCTTTGTGCAAAGATTGCGGACTTGGGTGAGATAACCCTCAGGAGGAACAACAATCCTATAATGGAACATCCATCAGAAAAATAGGTCCATGAAACGTTATTAAAAACAAGCTTACCCTGCTTCTCCTTGAATCGGCTCAACGAGGAAAGCGGCTACATGTTTACCATAAAGTTCCAAAGCTCGCTCAAGATCAGAAATTTCACCAAAACGGATAGTTCGAAGCTTTCCACTGTCTTCGTATGTTGGCCCGACGCCCTCGAGATAAGGTCCGAAACCTCCACGGCTATCTGGATCAGTGCTCATACTGGTCAAAAAGGTATCGATGAGATTAAGATCGGAAGTCTAGACGGGCTCTGTAGACATGCCTGATTACGGCCAAGGTTCTTCCGTGGAAATTCCCTTCAACGCTAAGAACAATCGCTTTACCCTCGGGAACGCCCTTCTTCTCATAGGCCCATTTTCTGGCCAGTTTCACCGCGGTTTCAACGGCCTCTGCCCCGGTATTCATCGGGAGGACGCTCTCATATGAAAATAATTCTGTGATCTCTTGCGCAAATCTTCCAAACACAGAGTTATAGAACGCGCGAGACGAGAGCGTGAGCTTCTGGGCTTGCTCCACAAGTGTGGCAACTATCCTGGGGTGACAGTGACCCTGGTAAGGTGTCGGATGACATGAGTATGATGGACGTTGGGCCGGAGAATCCGTGAATGTCAACAACGAACCTGATTAACGGCACTGAAGGAGGGGCAAAAAGCGTCAATGACATATGATACTAGAAAAGGGTTATATGTCTTACGAGTAGGCAGACAACATGTCGATGTATTCATTGCCTTCAGGGTCCCATACTCTAGCGATTGAGAGTATTAGCAAATAAGACGGGCCAAGGGCAAAAACCGCTCACTTCGCTCCTTTTCCGGAGTCAAAAACGACAGGTAACGGATGGTAGCTGTAAGCAAAAAGGCCTCATGAATGGGTGTTCAAGCGATTAAAAAGGGACAGAGAAATGAACCGTCATTCAGACTCCCAGGTGGTGACCGATACAGTGCTAGTCTTTGGCCGCATCAGGAGAAGTTCTCAAGACCCGATTCCAAGGCACGTTCGATGCGATCCCATGGGCCAAAGTTGACTTACTTGTGTGCGCCGTACTGCTGCTCTTTCCGAATAAGATCAGACGAGGTTAGATGTTCTGCGACTTGCTTCACAGGCTGATGCTTCAGGGAGCCATTAGTGGCCCCATTGTTGGCTACTATAGCAGCTGGAGACATGTTTCTTTCGTAGGGGATGATGGATAAGATATCGAATATCGAGTAACGACGTGGCGGTAAAGAGAAAAGAGGGTGTCGAAATCCGCTTATTTGAAGTTACTCAGAAACCGACTCTTGGTTCCGCCCGTCACGCTGCTCCACTGTTCCGTTTTCGGTCACGAGTAATGGAGAGCATCCCGATGGCATATTCGCTCTAGCGCCCTTGGTCAAGCGGCATTCAGTCATCCCCGTGTAATCTTACTGCTATGTTACAGCATTGATACCAAGTGACCAACTTATCCATGCACCTACGTATCCCCAATAGATCCTCCCGGCAACTCCATCCTCTTCGCTGCCACTAATCTTTATGTAAAATATCTATATGGCAACCTCACAAGGCCTTGGGCTTCGTCAAAAGGTGATCGGATATCCTGTTGCGTAGATGAAAATACAATGAATACTATAACTAAAGCACAAACCAGTAGTATATGGGTGTAAGTTTCCACGAGAACCCGGCCACTGTACCCAACAATTGGGCCGACGGTTAGATAACCTTGTGAATACGAACGTAAGTGGTGAGATGCTCATACAAACAGAATCGTTAGCGTAAATCAGATGGCCATTCCTTTCTTCGTCTCCACCTGCCCTGACTGTCGAAGCGTGGGTTCGTTGGATAACTCAATCCGTCGTCGAGTCGGTGTCCAATCGGTACTACCAAGCAGTTGTAAGACCCAGGCACACAGAACACCCCCGCAAAGAAAACACGAATTTTGTGGGGAGAGATAAAGTATGTCAGACTCACAGAACCACCACCACATGTTTTTCCCCATGACAGCTTCCCAGTTGGCATCGCTACTACCCAACCACCATAAATTTCCCTCTGTCCCAATTTGCCCCCATTCCTGATCCCATTTTTTGAGTGTCCGCCGTCTGGCGCTAGATGTCAAGTAAAAAGGATATATATAAATTCATTAGCGAAATACATATGTAATGTATCGGATACTCACCCGAAATCGTACCACGAATACATATATGCTAGAGTCCCCGCTTCGCGCTCTCTCATCAATCTGAAACCGATAGACTCTACAGTCGTTTGGTTCAGCCGTATCAACATAATCTGTGATATCAGCATAAGGACGGCGAATATGCCAAAGAAACCAGTGCTGCGAAATTTATGGGTCAAGCACATGTGCAGAACGACACGGTGAGAGCGTACAGGGCAATCACGACAATGTGCTGTGGGTCGATGTCGTGAACCAACATTCTTGAATATGGCCTAACGTTAAGCCCAAGAAGAGTCGAGAACGTCCAACACGTAAATAGTACCGCCCATATCAAGAAAATCACAAAAAACTTGATGGGATAAGTGAGATAGATGGAGTTCGCTGTAAAGGAATGACACACTTACTCTATGATTGTAGGCGCCTACGCAATGACCAATCCCTTTAAGCGGATAAGCCTACGATAAGATAACACGACTCATCAAAGAATCAACTTACACGGGCAGTGATGATCATATTTAAGCACACACTGATGAATGGATGTGAGAAGATAGCTCATGTGAAAAGGACACAACGGGGAAAGTGGGGAAGCAGACGTACTGTACCACACGCTCGGCAGTGGTGCGCGCGGAAAGGTTTGATCAGCTCATCTTTAGAGCAGTATCGATATTCCGATAACAGAACCGGTGTTGACGGTGGCCGTCTCGAAAGCATCCGTGGTGGTAGACCTTCGTTCGCTGTAGAACAAGATTCGGATGGGGGTACGGCACTTGTGGATGGTACTTGTGCCACGATCGGTGTCAGCGCATTCAAGACATGCGGCTCCTCCGGAATATGATTCGTTCCTTGTGAATACCGATCCGGTTTAGCAACTGTCGAAGTAGCGGGGGAGACTAGACTATCGTCGTTTCCAGATGTGGGTGATGGTTGGTCTCTCTGTATTCTGCTATCTAATGTTGACCTTGCTCTCACAGGTTCACGAGACGCAAGTCGAGAAAGATCGACAGTGGGAGACGTAAGTTCGTAGGCGGTGCCTTGAAGGTCGTTTGAGTTCCAGGACGGACGTGCTGGCGGATCAGATACACCCGGTCTTTCAGACTTTTCGACTAACTGACCGAGCAAAGGCACATATATCAACGACAAATACATAGATACGAACAAGGAAAAACATACATCCTTGGCGTAACCAGGTGGTGTTATGACTACCTGCGAGTGGTGAGCGAGGTCAGCAAGCAGACTCTGTATAATAAGGGAAATGCAAACCATGGTATATGTCCATAATAGCATGAGTAAAAGCAAACAAAATATGATGAGAAATGCAACTACCATGTAAGGTGCGATCAGTATAACAGCGTAGCAAACGTTGCTAGAAGGTGCTTACTTCCCATCGGCTGACCTCCTAAAGCCTCACGATCCCGGATGATCATAGACACAGCGAACCTGCCGATATAAACGTAGCTACTGTAGGCGATAAGTCCAAGGGTGATACCGATGGTCATCTTGCGAACTATCCACGGTTGGGGGCGCGTTCTCCGCTCGTTTTTCTCCCTGGCTTGCATTCTCGCTTCCTCGATGACCCCGCAACATGTCTTTTCTTCTCGTGTCATATGTCAATAGAAAAGTCGTAGAGAACGTAAAGGAAGTTGTCGTTAATGAAAGGACGATGCAGGTCAGCTTTGAGGTCAGACCGCCGACGGTCTCCTGTGGTGCAACACTTTCGTTGACTGTCGCAGTGTTGCAGGTGAGGGAACGTTTCCAAAATTGAACGTGGGCAAACATCTCCTTTTTCGTCCTATCTGACGGCTGTGGCAAAACACACAGCAGTGTGGCGTAATGTTTCCGTCTGATGTTTCCGTCTGATAAAAAGAAAATACACATACAATAACCAAAAAATGCCTCATATTCAACTTTCTTCAACAGTTCATTACATCCGATTCTCTGTACAACCGTCAACTGTGGACGTATTGACAATGAGAAAGGCTCTTCAGATTTCCATGATGCAAGCATTCGGAGACACGTCTTCGAATACTTATCTTGATGTATTGTGGGTATCAGAAGATGGGTCGGAGACAGTCATCCGTACAAGTCAACGGTAATATCTATTCCCTCCGTCTTTCTTCTCCTAATCTGGCTGATTCTAGCGATAGGGAAGCAACGAAGCTCATGGCAGCTATTGTTTTATCAACAGCCACGCCGAAATTTTCTTTGATAAAGGAGTCGCCATTCCTACCCTCGTTGCTGTCAAGCATAGTTACTTTGTAACCCATGTCTCGCCCAGCCATAATCAGACAAATAATGGTTCTCTGTTGTTTGACACGAAGTACACCAATGGGGTTGTATGAACTGAGGGTTTGATCGCAGGTTGCAAACTATCAGCGGTAATAGCATATGTTCATTCAGAGATGGTGACCACATTAACTCAGCTATTCTATATTTACAGTTCGGAGTTCTTCTAAGGGGCGTTTGTTCTGACTATTGCGAGTCTTAGCAACAATCTGTTGAACCGCCGCCTACACCGATGACCCCACTGGCTAGGTTTTGGTACACACATTTGAAATTTTGGAACCAAAGGGCTGGAAAGCGGAGATTCCGGATTCGTTTGGACATCGAAGGGCGTTGATAAGAGATACGAGAAAATTTGAAGATATGTTGACATGCGGGGTTGGCGGAGTTGGTCAAAGGCACTAGTCTGAAAAGGAGCCTACGAACGATCGTACTATTCATGTTGTGATTAGCAACCAGCGGTAAAATCGGACTGGATTGAAGAATTCAAATAGAAAAACCTCCATAGCGCTCCATAGTTTCGCCGAACACAGTTGGTTTCTCCATTGTCCAGGATCTTCCTACCACGAAGACCGCTATAGAGTTTGTTGCAGAGAATGACTTGTTGAGAAGATGCAGGTTTCATGCGCGTACACGGGTTCATCAAGTGAGTCTATTCATGGCATTTACATGATATTCATATTGATAACCAACTGATCTTTACAGATGCAATCCGATTTTCATATCTGTGAGAATACCCCTGATGACCCTCTTTCTTGTTCGCCCTCTCAAATGTTGACGGTTTGGACAGGCGGCGTGGACATGCGGTATTAACGGCTGCGTGTCAGACTTGTGCGGCTGCCGTGCTGTCAAACAAAAATGGGATCGGGACTGTGTTGAATTGCCCATGCTGAATGTCAGCAGAGATCTCCTAAGTGAATGGTATCATGAGATGTCAATTACTCAAGTAAGTAGCAAGTAGCGACGTGAGCGGATCGGTTGCAATGTATCTCTCTATTTCCAGCCAGAACAATTGTCCCAGCTGTAACAGTGCCACGTCAAGATCGTCAGTGTTCTGTCTTGGATATTGAGATGACCTATTTCCTCGAAATTGGTGTGAGAGGTCAGATTGCCAATTTTCAAGAAGCACAGGCACCCATAGACAAAAATACAACAAACTTTGTAATCTCGATTGTTATATATACAATTCCCTCACGCATTTTCAGCTGCCAGGCGCTTTTTTGCGCACTCCACAAAATCATCAATCGCCGAAGGCCAGGCAGCTACAAATCACCATAGTACATTAGATACCCATTTTGACGCTTTTAGACAAGACGAATGGGAAACTTACATTCTGGATCATATTTCTTAAAGTTCGCATCGATGGAGCGCACAAATTCCAAGAACTAATTCCCCGGGTAATACAGTATGGGTCAGAAGACCAAGATAATGGACAAGGCTGGCTTACCATTGCCCAGGTATCCTTGCTGACGCCTTTGCCACCCCTCTCATCCACCAGGAACTCGAACCACCATCTCGTGTACTCGTCTTTCCAACCTTCCTCTTCGCCCATATCATCGTCGTCATCGAAATCCCGAGAAGACGCATGTGCTAAGGCACCCCCTTGCAAACCATGAGGTATCAACAGACCCCAAAATGCTTGAGCCGTATCGACAGCTGGTAAGGAACGTGTATCTATAGCTCACACCAATGCGACAAGATAAAGAAAAAAATACCGAGACTTCTTTGGCCTTCTGAGCGCGCAAAATCGAACGTATGGTTGTATACTTGATTGAAATACTGTGGGTCGGATCCCAGCCTATCTCTCAGGCGTAGCAAAGCCGACTTCATTGTCGGAGTGGAGTCACAACTGTTAGAAGTGTCAGATCGTGCTTATCAAATGAGAAGCGTTATTACTCAACCCAATATTTTTCCATCCTTCAATCCAGCCCTTCTTGTTCCACTGGCCCACTTTCGGCGACTTCAACTCGTAAGCGACTGACAACATAACAACATCTTCGGGATTAACTCCCAGATCTTCACAAAGCTTTATAGTCCCGTCTACTGTGATTTCATCGCCGGTAGGATCTGTGATGGGTTTGTGTCAATCACTGAGTGTATCTTGAACAAATTAAGCCCACACTCACCTTTGTATTTCTCAAAGAGAACCGTCAGCTTGCTAGTCGAAGGGGCGTCGGCTCGTCTGACGGTTTGTGGATTATTATAGTATGCATCGATTGCGATATCTGTCCGCTTATACTTGTCAAGATATTGCCTTGCATCCTTTGTGCTGATGAGACCATTCAACGACGATACAGGCGGGCAGCAAGAATGTACGATAAGGGGTTTGAACACTCTGGATAACCGTGCGACTCACGTAGCGCCAGTGACAGCACAGAATTGGGTGATAGCAGCGTCGTCGGCTCTGCCAGACTTAGACAACCTGGACTAAGAGAAATACAAAAAGAGACGATCTCAGACGTTAATGACCTCGGAAAACGTTGAAAGGGAGTAGGAAAGTGCAGCACAAACCATTGATATTGACCGAGTATAACCTCGGATTACTATCAAAACTAGGAGAGCAACGGTAAGGCTCAAGAATGTTTGGTCGACCACGACGGATACCTGAGCAATGAAATCAAAGTAAATGATAGGCGGGATGCAGCACAGGATTCTTGTTATCGGCGTGAGCGAAACTCGCGAGTGAGCAGGTCTATCACTGGCTGATCTGAGGATGACCAAGTCGATAACTCGCAAGAAGCCGATGCCGCTGGGTTCGAATTGGCACGTGGCCTCTGAACAAACGTACCCTTCCACCATGTCCCCAGTTTTGAGTACATTTGTCTGGTCGAAACTCCTTATGGTCGACGACTTGCTGACCATGCTCTTTGCAGTATGCAATGACTGCTGTCTATCGTACACGTGTTCCGGTGACAGTACATCAGCTTGACTTCTTTCGTGCTTCATGTCCAACAATCACAGCAAGCGTGATTCCAGTTTCCTCGCCGCTTTCTCTCGGCAGTATAGCTTTGACTCATATCGAAATTTCTCTTTTCTGGGCTCCGTGCCATCTCTGAGCGTCTCGCTATTGGTTCCCGATTTCCGCAGTTTTGTTTGATCGGACCTTTGTCCGACGTTCATGCCGGAACATGGTTATTAAATCAATGAACATGGCGTTCATAGAAGGTAGAGCATGCTCCAATTCCAGTGATATCGGAAGCGAAGACTGATGGCCTTTCTTCCAGCACACCCGCAGTCCATTGTTTAGGCTTAGATCACAACTGTGTTGGCACGTTTTGAAACTCTGCGATGGCCGACATCACAACTTTTACCGCTCATATGACTTTGGAGTTGTCGCCGATCACAGAAGCGGAAGCCTTTTTTTCTGCCCTTCACCTAAGAGAATATGACATGTCAGTATCGTCATGATCCTGTTTTTGGTGAGCCCCGTCAAGTGCCGCATGCTCCGAGTTCCCCACTTGACTGCTTCGAGTTCGAACAGAAGCTAGCCTTTTAGGAGGTTCTATTATGACTTTCGATATGTCTTTCAAGGTTCTGCACGTAAATGTACTTTACGCCGCTGCCTTCGAGTCGGTATCAGGGGCCTTGAGCACGTCAAGGATCAAGCTAACGTTAGCTCTTATGTCAAGCTCTTCCCAAGCATGGGTGTGATTGATTGATGTACGTGAGTTCACCGTCATCCGTGACTGCTATCATCGCAATCTCAAACTATGACGTTCTGATTTAACGTGCGTTCAGGCAGGGGCTATAAGGTCATCAGGCATATGAATGGCGTGAGCTATATAGCTACACAAGGCAGCGATGTTATTTGTCGCTTTGGGCAAGTGTTCCGCTGATTTGGGCAATGATTGCGAAATGCGGAAACAATTTCCCCGACTGGGTGTCAAATTCCCCCATTGAGGTGTGTCATCTGTCTATGGCTAGAATAGGTCGGTGGACGACAGAACTCATAACCGATGTGAAGATAGTTTACCTAGGAAACACAGCCTCGATACGTTGTTTTTGGAGGCGGACAGTACAAGCGCTATCACTGACACTATGATTTATGTAAGTAAATGTCGCTGCGCCATATTTGGCGTGTTGTGGACGTAGATGTTCATATTCTTGTCATTTCTCTCAAGCAAGTTGTCAAGTGGTATACGTCACAATCAAGCATAGGCACCGGGTCTATCCTGGGGTCTATCTCTTCTGGAATGCCGAATCTCGAGTGCCTGCCGGTAGAGCAAGGTGATGGCTGACGAATGAATCTGAGGCCGGTGTCGTTATAATTGGCCAGAGAAGTTTATCGAAGTCGAAGTGGGAGCCAAATTCCCCGCCGTCCGGTGCAAACGGAGCCATTCCTGAATCCGTGACAGAATGTTCTAAAGACTGGAAGATTTCGTGGGAGCGGGCAAAGATACGGGGCATGGGGAGAATGGTTTATTTTATGAGCATGTCAGTATGCCAAGTCCGGTGAGGGATGCAAGTGGGATGGCGTGTGGACCAGCCCTGCTGTCGGCGCACGGTGGAGTTTCACGGGAGAGGTGGTTACGACAAGGGCTGGACAGGGCGGTAAGGATCGTGACTGATGTGAGTGGGTAGCAGGGTGTTCCTGGGGGAGCAAGCGCCTGGAGGACGAATGAAAACGAGGCAGATAGCGTAAGCAGTGGCTATATGAGATGTGGTACATGATGATGGGCGCGGACGATGTAAGACACTCACAGAACGGTCGCCGAGGGGATTATATGTGGTTCTGAGAGGTCATGTTAGTATGGGCGGGCTCAGGTCAGTGGCCACTCCGCCGGGCTGTTAATTGCCGATCCGTAATACGCCGTAATCAGACAAGGCAGGCACCGAAGGAAGCAGATCTGATAGGATCTGACCGGCCGTTGCCGAGACTCGATCATGATCTCCTCCATTGCGATAACGCAGCCGATCCTCACAGGACTCCTTCCCTGTCAGCGCTGCAGCCTCAGTCCATGCATCCTACCACTCGCTCAGCGTTCGGGCGCTCAGACATCCCACTCTCTCTGGCGCTCATGCATCAACGCTGTATGCTTTAGATGTCACAACGATACAAGGGTATACTGGGTAAATGGTTTGATATTAATATACGGATACGGATGGCTGATGATGTGCCACTTCCCACAGACATTCGCTATAACGAAACGACGTCAATCTTCAGATTGAACCAGAATATATTTCGGTCTCACAACTGCATCAATTTCGGACAATAACCCGCCTAGTATGCTTCCCTGCTCGTCGGCGGTCTGCGTAAGGCATAGGTCTTCGCCAGGCTTCGTCAGATTCTTCCCGGTACTCCTCCGCGGTCTGAAACTCCACTTTCGCTCCTGGCGCGCCGGAATGGCTGTCATGAGGTGGAGTCTGTAAACCCAGGCTAGTGTGGTGCGAGGTGGGCGCATGGAGATTAGGTGGTGGTTGGGCAGCTTGCCCGTGAGGTGTCATGGGGAACAGCGATGTTTGCTGCATCTGAATCGGCACAGCGCGAGTCTGTCTCGAAGAGCCCGCGTGTGGATGTGGCAGTGGTGGGGCGGCAGACGTCTGGGATGGCGATGAGTGGTGCTGAGGATGTGAAGGAAGCTGTGGCCACGACCGAGGGACACCGTTTGGCGGGACTGAGTCTCTGCTCTTCGCCTTTGCGTAGCCATCCTCGCCTTCGTGTGGTACGTCGATTTCGACACGGACGCGGACGATCTCTTTCCCAGCCTGAGCGAAGAAGGCTCGTTCCTGACGCTGGAAGTAGCCACTTGTCGGGCCTGGTCTCATTTCTGGAAAGCTGGCAGGCGGTGCTGGAGGAAAGAGCGCCATGAGCTCGTGTCCGGTGGGAGGGGCGGGGTATTTTCGAGGGGCGGTATCGGTGTTCTGTGTGAGGTTGACGTCTTGTGCTGGTCAGCTAATGCTGGAGAGAGAGAGAAAGAGGAAAACGCACCTCGCAAAGAGGTTGGAGAGAGGGGACGACGCGGCTGCATGGAGGATGGGGACGAGTGGGGACGAGGTGGCTTTGCGGGGGGACTGCGGTCGCCTGCAGTGGTTGTGGAGACGCTGGAGGAGGGGGATGGGGAGAGGTCTGTGACAGGACGGAGGTTGAAGGTGGACATGGCTGAGGATGGACGGAAAATGAAGAGGAGATGAGGGACGGAGATGTGGTTTATATAAGGGGAGACGAACCGAAGACGGTTATAAGGGATCGTCCTAAAAGTTATTAGAAGAAAGGGAGCGAGGAAATGGAATTAGATTCCCAGTTGCGGCAGAGGTGAAATTGATCTGAATGGCCGGTCCAAACGACGCCGTTCCAAAATTTGATTCCGGTCCGTCCTGCGTTGGGTTTAAAGGTGCCACGAGGTTACAGCCCGCCCCCATAAGCGACGCTTTTCAGGGTTCTGCTGGCCTCCCTTGGCCTCATGGATACGGTGGATGATCCTGGATCTCTGCTGATGAAATTTGAGATACAGCTGCTACTGGAAGCTCTCATTCCGGACCATGTCGCCCATTTCCCCATCAGCTTCGCGAATCCGCCATCCGTACCTATCGGTAACTTTATACCATACACGGTCCTCGTTCTATACAGTATTCGTACAGCCTCGCACTTTCTGCCCGATTTATGTGCCTTCTCCTCTTTCCTGCTCACACCTGATCGACGGAAAAAATGCATAATGATCGTTGGCAACAACTCACACACCCTCTTTCCTTTTCCTCTCTTCCCCGGACCCATTTAAGTGCGCAGCCAAGTCGGCCCCAGCCAGCTCCAATTCGCCAGTGGGAGCTCTCCCAGACACTCTCAATTGCACAACCCATTACCTCGTTATCTTCCAAGCCCTGTCCACCTGACGTCTTCCATCTCTCTTTCCTTCCTCGTCTTTTCTGTCTCCTTGGTTTCGCCCCTGGACCCTTTAATTGTCCAAGTCTAGGTCGCGGTGCCGCCACACTACATACCTTCCTTACATCTCCCGTTCTATGCTCTCTGTCCTCTGACTCTCTTTATCGTTCCTACGTGTAAGCGCCTTACGTGTGAACTTTCGTGGCCCTTTACGATGGCTGGGAATGCCCCTGCGGTTGTTTTGTTTTCCCATCCTGCATGGCATCGCTACTTTCAATCATCGACTCTTTTGAACGCTGCTCTTGACTTTTCGACACCACTTGACATATATGGTAATTTCCGCCACTGCTCGTCGCTCGCGATTATCTCCAGTCTTTCACAAGACCTTACCCCATCTCTGGATTCTGCAGCTCCATTCGTCGTCGATATTTAGAACCCATCCTGAGTACCAATATCATTGCGATGACATCGTCATCTTATTCTTGGATATAATCTTGCCTAAATGTCTGCATGCATGTCACGCCTCGCCAGCACCGGACCTACTTCATATCTGATAAACAACACTCCTCTGATCCCACTGGCCAATAATTCCCCTTGTCACAAGGCCCGTTCTCGTGAGCGCGGAAAAAACCAAGGCCGTGACCACGACTCTCCAAGTCACCTGTATTAGCGGGGCGCTGGAATCAATCTGTCAAGCTGTCAGCCGATCAGACCTGACAATCGGGTTTCAAAAAGAGCTATCTAACTGACTCCATGTCATCAGGGCTTCCGATGAACACATCACGTATCAGGCTCTTTCTATGAGATCTCGACGTTAGCAAGGATATCAACCTGTTTCACCATCCTTGGATTGCCGTTCTCGATCCAGACGTGGCGCCAAGTTACGTAATTTGTTCCCATAGACCTATTCCCCTTGCGCCTGTGTGCGACGACGTACTATTTACTGCAAGCTACAGCAAGTGTAGTCTTCATATCGCCTCTTGAACCCAGCATGGCAGAAAAAACCTTGAGTTCCGGGACTCTGAGTCTCCGGTTCATGCAGAATGCCAGACGTACACAGCACGCAACCGTAGTCGAAGCCGAGAAGGCACAGGTAAAAGACGATGCTGAATGGGAGGTCGCGAGGGAGGTCAGAGAGGCATGGGGACAGACTTCTAGTTCCGATGATAAATCGTAAGTGTCGCCAGTCAAGCAATTTCACTTTCATTTCTTGGCGACCCCAGTCTTATTTTACTAGACAACCAGTCACCGTGACATACGAGACTTCCTATCTTCCATTTCTCTTTCCTTCTTTGCCCGAAAATACAGGAGGCACCCGACCATCGTCACACGACATAAGCGCAACGATCCCTAAAGGCCGTCGGGCATTCAACAAGCGTGGAGAGGAAATCATTCAAGAGGTATTGGCTCTAACCTTGCTAAGCTTGCCATGCTCATTGTTGTTGATTCTTTTGATTTAGTCATACAGCAATGCACACGCACCATCAGAATCACAGCCTGCTCCGGAAAATCAGCCGAAAGACGCGAGACAAAAACGGCCAATATCGATATCTGGTTCAGGGTCACTGGCTGCAACTACAAAGCAAGTCAGGAAGACAAAAGACGCATCCAGAGAAGCCAAGCGTGTAATTTACGATAACAGCAATGTGGGCACTGATCTCCGACCCCCTCCTTCCTTACACCCGCCGATACCAATTGTCCAAGCTAGCAATTCATTCCTGAGGCCGTCTGGCGTAGACGGACCGATCGTACACCCTAAAGGAGAAAACAAAGGGGCAAATAGTGCAACGCCAGACAATCAGGTAATTGGTAGTGCTCGTAAGGGTAAAGCGAAAAGGGATCAAATAGAGGGCGATGGCAATAAGCCTAAGAAGAAATCGAAATTGACAATGGTAGAGTAGCTAGTCGGCAGTGTACGTCTTGATCATCATGATCGGATTAGATGCTGACGGGCTCTGACTCACAGAACTGTTACCCCATGTCTCAATTATGCACTACGCCCAGAGTTATTACGAATGAGGTTGCATCCCGTGATGCGGCGGTACTTGTATGCATTCATACTAATCCGCATAGCCCCTATTTCGAACATAGGGATCCTCCGTCTTCTTACGTCGAATGTCGTATGGTTAATGCATGCTCGAACCACGTCGGTCCGATTTTGAGATCTATATGCTTTCTCAATACTAAATTTTGATGTGTTGATGCTTACAAATCTTGACAACATGCGGCAGTTTACTTTGAGTTAGTTTAGGCAAGCCGCCATCGTATGGGGGTGTGATCGCAGACTTCTTCGCCCGCAAGGAATGCTACAGAAGGTTTGTCCTTTGATCGGGGAACATTTTTTGTTTACCTTTCTTCTTTCAGAATTGTTCCTCTGAGTTGTGTGAAACGCGATGACTGTAACCCGCCGGACGATGCAGCACAACCAGGACTATTCCTTTTCCTTTGTATTCGAGCGCTACTAGGAACCCGTCTGCTATTTCTTAGCGATTATGTTTCCCTCGCTACGTGCACGAAGCCCGAGGTCAGGTATAGTCAGGCATATGCCACTAAGGTAAGACGTTGTAGCCACAACCTTGGAACGTGGACACCCCCGACGGGTGTGATTTGAGGTGTATCTATCTAGCATATCGACGCATAGGAAGTATGATGTCAAAGACGTAGCGGCGGCTGATCCCTCCTTCCTCGCCCACAATTTGGTTCTGCCAACTCCAACTGGGAAAGACAGGATTCCAGTATGTTTACTCGGACGCGATCCCAATGTCCCGAGTGATGGCGACCTACAACTCCGCGGAAGCTCAGCGAACGTCAATGGCCCCAAAAACCAGCGTATGAGAGTGTGTGAGTCCCTCTTATATAAACCTCTCTCATTGATTCGCCCCAAACTCCCTTAGTCCGCCTGCCTCCGATAAACCTTCTTTATTTCCCTTCTACAATTGATTTGGACCCACCAGCTTCCTACCCTGCGCAATTCTCTTGTTGGCTTCCAAACCCACATGTTTGAATACATTTGGCCAGAATAATCACCCGAATGCAATCACAACCCTAGGTAAGATAGCAGTTATTGCCTACTGAGCAGTGCTAATGTTCTTTTTTTGGATCTTGTCGTGCAGTATTAGGCATTGTTTGCCATTGCTGGACGGCGATAGATAACGAGGTGCCGGATGAAGTTCTGTTCAATAGAGTTGATGCCCGAGGACATATTCGTCAAACCTAAGGCTCGTACGTCATCGTACCAATGGAGTCTGATGCTTTGTTATACATCTTTCATGACGAATACCGAAGTGCAGGAGGGGGCGAGACTCGGAGGCTCGCTCGTTCTGTGTAGAATGGGCGTCAACTGTGAAGCTATGGATGGGGTTGCCGGCGTGCACGTGTTTTTCTCACCTTCACAATCCGCAGAGGTCACTGAAAGAAGACCATCTATGTAGCTCCACTATAGGGATATTAACAGTGTCGAAACCCTTGTTCTAGCCCTCGCAGGCTTTTAGTGATATCTAAAGGGTTGGAGCCCTCGAATCGAGAAGTGTACGCTCACTCCCAGCGGCAATTCCATGTCCAACATTCGTTCCTGGTCCAGGTCGACATTCAATAAAAATTCAGCCGCGGCACCTACGATAGCCCTACTTCGTGGCATCGAAGGTTTGATGGTTTGAACCTATCCAGTGTCGGCATTTCACGACATATTATCTGGCAGAATTTTCTTCCTGGTATTCTTTCTGTCACATCGATGACAGTTCAAGTCCCTCATGCCAGTATTACTCCTACCTACTTCATTGGATTTTCTTCTCCGCACTGCTACCATCAGTAAGCTAATATCAATTGTTTGCTTGAGTCCGACCCTGATGATGATTGTCCTTTATCTCAGGTGAAGATCAGTCTTCTCAAGCTCCGGTGTACGTCTCGATTTCAATCAGATTCAAACCTGGGGTGCCGTCTGCGGAACCACATCGTTTGCTCCAAAAAATGGTGTAAAAGTTGACTTCTGATAGGCACGCGGAAGCTAAATAATACGCCTAGAGGGATGGATCATGTGTGTCCTGCCAGTGCGTCACCCTCTTTCCGGTCCGAAAACAGTCTAGTTCCTATGCATCAGTCTTAATGCTATCTATCACACTTCGCATTCTTCAAGTTGTCCTTTGAGCGAACGCACTGAATGATGGCTGTCGAAGAACGTCTGTTTGCACCGCCTTTCTCCACTGGGATAGCTTCTTTAATAGCTTCTTTACCATACCAATCGGAATTCCACATCGATGATAACCTTGGATTTTGTTGGATTTGTATCAGATTGAATTTGGCAAGTAACAAGATCCGTTCGTAAACTCAAATTCCCCCTTATTTTTTATTTGCTCAGGCGCATCTCAGCTGAATTTTAGGAACTACTACTGAGAGTATACCCTTGGCATGATGGTATACTCTAGATAGCTACGTAGTAGGGTGCCCTACCAGCGGCATCCCTAAAGCTGATAGCCATCGGCTTCTCATGAAGAATCCATGCATAACCAGATCACACAACTTATGTTACGATAGAGCATAGGCGATAATTTTCGTACTTGTGGGTGCCAGTGGAACATTGTCTGCCGATGATCGGCGAATTATCAGCCCTTTAAAGGGATAATCGCTTCTCCTTTCAGAATTACCTGGAGGTTTGCGCAGTTTGTTATCACATGTTTGAAGACACCGTTGACGTTATATTCTTTTCTGATTACGACAAGCCGCGCTACCCGCAGGTGCATCGTTCTTTATCTGTTGGGCGCCAAGGGCTCGCTTCATCCTATATCCCTCTTTTTGAACAAGTCTCGTAAAAATGGACGACATACAAAATATTGCAGTACTTGTGAAAAGCTTGTATTAAATGATTCGTGCGGGAGCGCGGCATCGGGTTTCGCACTGAAGGTTGCCCCTATATGTTTTGTTCCGTTTAGATGCATATTACCAGCATTATCTGTCCCTCTCCCTGAAAATGGTTAGAGCATCGACTTGTCCAACGTGTTCTGTTGGCCCGACCCACTGGTCAGTGTTCATCATTTCATATCGCTTCAAACACCACCAAATTCGGTATATTGGGCTATAACCGATTTTCTTGAGCGGTATGACGCACTGGTAGCCTGGTCTGACTAGACGCGAAAATCGATATGTGTTCCTACCTTACATGTCTATTGTCCTTGAGCTTCTGGTTGATGAGTCTGATTTAGGTTGCTTCAACTAATCTGCTGTAGCTTCTAGTACGGGTTCCTCAGGAGGGTCGGTGCTGGAATTGACAGACACCTGTTAAACTTGTTCTATTTCCTACCTGCAATCTGGCTGGTCCAGCCGGTCTCTTCCGTGGTGGATGTGCTTTTCAGGTCTGATCGCTTGCCAGAACGACCGCGGCGATTGTGGTCTGATAAGCCACTGCCTCTGCTTGATTCAAAACTGACCTGTAATATATATCGATGGCTCGGAGTCTCACGACTATTAGTCCTGGGTATGTGAGCGTTTGATACTTATTGGAAGGTATGATAGCATCAGATATCCATTTTTATGTGCTTATGTTAGGGTAGGAGTGAGTGCGGCTCGGGACATGTCTGAAAGCCGTTGGGAGACAGGTCAGGAGGGAGACATCTCTGTCGTGTGCCATTATAACCGACCTACCAGGTCGTTAGGATACCCATGAGCAGTGCAACTTGAGTACTGCCAAAAATAGTGGTGTTATCGTTGTCGGACTATTAAACAATCTGTATCTGTCGAAAGGGTCTTCATTATGAATTATAGAATGTAACCTAGTGTTGACCATATTTACTGCATAATTTTTGACCGACGAATGGAAGACACGTTCCTGTTAGGTATGAATATCTCAAGTCTCAGTTGACCTTTTGCTGTTATCGTAGACACGAATGCTACGTACCGCAAAACCAGTACTTATCGTTTCAGAAGATTTGCCATATAGTTACCTTCTGCTTGTGGGCGGTATGGACGGCTATCGGTGCATCATAGGCACACTCTTCACCCGGACCAGTTATATTCCATTCACGAGCCCCTGAAATATGTAAAACATATGGTTAAAGCGAGGCACCGTCACGATACTGAGCTGATTATGCGTATCTGCCACATACACGCCGTACGCATCATGAATACCGAGATCGAGATATTCCACCTCCGGGTTTTCACGACATGAATAACTGGCAGTGGTCATGTGGAAACGTTCCGAATATAAAGAAGCTCGCCAGTAGTTACAAGGGACATTTTGGCTTTGCGAGGCGCCAGTTGGATATTCCACCGCACTCCGTTCCGAGTCGTAGCTGCTGTAGATAGTTATTTTATCCCTGTCAATACCGTGGCGTGTTCACCCGGGTCCCCTCCGGCTTCTCTTGCGCGCCCGCGGTGATCCTGCTATGATCGCGTATCGTTGCGAGCTGGCTATACTTGGACCATGAATACTTGAAGAAGTTAAAATTGATTGTATGTGCCGCCGCGTTAGGAACGCATTGCATTTTCGTACAGCGTGGGTTAATCACAAATCATATAATACAGATGAGTTCGTTGGGCTGACTCGAAATAATATGCATGATCGATCATCGTGTGATTTGAACCTGAATTTATCCTACTTGACGTCAGTTTTCACGTAGAGTGACAGCTAGAAGAGGGAAGTCAGGCCTGCTCACCTTGTCATAGGTTTGTTCGTGACGTCGACTAGAGTTGGCCTTGGCACCCTGTCAAGATCGTGGCGCTTTCATAGCGAACAATATTCTCTTTCCGATCTCGTACAATACTTTTGAGTATGTCCTTGAAGCTTGAGAGGAGTAAAGAGACAACAAGAAGAGGGAAGGAATACGAGTCGAGGGCGCATTGTGCATTCACCAACAAATGTATCCATGGTAGCTTGAATATGTTCAGAGACTGCGTAGGATAAACAGCGGCGATCAAACCTGAGTATTAAGAAGCTGCAGTGAGTTTTCTCCCTGCATCCTGGAAAGTATTCGTGGTAGTTATAGATATGTATGTTATTTCTAGTAATTTGTCAGCACCGTGTCATTTTCATCCGTAGAATATTCTTTTCTGCGCCCGTGATGATCGCGTTGTGAGTTTACGAACTGACCATACTTGGGCGCGTTGCAGTTGACAGTGGGTACCGCACTAGGAACACAAAGCAATTTAGTCTTTCAGGCTATGATAGGCATCGATGCGAAAATTATGGTGGGCACGAGAGGGTATGTTACTGACATGACGTGATTTGGGTGAACGGAGAGCCGCGTTAGATGATAGAAGGGCCAAAGTCTTGGTGGCAAACTGTAATGCCACGTTGCGGATCAGAACAAGGTTGGGAGTTTGAGTTCAGTCATTTGCCAGTTTGAGCTGGTGATATTATAAGAAGAAACTGACGTGGGCCATCGTGACTGAACGCGCCCAATGGAGGACCTCTACCTCCACCGGGAACTGAACCTTGTCAGTGAATATTGTTCTGCCATGCATCCACGGGAAATATCGCCACGGACTGAGGGTATATAGACCATGGAAAATTGCAGTGCTAGATCAGGGTTTCGAGAGGAGATACATGTATTGAGGGCATCAACTTGAACTTGCAGCTAAAACACGGATAATGACTAGGCCGGTGGACCTGCGGTTGCTTACTACTGCCTCGGCCACGGAAACCATCCCCGATCCTGGCACAACGCTCATTCGCTGCTGGCACTCTTTCAGTGCTCCTTCAGGCCTGTTCCAACTCCACTATCAGCTATCAGTGGAGTCCACAATTTCAGGTAATTTGGCGCTCGACGCCCGTTATATAAACATCGTTTCCCGCTTCCTATCACCTGGAACAGAACACCGCGATGCAGACCAATCTCTCCCAGCCGAGTTACATAGTTGCTGCAGTGAGCTTTGTGAGTAATGTTTTACTTTGATGCAGTCCTCAAGAGGATTGTTGATTGCTGATTGGGTTATTGATCGCACAGGTTTGCTATCTTGTCTTTAAACGCGCTGAACCGTCAGAGCCTTTACCGGTCTTAAGTCTTCTCCTCGGTGTACCTGCCCTTCTCGCCTGTGCACTTGCTTGGTTCTCCCTCTTACCCGCATACCAATACGCCACTGCCATCCCTGTCGTCTTCGCCTCTCACTGGGCCCTGCTCCTATCATATGTCCTTATCTACCGTCTATCCCCTCTCCATCCCCTCGCTCGTTTCCCAGGACCTCTTCCAAATCGTATCTCAAAGCTATGGATGGTGTGGGTAAATCGAAAAGGCGGGCAATGGCGTCACTATTATGCACTACACCAGCGTTACGGCGACGTTGTCAGAATCGGTGAATTACTACTTTTGTGTTCCTTGTACTGCCACATAATGCTCAAGCATCTTTACTAACCTTTTTCTTGATTCCAGGGCCAAACGAGCTGTCAATTCGAAACGTCGATGCCGTTCTACCCGTCCTAGGTACCAGTGGCCTCCCAAAAGGCCCTTGTACGTAATCTCTACTTCCACAAGTCATTAGTCTAACTATCTACCCTTTCCATAGTCTGGACGAACCGCAATCCTAAGGGAAGCACAAATGCCCTCATTATGCAACGGGACCCTGTGGAGCACGCGCGTAGACGACGGCCGTGGAACCGCGCATTGAGCACCGCTTCGCTGAAGGACTATGAAGAGAGTATCGTGCTTCGCTCGCGTGAATTGCTTGATGCGCTCGGGAAAAGGCAAGGGCAAGTGATGGATATGTCCATGTGGATGACATTCTTTACGTGAGTCCGACTCCCCATCATGGCACCAGCCCATCTCCCGCTTTTCTTACGGCCTGGAGAGGGCAACGTTGTGTTTTCATATCTTCATATCCTGATGCTGACAATTTTGATATTGCTTAGGTTTGATTTCATGAATAACATGGCGTCAGTGTTGCGTTCTCGGGTAGAAGCAGTTCTGCGTTATACTAATACGTGTCTTGATAGTTTCGGTGCTACTTCTGAACTTATGAGAGAAGGTAGAGACGTGAACGGCGTCTGGCAGATCATAGAGGATGGTGTCAAGTACGTAAATTCTCGCCTTAATCTCCGTACCCTCCCCAAATCTCAGTTTGTATCTCGATCGATCCTTCCCTCTATTATCTTGTCGCGCGTTTTCACATTCCATTACGCACCCTCGTATATCCACCTATGTCCATAGGTTCACCGGAGTTGCGTTTCTCGTTCCTTGGGCTGCGCCTCTCCTGCGGATGCTCCCAACATCGGTACAAGCCCTTCTTCAGCTGAAGTCTTTCGCACAGACGAGTGCAGAACGCCGACTTGAGCGTGGCTGCGAGAAGAAGGACCTTTTTTATCATCTTGTGCGTGTCTTCATTGTTGCATTCATAACTCCATTATTAACTAAATTACCATTCCGTTTTTGCCATCATCTTGCATGCACTGTTCCACATTGCGCATCAATGACGTTTTATACTACTCACTAAATTTTTCATACCCTTGTTCTACTCCGTAGATGGATGAAGAAGGTCACGAAACTGTCCGACCCTCCCAGCCCGTCGTGATCTCAGATAGTCTACTTGCTATCCTTGCGGGGTCTGATACAACTGCAACGTCGCTCAGCGTGCTCTTCTACTTCATCCTGCGCCATCCAGAGGTTTACAAGCGCCTCCAAACGGAGATTGACCTCGCTTTTCACACAGAAGGGGAGGGGAAAGAGGAGGCGGAGGATCCCGTAGATTTTGCAAAAATGGCCGGGATGCCATACTTGAATGCGTGTATGTGAGTGCATTTTCTTGACTATGTTACCATCCAAGCAGAATTGACAAAATTTACCGGATGTTGGACGTCTCAAATTATAGAAACGAAGCGCTGCGCCTGTACCCTGCCGTATTGAGTGGTGTACAGCGTCAGATCATACCAGGAAGCGGCGGGAAGATGATAGGGCCTTTGTATGTCACTTTTGTATCTCGTCACAGATGCATTCGTTCGACCTTATCCCATTAACCTCCAACAGCTTCGTCCCTGAGCCAGCTAACATGTTCATACACACCTACTCAATACATCGTGACCCACGCTACTTCTCACCTTACCCCAACTCCTTCTGGCCTGACCGCTGGCTCCCATCATCCCACCGAGTCGACTTCATCGGCGCATCATCCAAAGTAAGCGCAAGTGCCCAATCCGATTTCGTACACAACACAGCTGCATTTATCCCTTTCTCACTCGGTCCTAACAACTGTGTTGGTAAGAACCTTGCGTTACTTGAGCTGCGTGCGGTAACTTGCCATATCCTCCACCGGTTCGAGCTCTCGTTTGGTCCGTCTGAAGAGGGCGTATGGGAGATGGAGAAGTGGGAGGAGCGAATTGAAGATTATTTCACTGTGATCAGGCCACCGTTGAATATGGTGTTAAGGAGTAGGAAGTAGGCTACATATGTATTTGGCTTGCGAGGATTTGATTGTTTCCTCGTTTCTGTGGGTTTGGATTTCTTCTTTCTCTCATATTTTGCTTTGACTCGAGCTCTTAGGTACACTGACATTCACTATAAAGTGAGGTCATCTTTCACTCGCTTTGTGCCTGCCATCTATCTCTGAACTTCGTGAACGGAGTTACGCCCTTATGAACTGGTATAGGAAAAAGATGTACGATGGACGCTTACTTGTATTACTACGGCCGTCACTGGTGGCTATATGCAAGCAATTTCTTTGGGTTCGTCATTTGTATCCTTGAATTCCAGTCGAATGTCTCCCTTTCTCCCTCATCTCATCCTTCCACGTGCCGGCTCCTTTAGACCATCGTTCACGTCGAAACGCAACCTAGCCATGATGTTAGGATATTGATGAAGTGCGGCACGAAGAGACAGGGGAGGAGGCCACATGTGCTTGAGTGCTTTTCCATCTTCTTACTTGTCATCATGCGTGGTATTTACTCACTGCCCGGCGGAAAGGAGTACCTTTGTGCTGTCGTATAAACACCTGGGAAACCTCATCAGTCACTTAGCCGGTTATTCGGATCTTGATAACAAGCACCATGGATGGGGGTAGCCTCGTAACTGAAAGCTTATAAAATCTATGAACCTGCATCCGAGTTGCAGTTCGTATCCCTCGACGTTAGTATCTTACTCATTATTATGTGGTTACAGATGAATACACTGTCATTGCCACCATTCACATCTTTCACTGTGGGGATTGACTTATATGAGCCCAGCTTATATGCTGAAGATATTGGATATCTGTGTTTTGATTGGCTGAAAAAAGCTAAAATTGATTCTTTTCAGCATATAAGCTGGGCTCATATAAGTTGATCCCCACAGTGTTTGGTAAGCACATCTCAACACTATTCAGTACATACATTTCACAAGGGCTATCAAGAGACAGTGTTTGATTGCAAGTCATGTCAATGTAACTAAACTGTCATTTCTTGCCTAGTTTCCTTTGAATGAACCTTCATAGCTTTGTTGCTCGGTGTCGATGATGAGAACTGTTCTTAGAAAACCACACACAAAACAAACTAACACACAATCCTCCCAGATTCCACGGAACTTGTTTATGGGCTTTGCCTCCTAGAACAGTGGAGTGGTTTGGTTGTTCGTGGGGTGGTACGTATAAAGATCCTTCAAAGTAAAACCCAGAGGTGTATGAGTGTGGGTTTTGAGGAGGAGGGATAGTTGAATTTATAGAAGGATAGGGGCTTTGTGACGAGTATACACGAGCACTACCTTGCTAATCGTAGCACAAGGTAGGTTTGAGAACAACAATATGACGAGGTTCCCAGTGATAGCAGGCTCCTGACGCACAAACTGTAGTGCTCAGAAGGACTCTAATCAAAAGGGATGATAATGACTTCAAAAGTGGGAAATGACGATGACAGCAGTTGACAGTGGTAAAAGTGGGAAGTGTTGTGACCACACTGGATCACAAGTAGCAGAGTAGTGAACTTGAGAGTAGAGAAGAAGTCTGGATTGGAGTTCTTGTTTTTTTTACAAGGTAAAATACAGGGGTTTATATAGTAAAAGAAAAGTAGGCTATGCACAGTATAGCTGTGCAAAAAGAATGAGAAAGAATATGAAGGAAGGAATGTACGCTGACAAATCCTGCATAGGTAGTACAGAATAAGATTGTCAAAAAAAGGAAAAGAAAGAGATAGAACAATGAATGCTGTGAGTAATGTCACAGGTTTGTACAGCCATAAAGTAAAGTCCAATAGCAAAAAGAGAGCAGGAAAATCATGATGTCATGGGAAGATGCAGTAAAAAAAGGGCAAGGCAAAACACTATCAGTATCAACACAGTTCCTTTATTGTCAGTCAGGCATTCTAAAAAAATATGTGTCCATAAAAATGATTCAAAAATCAAAAATAATCGCACTGTAAATGAATGTTCTGCTGAAGAAAAAGGAACTGGAGCCACCGGTCCACCACCTAGTCCAAATCCGACAGTTCCATGGCCTTACCAATGGACTGGTTGTGTTGGACCACCTGATCAAACGAGGGAGGGAGAGGAGTAGTTCCAATTTGGAACAAGTGAGTCCCAGGGAGCGTGTGATAGGTGTAGCTGTAGCGAAGACGATGGACAAAAGATAAGTGTACCCAAGTGAATGGGACAGCAATGAACATGGGCGACGCAAGGGGATGAACCTTCTCCAGCTCAAAAACTACCCACCCACGCTCCAACCAGGCAAGACGAGCGACCGATGTTTTGATAGTATATGATGGTAGATCGACGTCATAAAGATGGACCTGTTGCCCTATTTGAACCGGCCGCCGGGGCTTTGCTGATATCAGCAGTGGCACGTGGTAGTCAACGGATCGGCGACGGAAGCGGATAGGAAGTGGTGACATCAGAAATGGTGGGGGTGCAAATAAAATGAGGAGGAAGAGGGTGGAGGTGACGGAAAAGTGGATTAGAATGGGGATCCAGAAACGACCGTCAGGTGAGAATAAAAAGGAGAGGAAGGGGCCCATGGTGGGGCTAGGCAAAGGAAGGGGAGTAAGGGAAACGACAAAAGCGAGGGCGCAATGCAATGTGTAGCCAGTGGCGACGCGAAAATTTGCCGAAATGCCAAAACACGGAAAGTACCGGATGGAAAAGCAAAGGTGAGCGTGACTGGATTGCCTAATAGAGGTGGTGCTGATCAGCCACAAGTTCAAAAAGGGCAATATTAATTACTATTCCACGTGGCACTGTGCCTGTGTGGCGCAAAGGCGAGTCTTTTGAATATTCGCTTCATTATTGACACCTGTCCATGCTACCAATCAACTTTGGTGCATGACATCGGACTTTCTTCCACAGTGAACGTAGGAACCTTAACCTTCTCTGCTTCCTTGGTGTCTCAACTTGTGATTCATTTGGAGCATTACCACTAGTGGTAGCTGCCGAAAGTAGTTAGCTTTTAGATTCAAAGAAAGAATGACTAATTAACTAACCTATGATGCCACTGCCACTCCTACGGGAAATCCAATTAGAGCCATGCACAAAGTCTTTGTATGATGCATGAATATCAGGTGTGCCAATAACAAGGACAGTCTGAGAGTGACACCAATGCCTAATCAGGTGTATTGGTACCCAATATATATGATCTGCATGGTCATCTTCTCCCTGAAATGATACCCGCCCTGAGTCTCTTGTGGTAAGTCCCTCCCAATTGGAAGGTACTATATTTAATATGGCATTATCATAGTGATCCATAGGCATACCAGTCTTTGCAACAGAATCCTTGACGAGTTTTCCAGGGCAGCCTGAAGCTTCTTCACTACCACTGGGAGAATATGGAACAAATTTAGAAGTTCCACTAGGGTCTTGAAGGGTTCGTCCCATCTGATGAGAGGTGGCATTCCAGATCCTCACTGTATTATCAAAAGAGCCGGAAACCACTTTGATACCATCAGGGGAAAATCCAACAGATGTGATATAGTCAGAGTGGCCATGAAAGGGGCCAGCTGCTAACTGACCAGATGTAGCATTCCAGATCCTTACTGTCTTATCCCAAGAGCCAGAAACCACTTTGGTGCCATCAGCAGAAAATCCAACAGAACTGACCCAGTGAGAGTGGCCTTGAAATGGGCTAGCCATTAGCTGACTAGAGGTGGCGTCCCAGGTCCTCACTGTGTTATCATCAGAGCCTGAAACCACTTTAGTGCCATCAGGAGAAAATCCAACAGATGAGACCCAATTAGTATGGCCTTGAAATAGGCCAGCCACTAGCTGACCTGAGGTGGCATTCCAGATCCTCACTGTGTTATCGTACAAGGCCATGGTGGCTACCTTGTCTGTAAAATGTGATCCACCCCGAGGAATCTGGCAGAAAGCTCTGTCAATTGATAGGAGGTACATCAAACAAGGTAAATGCAGCCTGCACACCATATTCAGATTGGCCATTCATCAGGTGAGCATTGTTTACATTGCATTCCTGATGAACCATCTCACCAGAGGTGGCATCCCAGATCCTCACTGTTTTATCATAAGAGCCTGAAACCACTTTGGTGCCATCAGGTGAAAATCCAACAGATGTGATGTATTCAGTGTGGCCTTGAAATGGGTCAGCCACTAGCTGACCAGATGTGGCATCCCAGATCCTCACTGTGTCATCATGAGTGCCATCAGGAGAAAACCCCACAGAAGTAACAAATCCTTGTTGACTTCTTAAGATATTTAATAGAGGGGGCCACTGCTTATCCTTGCCAGAAACAGCCTTAAGAGTGTGTTGAAATTGTGGTAGATATGTTTTTGATACCAGTGAGCTATCTGGTGCCCATGCCAGAGCGGACAAATAGATGTGAGGCAAGCTCTCAAAAATTGGCACATCAAAATTTGATATAAACCGCCGTGCATCTTGTGCAAATTCCTCTAATTTCATGTCAATTACCTGTAAAAGCATAACATACATTCAACACATATTTCACGCCAGTAGTTTACAATGAGTAGCTTACCTTGAGCGAAGGCGCTGCAGCAATCAGGACAGCTTGTGCGGTTGGTGCATTGTATCTCAATGTCATGACTTCGAGCCAGTGAAGTAAATCATGGTCAAAAAATTTCCGCAATATTCCTGTGAGTGATGTACACCCAAACAATGCAGCTTTTGCGTGAGCAAGATGCTCACCCCAATAACGAGACGAGTAGCTCAGATGATCAGGTATATTTTTCTCGATACGCATGGCCATATCTTCTACATCACTGTTGGGGAGATACGATGTCTGGAGCCCACAGATGTTAAACCTCAAACCGTCCTCTGGGTCCTGCATAATCTGCATGCATGCCCGCAACATATCTAAATTCCTCGTGCTCGGCGAATGCGAAATGCATCAGGACACAAGTCCGATTCCACAAGAAACTCCATAAAGGACAGATGCTCTATGCGAACAACCTCGTCTTTCCCCACCGAGATCACAGATGTCAACTCTGCCAAGACACGGTCAATTGCAACAGCAATGCTATCATCCATAGTGCCACATGAAGCGATAAAATCTTCGAGGAATTTGAGTGACAGTGGAACTTTTGCGTGCACTATAGCTCCAAGCAATGGCTGCACTACATTACCAATATCTCCAATGCTGTCCCATGCATTGGTTGTTATCTGCTGATAAAGATGATTGACGCTATTTTGTATGTCTAAAGGTCCTCCAGAGCGTATTATTTTTAGTCGCGTCTGTGGATCACCTTTTTCTAAGAAGCGCATCGCGGTTTCTGCCCAAATGAAAAGGCCCGCAGCACGATCTGTGAGTTGTTCGACAACCTCAGTTCCTGGCCAGTCAGTAGTTCGCAGAGTGCGAAACTTATCCTTCAATTCACCGAAACGGTTGTTGAAAAACGCTCGAATATCATCTGTCGCTGTATGAGTCACATGGTCACCAGTGGGTAGAACGACATCTTCGCATGCTTCACGAAATTTTGAAGGGATGCGGTCGTCTCGACTAGTGATGATTAATTTGAACATTTTGGACAGCGAAGACCACTCTGTGAGGGTCTCCAATAAAGCCTTTCGTTGGGGCTCCTCAGATGACTCACCGCACTCATCTAGCGCGTCCACTACGAAGACTGGATACCTAAAATAAAAAATAACCAAGGGAAAGTTCAAGCGTCAATCTTCGAGGCAGTATGATTTCAAAGTCGTACCTCTGGTCCTGCTGATCCTCCTTGAAGTAGGCATTTATGGATTCCACGATAAGGGAGTCGAAGTGATCATGAATATTCGGCCTTTGGGGATCAACTAGATTATCCTTTAGAGTTTTTATGATGATAGATTTAAACATCGGGTCAAATTTGGCAATTTGGTCTGCGATAGTACGCCACAAGGCAGTGGGGTTGCTCAAAGCTGCATCATCTCGGCGAAAAGAGAAAAATCCACCAAGGAGACGTTTTTTCATCAGCCGAGATTGTAAGCTTGAAGCAATGGCGGATTTTCCAGCGCCAGGACTACCCTTGATCCAGAGGATGTTCTTGGCTGCGGTCCGATCCTCAAGCCATTCGTCGATTCTCTTGAAAATATCTTGACGGGTGCCTTCCATACAAGGTGGCACGTAATGGCGATGGCAGTCTACGGGATCCAGCCTTGCTAGGATGTCCGTGTCTGAGACGCCAGATTGAATATTGGTAATGTTGGTGTTGTGCTGATCTCTTCCGATGTCTTGATAGGTCGCAATGTGAGCCTCAGCATGGTCTGCGCTTTGAGTAAAAGGCATGATTGGTGAATAGAACGCTATGGGTAACGATGTTTCTGAAGTCTGAAGTCGTTGTTGGGGGGGAGAAAGATAGAGTCGTGGAGGCGATGTATGTTTTTGAGGAACACGTGTGTACAACAAGGTGTCCTCGTGTTCAAATTCGGTGTTGGCCGGACGCTCAAGGAAAGATGCGGTTCGAGTCTGTGAATTGCTTCAACTCTCAGAAAGACGCTCAGAGTGACCCGATAAGCTCTCGACAATAGTCCAGATACATTTGTCGCCCAATTTGCACATAGAAAACCTAAATGGAAGGAGTTTCACGCATCGATACGAGGAGACATAGTAATTCAACGTGAATAAAATGATACAGTAGAGAGTGATGAGCTCGTAACATGTCTAGTTGACAAGTGATGCTGATGGCTCTGCTTTACTCTCAAGCAGACTTACCTCCAGCGCGGATGAGGGGTAGAGGAGGAGCAACAAAGCAGGTACGTCTGGACGTCCTAATGGCATCTCCCATTCACTGAACTGCACCTCACTCACATTCCCATTCCACTCGCAGTCGTCCTTCCACCATACCCCTTCCTGCAATAGCACTTCCGTAGCACCCTTCCCAACGGTCCAGCCCCACAGCGCTCATCCTCCCATCCCGATTCCCCTCGCTTATATCCTTCGACCCTTCCTTATTCCCCATCTGATGGACTGCACGATTGTCGTCATCTACCGGGTACCATTATATGCAGAGTAGGAGAGAGAGTGGCATGGACGGCGGTGAGACATATGGAAGGCAGGTAGTGAGTGTTGTGCATTTAAATGTACCGTTAGTACATGACGATCGAATGAAACAAAACCACATGACGTCAGTGTCTTATCGCGCTGAACTGCAAATCAACACGACCAGGGCAATGAGTGAGTAGAAACACTACTTACCAATGACGATGACTGACCAGACTATATCGAGCACCGAGCACTCTCTTGATCGAGAAGGACACGTGTACACGCAGCGCAGAAACGGTCAGCGTCGATGGGGTTCATGGGAGTCGTGTCAGCAGATGCCAGTGTAGCATCCATTTTCAATCCACCCTTATACGGTCTCCCATACGTCTGCGCAACAGTTTGGTGGTGTCAGCACGTTTTGTCGCATCAGACACCGAGGGAGGCTCTCTTCCTTCAACACTCAAAGAACGGCGACTTCACGCGTGCGAGCAAGGTCATTTGGTTTTACTAATCCTTGACTAAACTGTGACTCGATTATGAGTAGGACATGACTCTATTTCTCAGCGCCTAATAATCTCGTCCATATACTATATCACATGACTGCACAGACCAACACAATAACATCACTCCATCATGTCCATCCCCAAATCTACCCGTGAATATCGCAGCCAGGTCTTTATCAGCAATGCATCTAATACAAGTCCTCACTAACCAGGTTTTTACTTAGGGCGACGGCTACAAGAATTTGAAGCTACAGGTGTCTCGCCTTAATCAGCCAAAAGCTACAGAAGTTTTGCTCAAGGTTCATGCAGTCTCGTTGCAGGTATGTACCGCCTAGACATTGCTCACCTTAATGGCTAATCAAATGGCTATCGTAGTACCGTGACCTTATGGTTTCCAAGGGTGGTTATTCCCGGTAAGCCTCTTACTCTGTTGTAGTACTTATGTCTTACTACAATTTGGCAATATTGTAGCCAAAAGAAAAATATTGTTCCTTGCTCCGACATGGCCGGTGAAATAATCGCAGTAGGCCAGGACGTCCAGAACTACAAAGTCGGTGATCGTGTATGCCCAAACTTCGCCCTCGACCACATCCACGGAGATCCCACACAAGAGACTCAAGCTACGGGTCTTGGCGGCGCTATCGATGGCGTTTTGACAGAGTACATCAATGTACCTGCTCATGTAGGTCATATCATATCCTCTTCTTCGTCCCACAATCTGGATCGCCGCTCTCTAGTCACTCGTTCTTGTACCGGAGCACCTATCATATGAAGAAGCTTCGACTTTGCCGTGTGTTTTATCTCAACATGCTTCCTATTTCCTACTTATAATCACCCTAGATGTGCCGCATTGACAGCATACAACGCTCTTATGGGCCCAGTGCCCCTCAAAGGAGGCGACTATGTTCTCGTACTCGGAACTGGGGGTGTCTCAATGTAAGGCTTATTCGTATCTCCACGCATCCCATCACCATTTACTGTACTCTGCACTTAGCTTTGCTCTCCAGCTAGCGGTCGTTTCAGGAGCTACTGTGATTGCCACTTCTTCGTCAGACGAAAAGCTCAAGATAGCTAGCAAACTCGGTGCAAAACACGTCATCAACTACAACAAAACTCCAGACTGGGACGACGAAGTGCTCAAAATTGTACGTCTCACTTTATTCTCACATAAATCTTGAGAAATGTATTAACGAGGATTCAAGACGGACGGTAGAGGTGTGGACCACGTTATTGAGGTACTCGTTGTTTATGGCCTTTTGAAGCTAGTCATTCACCCTTCTTTATATCAGGTTGGCGGTCCTGGGACAATCGGAAAATGTGCCAAAGCGACGAAATACGCAGGATACATCAACGTCATTGGATTTGTCGCACAGGTCTGGTTCTTTCCAGTTCGTTATTTCGTGCTACGGACGCTGACATGGTTCTTATTCAAGGGAAGTGAAGGGATTGACATCCGAAGCACCATTCGCAAAGCTCTCGTCTTTCGCGGGATCCTGATCGGGTCTGTCAAGCAGTAAGTTTGGCTCTAGTCGCAACTTTTATCAGAGTGCTAAGTATACTTACCACCTTCACCTCCCTTTTGCGTAGATTCGAAGATATGAACCGTCTCATCAAGGCTCATCAGATACATCCTGTCGTGGACAAGGTGTTCTCGTTCGAGCAAGCTACTGATGCATATGCCTATCTGGAGTCGCAGAAGCATGTAGGGAAAGTCGTCATCAGTGTTTCGAAGAACTGAGTCAGGTATGTCAGGGGAGAAAGAAAGTGCTTTCTGTATGAATATTTAGTCGATATGTGGTAAATGTATTCTAGTTTGTGCTCTAAAAACTGCCTGATTTCGAGTGGCCTTGCCAATCATGTGACTCTGGACTCAGATCTGAGCTAGGCTGCGACTTTCAGTTTTCTCATCTATTGCATAGAAGGCTATCTACCAGATAATAGTCATAACGAGCAACTCGAAGTGCGGGGAAGTACACATCACAATTACCTTAGTATAAGCCCCGGACTAACAAGCTAATACATAATGGTTTATTCTTATCTCCTCCGAGCGGGCATTGTAACAGTACTACTACTATAAAGCCAACAACTGGTCTGACACATTGACTTTTTCGGGTTTACAGTTCACCTACATATTTCTCGCAACCAGCTCACAACGCGTGTCTAGACGTTTTTCTACTGTTACAAGAATTATCCCTTGGTGCAGGAACTCTCGGAATTCCATGCCATCGTCAACATCGTCAATCCTGGTGATCAGGCCGAACGTACCAGAGCCAGCGCGACGCTACGAGCCTGGTGGATATCATCCAGTTAACGTCGGTGAGATATATAACCAACGCTATCAAGTGGTTCGACAGTTAGGTTGGGGTCAGTACTCCACAGTTTGGCTCGTCCAAGACACTCGGTTTGTGCTAAACGTTGTGGCGGTCTAACGCTTCTGACTGACATTTTTTTCTTTTCTTTTCTTCTTGTGTTCGTTAGGGATGGGCGTCCAGCCGCTATGAAGGTTCTGGTAGGCAAACTTACCAATGACAAAAGCGGTTGGGACGAAGTTGGCATACTTAAAGTCCTCCGTCACAGGAATCCAAATCAGTTGGGGTATGACCATGTTTGCCAACTGCTAGACGATTTTGTCGGTTCAAGGTCCTAACGGAGCACACATCTGTCTTATAACTGAGCCTATGGGTCCCACGGTGCTCTATATCTATGAATGTGTTTCCCGCGCCATGCCTCTATCTTTGGTGAAGCGTATCTCCAAGCATGTCCTGCATGCTTTGCAATACATACATGAAGAGTGTGGCTTAGTTCATACGGGTGAGCCTCTTATTTGCTATCATAAAGCCTCGTTATTGAGCTCCTTCCTGATATAAAAGGTGATAATATATTCATGACTACACCATCTGCAATGGAATCAGCAAGTGTTGAATTACACGAGGATGACTTTGTCTCTACAATCTTCAAGCTTGCAGATTTTGGTGCCGGTATGTCTTCATTTTGTGGTACTTTCCGAAGTAGCGCCTCGTGACTATTTATTAGCCAACAAGATATCAAATCGCTATGCGGCGATCATCCAGCCTGAGGCTCTACGTGCTCCAGAGGTCATCATCGGTGCAGAGTGGGACACTACAGCTGATATTTGGAACTTTGGTTGTCTCGTAAGTAGTAAAAACCCATAGTCTTGGTCTTTGGCCTGCTTGCAAACTTGATCCAGATGTATGAATTCGCGCGAGGAGCGAAGCTCTTCGATCCTTCTTGGGATTGTGAGGTGTCTGGGATGAACTCTGCGCAAACACACCTCGCACAGATGGTCGGTCTGCTAGGAGAAATCCCTAGTACGTTGTTGGAGAAAGGGAAGCGTTCAGAGCTTTACTTTGATGCCCAAGGTCAGGACCATTTACGCTTTTCGATAGCTGAGTGAATGCTGACGAGGATGATTAGGACGTCTCCTGCGTTCGGGGGCGTACTTTATTACTCTTGAGGAGCTCTTGCAAAGGACTGATCATCATTCACCCGAGGACGTTTCTCTAACGGCCGACTTCCTGTCCCAAGCACTGAGGATCGATCCACAAAAACGCTGGTCGGCGTCTCAGTTACTGCAGCACCGTTGGCTTTCAAACACGGACCAAAGGTTAGTATACATGTATTCTAGAGCTACATGCAAATTTTTAGACCACTTTGGCCTGCACTCGACTCATGATTCCTTTTTACAAGTGAAGTAGGACAAATAAGACTTCACCGAGTACAATCATGGACTCTATAACCTCGACTTTGGCCGATGCGGGAGACTCGAGACTGCTTTGCCCTACAGAATTCGCCGCCATATTCCCCAAGCAGATTATCAGTCACATGCGTCCCAACCAGACTGCCAAAGCCGGCTTGATCAACGCGAGAACCATCCGTCGTATCAAGGAGCTGTGATGGGAAACAGACGCAGTGCAGCGAACCCCAGTTGAGCAAGGTCGAAAGCGAAAGTTGAGCTCACTCAATATTGCGGTATGATCTCCATTGTGTGTGAAAGCGTAATTGGCTATATGGTGCAGTTCCTTGAGGATTAGTATTGAGCGCATGATTGACGTCTATGTTTCTGAGCTTCAGCAAGAAGTAGAGGTAGGCAAACGAGGCTGAGGCTGAGGAGTAAAAGAAGGGAAGGGGAGCGAACGGTGATGAAGAAAGCAGGATGGGACTGGGAACTCTAGCTCGTCGTATAAATCGCGAGAGAATGACCAGGGACCGAGGCACTGATACCACATTGCACCCTCCCCCTCCCCTTCATCGCTGCTCACGTTCTCACCACCATGAGGCGATTGTCATGAGGGAATATATTTTTCTGGAATTGTGGGGTTAATAGAAAGCATGACCCTGCCGGTGGCAGTCTCTCAGTCTGGCTAGCTACATCGCAGTGCGCTCAGTATTCAGTCCCCCATACCTCTGCATCGTTGCTACAGCTTCATCGACGTCAAACCGTCGACCTGATCACGTCCCAGATGGGTAAATCGATTGCCAATTAGGTCGTTCAATGAGCAGCTTTCTTTTTTGGGGGTAACAGACCTGGGTGATAACAGATAGAAGTTAGTCTTGAATCCAGACGCAAGCACAGAAAACCAAGAGGCAATTCACAATAACATCGACGTCGCCATTCACGTCGGCGCACAGGCTATATCTCAAGTCTTTATACAGACGCATGCTCATTGACAGGAATGAGCTGGGCTGTAAGGTGAGATTTAGGGAGGGGCATCTTTTATTTTACTTGGCTCTCAGAAAAGGTCCTCACATCGCACCATGCTATCGTCCATCTCCAGAACACATGTCGATGTTTACTCGAGCAATAATTAGTGAATATGACTCCTCAATTCAATTCAACGTTGCTATGCAAAGAAAGAAAGAAAAGTTCGCCATCCCTCACAATTGCACCAGATAGATGCCAACTCCCTCGCCCTCCGGTACAAGCCCACTGACATTCGTCCTGGAGTTAACGCTGAACACCCTCTCCACCTGCTCCGTTGCATTCGTCAATCCACCCAATCCGATGACATCAAAGGCTACAAAGGACGGGTCTAAGAGGGTGTTGGTGAGGATGATCAGCGCGGTGTTGGGTCCGATAGTAGCGTTGGAGCCAACGGGGGAGTCGCGTGCTAACAAAGTTGGGGCATTTTCCAGTGAGCTGACGGTAGAATTCGAGGCAATGGTGCCATTCCACCAGATTCCGACATCGACACCATTTATGAAATATGAGTCGAATTTTCCATCCACGGCTTCATTCACCCCACTACTGATGCCTTCACCAAACACGTATGGCAATACCACACTGTCAAAGACGCCGCTAAACCCAGGTGCAGTCCCTTCGATGGTGGTCACATTACCTGTCGTCGTCGGATATGAGAACGAGACGGATCCACGGGCGCCGTGGGTTAACGACAAGAAAGTGAATGCAAGCCATTGTTGGCCCGTTGGCGTAGCGTTCCAGTATCGAAGACTAGCGTATTTATCAGGATGAGTATGGAGTGAAGGCAAAGAGAAATGGAACTAACCCCTCGCTCTCGAACGCTTGAGGCACACTCCATACTGCCTTGTCCCTTTCCCAGCCCATGATTTGCATGCGCTCCTTGAACGAACCCACCCTTTGCCTAACATCGACGAGCGAGCCGACGCAGTTGTCACACCCACAGTTTCCAAAATCTGGTGTACATGATGTATTCCAGACGGACGAATAGTTCGGGTTAATGCCCATGGGATATGCATCCTGGTTAGAATGCAAGGACGCGTCAGCACAAAGGAGAAATTACAGCAAAAGATGGGGCTCAATACTTGCCTGTAACACCACATCTGCCCCTTTCGCAAATTCCTCCCAGCCGTAATCCTCACATGCATGTCAGAACGATCGAGATGGGGTGGTAGCCATCCAGCTCGTGAGTTGCCTTGTAGGCTGCTTGCACAGAGGCTGCAGATGCATTAAGCGCGGAAAGTGAGACTGGGCCGTCTGGCTGGTGAGCGGTTTCGTACTGGAGGAGGTTGGGGAGGGTGGAGAGCGTTGGGACGAGGGAGGAGAGGGCGGTTATGTTCGTGTATGTCCTGTGTTGCGGATAAAAGTCGAAGGTAAGTGGCTTGAACGGAGATACTAGGCGCAAGGACTCACGAATTCATATCGCAGACGATGTACATGTCTCTTTGTTGCATGTATTCGGCTACAGTTGTAAGTGTTGTTGCGTTGATGTAAGGCGAAATCGGGTGGATCTGCACAAATTGTTTGAAGCACGTAGAGATATGCGTTGGGTTACATGGATGTTCAAGTGCGTAGAAAAGAAGCAACGGGGATCAGGACGAACAGTGTGGTCAGATTTTGTTCTCATCAATCTCACAAGGGACTGTTTACTTACGGTGTTGAATCTAAAATATGACAGAAAGCAAATGAGGTCATCAAGCATTAATATCATATCAACCCTCTGAAAATCACGACCCACCCATCGGCGACCAACACATCAATAACGGACAGATTATTCGCCAGATAGTCGAGATCAGCATAGAAACCGTATGGGAAGAAGGGGCGAAAACCCGAGGGAGCAGCTGCGCATTCACATCATCACAGGTGAGTACTAAGCAGTCGTGAAATGAATATTAATACTGACCGCCTGTTGTACTTCCAGAACCAGAGTAGTTCGCAGGTCTAACCCACAGTGCACCCGTCAGGGCGTCCATTTTGGTAACGCTACCAGAAACAGGGTCAGGAAGATAAAAGAGCAAAGTGGTGGAGCGGAAGATTTGAGAGGATGTATTGGACGAGCTGTTTGTGTTTGGCAAGCTCGGGAGAGTTGTGTTTGAGCCTGATGAGTGTGGAGAAGCTTTGGGATTGACAGAAGTTGCGGTGGGCAGAGGCTTCGAAGTCGTATAAGGGCTTGGAGAAGATCCAGACGAAGAAGGAGCATAAGCCGCCTCACAGGTAATTTCATACGCTCCCTTCTTTGGGACCACGCCACTGAGGTTGAGGGGTATCTGAAATCCAGTGACGTTGAGAGGGACAGTAGTTCGCGCAAGAATCAGTCGCGAATTTGCCTCTTGAGACGAGTTTGACGAGGGGGGAGTGGGGAGTGGCTGGTCAGACGAGGAATTAGCTGTTTCAGATGATGAATTATCGAGGGAGAGCATGATGGTTAGATTTAAAGACCCTCCCGTATCGCTACCATTTACGGTCCCTCTCGCTTCGACATCACCGAGGTCGATATCTTGCGCTCCTTTGATTTTCCTGTATCCGACGACAGTGTCGACGACCATGATTACACCACCTCCATCTGTGTATACATCGCTTTCAAGGTAGGGACGGAAAGCAGGGGTGCAGCGTAGAGCGAGGAGAGGTGAAGACGAGAGTTCTGGCAAGGAAAACTTGTTACCAGGAGGTACGACGGGTTGATTTTGCATGTAGTTTTTGCCGCACCTATGATGGAAACGTTGGCGATGAAGAAAGCATGAGTGTTGATAGGTTAAGAAGAGTAGCCCAGGCTTCGGTGGAAGGAGAGACGTACCATGTCTGAGCAGATGCTCCTCTAAAGAGGTAAGTCGCGAAATAGGTCGCCGCAGTGAGTACACTAGCGTATCTCATCCCAATTGAATTCCCTTTAGACGTGAAAGCCACGAGACAAGCTGGAGAACTGCTGTACGAAAAGGAAATGATACCTGATCAGTAGCATCCTGGTGCTACTTATAGCTATGAGGTAGGAGGGACATATAATGATTCCGTACGTATTTGGTGATGTTCACGTCGCTTTTAGGTGCGCAGCTGTTGGTGGGCGAGCCGCAGTTTGGATGAGGTTATTGACGAGTGTGAGCAGCCGTATTCCTCAGATGCTAATATCTCAATTTTGCGTTCAGCAATAGACCAAAAGAAAGCTTCGCGTGTCATTGGATATTTCACCTTGTAATCCCACATTTTCAAGGGAGTAGAGTATGGTGCAGCAGAACGACTCAAGCACTGACTAGAAGTAAGTTTGGTCGACACACCCTCCCTGGTACTCGATGAACGAAGTGAATACTTATAGAACAAGATTCCAGAACTAAAAAAGCACTCACCCGTTCCTCGTTTAACTTGCTTTCTGCTCAGTCCGACCTCGACGGCGATCAACCCTGGGTGATCCGCATTCGCTTTTATGATACCATATTTTACCTTATTCGCTGAACATCCTCGTATGTGCGGATTCTCTCACTGCCCGCAGCACGGTGACCTCATATAGACGCGGACTGGACGGTAATCCTGCTGCGCAGCTTGCGATAGTGTAGTATTCTACCAGAAACTTATTTTGTCAGCACTCAAGGGTGGCGCTCACTTCAAGTCCAGTCACGCCAGACACGTCACGGTCACGTCGATGATCACTCACGAACATGAACGCAGGCTCGTTCAACAATGTGAGCAGTACCATCATGCATTACCAGTACTAGTACCTCACACGTCGTCAGAGTTATCTGTGTATCCCTCGTGTGCATGTCATTCTAGAAAGTATTTCCACTAGCTTTTTCATCATCCTTTTTTGCGTCAGGTGCAAATGAACTGTCAAAGTATAACATTACCATTCAATGAGTGCCCTACTACCAATGTTCTCCTAATGTGCCGGCGTGCGTGCCTGTTGCCTCTATTGATCTACATTGATTAGTCTAACTATCGGCAACCCCCAAAGGTGTGTCTATCTCCCTATCACACAGTGTCTTCCCTCTGCGCGTAATAGACAACAGCTGTGGATCACTAAACTCCGCCTTAACAAATGACAACAAGGCGAACAGGGATGTCAGATGTGTCTCTCAGACTATCGTACACTAACATCCACGTACATACTAGATTCCTTGCCCCTCTACTTCCGCTTCAACAGGGACTGTAACAAGCTTTTCTTTGGCTTCTTTGATGTTTCGTCCCTTGCTATCATCGAACGGAGGGGGGCACTGGCGGATGCTGACGTTGACGCAGGCATTACATCGGTTCCATTTCGTCTATCTGAAAACTGTACTGAAAGACGCTCAGTTCTTTTTACATTGTTAGCATATGGTCTCAACAATACCGCTACTTGGACCCGAGTTCAGGGGGACTGGGAGAGCGAGGAAGCGAGTGCGACATTGTCTTCGTAGGAGGGATCGTTGTATGGACGAGGGATGCTATGTGCGGCGGTAGTAGGACGAAGGACGGCGGGTGAGCTAGAAGGTATGTGAGACATAGCGGGTGAGAGGTGGAGGACGAGCAGTGGAATAAACCAGGCACGTCCCAGTGGCATCTCGCGCTGAATTGCAAACTCAGGCTATCAGCAAAGAGGACAACAACGTTCACGATCGCAGGGACAAGCACACTACTCACAGATGATGACATCTGACAAGATTAACCCAACGACACCATACACTCTGCACCCGATCAACGAACGGGTCAAGAAGGGTGGGTACGGTGCAGCGCTACGAACACGCAAGGACAAGGGTAAAAGTGCGTGAGTGCGAACGAGGGTTGGGTTAGTAAAAGGCATACCTGTGAGTGTCTGTCTGTCTGTCGCTACTTGACAATCTTACTAGCAGCCACTCATAATCGATCCACGCTCAGTCTTGTCTACATCGTTGAGTAATTTCGCCATGTCAGAGAGACTTATATTGGTATATCAATCAATAATCAGGTCGTCCCTACCAACGACCTTTCTTCGTCTTCCATTTGGGCCGTTCTTTAAGCTTCAACTTACAAGTCTCTCTCGAACCGCCCACTTTCATCATTGATGCTCTGTAGCCTGACTGCCACAAGGACCGGGCATCCTTTGCCTTTATACCTCAATCGTGTACTGAACAACATCCTACTCCCGTAATTCCAAGGGAGTATCGATATCTTCGTCGAGCAATGCGACTCCGTGCGACACACACGTAAACGACGGCCGTAAAACTATGCTCTAAATAAGCCTCGCTGGTGGACTATGAAGAGAGCACCGTCCTCGCTCGAGTAAGCTGGCCCTCGACTAGGGCGAGATTCTGTCAATGGAAATCCGGATGACTTACTCAACCTCCATTTCGCACAACCTGACAAGGTCATACGTACTGTTAGCACGATGCTGACATCTTCGATCCTGTGGAGCTCTGAACTAAGCCTCTCATAGATTCCGCGCTGTTAGCTTTGGATGGACGCTATTATATGTTGTAGCGGTACGTGTCTTGACAATCCTTCTACTGCTGGAACTCATGAGTGACGGTAAATTCAACAGTATCAAGCAGATCGTCGAGGGGCCGTATAATGTACGTCAATTCTTGTCCCGGTCCCCCTACCCATCCTGTATCTTGACTATCTGTTCCCATTCACCCCCCTCTATTTTCGCACCAAACCGGCTACAACCACACTTTCGTCAGCCCCACGCACCCAGGCTGATCAGATTTTTGTTCGTCGTTCCTCAGCCTGCGCTACTCCTGTGGACTCTCGGTATCGATCCAAGCGCTTCATCAGCTCGCAAATACGAGTGGTGAGAAAACGTCGTGGACGAGTCAAGCCTGTGGACGGTCATTACCCACAAACACAAATGTACTGATCTCAACGGCTGCCCAACGAAACTATGCTGGGCGCTACCGCCACTTCTGATGGAGGTGTCATAGTTTATCAAAGAGTACATTCGGGTTCCGCTATTTCCTTCCTGTCTCTCAATCCAGAAACCCAAACGAGGTTAGATGAGACGGCGAATAAAACAAAATGAACATGGAACGAAATGACAACGAATGAACAGAAGAATGTCACGAAGCAGCGTCCATTGATAGATACAGACAGGTACAATAAAATGAAATGAAAAACCGAAAAGAGCAAAGAGAAGGGAAAGAATCAGACGTGAGCACAAATAAAGATAAATGACTATACAACCCAACATCAACCGGGGTAAGCTCCTCTTTGTCCGACATGGGAAAAAGCGGAATAGCGCTCTGGGGGCACTATAAATGTGACGAAGAAGTTTGAAGCTCCAAGGAGCCGATACGATGCGGTTGCGAGGAGGAAGATGGGCAGCACGAAAGGATGGTATGAAGGGGGCGGTTTGGGTTATTGGAGGCAGAAGGAGCCGTAGAAAGACGGGGATAAGCTGCCCTCTGTATCCGCCGAACATAATCTGAAGTCCAAACTGGCCCTGTTCATTATCGACAAGGGCACATAACCGCACTCATCCTTTCTTGCCTTTCCCCATGTCTCGACAAGCCCTATACGGCCTTCCCAGTCATAAGACGCGAGTCTCAAGCATAAAAACCACATGGACCAGAGACCCCCAGTCGCGTACTGCGATAGCCCGGGTGGACTGTAGGGCACGACTGGACGAGCCCACACCAAACCCATCCTTCCTCGCACATCAATCACCGCAAAACCTCTCCAACCTCGCTCACCCTCCCATCCCCATTCCTCTCGCTCACCTCCTTGCATACTACTCCTCCTGCATTTGTATTTGCACTTGTCCCTCTCCCCACCAGTCCTCCCACTCCCACAGACCTCAATCCACCCGTCCCACTCCCACTCCCAGACTCCACCGACCCAGACCCAGAGCGCGCCGTGTACATCGACATCGCCACCGACATCGACAAGGACGGCGCAGGCGACAACGTATGCGCGCTCCGTGCACTGCGCATCGACGACGCCGAGTATATCGAGCGCGAAGCCGTCGATGCCGTCGACGACAGGGAGGGCGTAAAAGACGCGAAGGGTATCGAAGGGACGGAGGGCACCGAGGATGTCGTGGTGGTGGATGCGTTGGTGTTGGCGGTGAGCGAGGAGTACGCAGACGGCGCCGTTGACGGCGCGGGCGAGAGGGGAGGCGCGTACGACCGCATCGAAGGCCCGGCTGACGAGCGTAAAGACGAGCGCGGAGAGTGTGTAGCGTGTACACTCGACGGCGCCTCACGCGAGCCGAAGGACTCAATGGTAGGCATCCGTTGGACCGACTTTCCAAGCATGGGGATGCGGACATCAGGGTAGCCTCGGGAGTTGGAGGTGTGCGACGACGCTGCTGGGTGGGCGAAGGGGGAGTAGGAGGCTGGAGCGGGGGAGTACGAGAAGGGTGAAGAAGCGAACGAAGAGGAAGGCGCGTCAGGTGGAGCTGCAAACTGCAGCCCAAGCCCAAACTCATCGTACGGGTCGCGGAAATCACGAGAAAAAGACCCAGGATCAAGGCCCTGGCACGACCACGTCACACTCTCCTCTTCCTCCTCCTCCTCATCGCTCACACTCTCGTCATAGCTATACTCCCCCCTCGACGAATGCGACGCCTGGGCCATCCTCAAGCCTTCGCTCGTCTCGCGCGCCACCTGCGACACGATGGCGCGGAACCGCGATGCAAAGCTGTTCAGATCCGCGTCTGAGATGGAGGCCGAGATGGGAGAAGTGGTGATGAGGTGTTCCTCGTCTGACGCGTTTGAGGGGAGACGTTTCGCCGGTATTGGGTTCGTGCGGCGGAGGGCGCGGGGAGTAGGCGCTGGGGTGAGGTTATCGGCCGGAGGGCTACTTGACCTGGCGTAGGCATTGACGTTGGCGTTGACGTTGGCGTTGGAGGAGATGGGGCTTGAGATCTGACGCATCAGCAGCGGAATGGTGTTACTGGAAGGCGACGTCCTCGTACTCGCGCTCCCATTTGCCAGAGCTGCAGCCACATTAGCAGGCGGCGAAGACTGGCCTGGCACGAGCGTCGAGCTGGACGAGTGCATGGCCTGTGCTACCGACATCGCCGCCCCCGCAGCTGCGTCCTTCGAGTTCGAGTGCGACTGGGACCGTGAGCGAGGGAGGGCGAAGAAGGTTGATTTGGAGCTCGAATTTGAACCCGAGTTGAGGCGGAATTGGGACTGGGAGAGCGAGGAGGTGGGGGCGAGGGTGTCGTCGTCATCTACGGAATATGAGGGGTGGTCGTATGGCCGTGGGACGCTGTATCGTGTTCGCGTACGACGACGGTAGGACGAGGGACGGCGAGTGAGCTGGTAGGTATGTGAGACATACAAGTACAAGGCCTGCAATAAAAGTGGTGAGTGAGCTATATATACAACATGCAGACGGACGTACAGAGACTACGAAGGTGAACACCAGGCGGACAGACGCAGCAGCCACCCAAGCAGCGAATGACGGATGAGGAGAAGTGGAGGGGCAATGGAATGAACCGGGCACGTCGGACCAGACGACGTCGACGTCCCAGTGGCATCTCGCGCTGACATGCAAACTCACGCGATCAGTAAAGAGTACAGCGATGTTAACGATCGCAGGGACAAGGAGAAGAAAAGCAGACGCAGTGCGAAGTGCGATAAGCACGCGAGGATAGGGGAAGGAATGGTGGTGGTACAGTTTAGGAAGTAGGAAAGCAAACACCGGAAGTGCAGCGCTCATCGCACCCACCACACCGAGAGAAAGAGACAGAGCGAGCGCAGGGGAGGTGTTGACAGCCGCAAAAGCGATAAAGTAGCGGATGGTGGTGTAGGACGCCCATGCGACTGCAGACTGCAGGTTTAAACGGGAGTTTATGAATGGTGAGAACGTGCTTACCAATGACAACCTCCAGCACGCTCCTCACCGCTCTAAACCTCCTAATGCGCCGCCTGATTGTCCTATCACGCACGGTTTTACGTTCCATTGCTGTAGGCTGATCCCCAAGGAGGTTAAGACCAAGGTCCCATCCTGGAGTAGGCCCGTCTGGGTGGGTCGGCTGGCGCGATATAATGTCATGGTACGCATGGGATTCGAGGGTCGCTGAATGGAGAAGATGTTCAGTGGGGTGTGAGTGGTCTGAGACGGAGTTGAGGAGTGTTGCGGCAGAGTAGGAGCGAGTGTGTTCAGGCTGGTGAGAGTCGGTGTCGGGCGTGTAGAGAGCGTGGTGGAGATACAGCGCGGCCATGTAGGTTGAGTCTGCCCACCTCAGATATCGCTACTCAAACACAACCAGGGCCCGCACTCGGCGTCGAGCAAAGAAAAAGAAAAAGAAAAAGATCAGGGCTGTCGAGGACTGAGCCTCGCATAAAAAGGAGAGTGTCTAGAAAAGCGTTAGTGTTTACAAAATGGTTTCATACAAAGAGACTAGAAGCCCCACCTAATCTCCAACCACGTGTATTTCATCCAATTCAATTCCTTACGGTATCATTTGCCCCCCCTCGAACAAGTGCGCTGGAGGATACGACGACGACGACTACGACGAAAGGGCGGGGAAGGGAAAGATGCCTGTCGAGGGGCTCACATTCGCTTGGCTCATTATCTTATCTTGACCGCAGTCACATACCGTACGCGCGGTGCAGCCGTTATGCATTTGAAACCTGTGCACTCACTGGTGACATCGTTTCCTTCCATCTTTCTGATTATGACACTAGGCTATGTCTTTCCTTTCTCCATCAATCCGTCTCACTCCCATTTTTGCATCCGACACACGCGCTGACTGAACATGGCACTTTGGTCTGACAAAACACTCTGGAGCCACTCGGGAGTCTATTGCCCGCCCGCACCCGTACGCTCTCGGTCATAAAGACATGGCCAGCCCAGCGTCGACTCGCTCTCTCTTATCGCGCCATCAGCGCATGTTTCTTAAATAGATCACCACCAGTGCCAGTGCCAGTGCCAATGCCGTCGATGAGAACGACAGGGCCATCTCATAAGACTCCCCTCGCCATCTTTATCTCCTATCACCCAGACACCAGTCCAAGATCACCTCCCAGGCCCAACACATCCCTTTCCACATTTTCTCATCATCATATCAACATCTACACAGTGCCCAAACGTCGCCCACTCCCGCACCCAATCGCATCCCAAAAACACAAAACATAGAATTGACGAATCACAGGTAATAAAAACAGACACAGAAACGAATCATCCCACACATCGCCTCAGCTCATCAAACTCTCCTACCGCAAGCCCCATTCGCTCCCCGTCCCCGCTCTCGCCCTGCTCCGCGAGAAAGTCAGCCAGCCGTGCCTTCTGCGCAGCAGTGAATGGTCCACCGCACAGCGTCGCGTATGTATGTAGCAGTCTATAGTATGCCCCGAGTAAATCAGCATGTCGTAAAAGAGAACAAAGAAATAAGATGTGCAAGTGAATCCCAAGAACATGGACATGGGATTTTGAAAATCCGAATGCATGCACCACAAATAAAATAACAACCCACCTAGCCAACTTCTCCTCCAAGTCCACATCACTCTCATGCTCTCCATCCCTTCCAAACGGCACAGGCAACACAAGCGCACTCACCACTCCCTCCACCACTCCCCTCTCACCCTTCAGCGCCTCCAGCGTCGCTTCTGACGTCGACACCGAGTTGGGATCGGACAACATCGATGCGTGCGAGTTTGGGTGCACGGGATGTGATGCGGCAGGCTGCGAATCGGGCGTGTGGAGGCTGGATCCGGCCGTTGACGTCGTGGGAAGGGGAGGAGAGGGGACGAGGAGCGTGTTGAGCATGAACGCTGTCTTCCTGCGTACTGAGATGTCAGAATCTGTAAAAAGTCACGCGTTTTTTTTAGTTTCGGTCCCTCACATCACAGTGGAACATTCAGGAGAGGCGGGAGTAAGAGGCAGGGGGGCGCAGGAAACGCGTACCTTCGAGCGTAGTTTGCAGCGCACTCCACCCATCTGCAGCGCCGAGGGCGCGTACGGCTGGTGCGTTGTGTTTCAGCAGACCCGAGAGCGCGTAGAGCGCCTTTGAGCGTGTTTGTGACGAGTTGGAGGAGGGGGGAAGCAGGGAAAGCAGGGTGGGAAGGGGGGAGAGGGAGAGGTACTGTATTAGCGTTGGCCCCGACGTGCGTTTAATGAGTCAAGGATGGTGTATGCCAAGCAAAAAGTTAAAAATGACAAATTGTCACCATCAGCTTCTACGAATATACTTCTGTGAGAAGAGACGAAGGAGAGTACTCACACTGGTCTGCGCCGAGGGGTTGTTCTGCAGCGCGGTTCCTATGACCCACAGCGTTTGCGTCTTGAGAGGCTCGGATGAGGAGGGGATCGTGAGGAGGTTTTGCAAGGGCTCCCACATTTTCAGCTTTTCTAGGTCTGGTTTCGATGAGTTCAGGTCAAGTCGATAAAGATAAGATAAGATAAACACGAGTCAAGCGTCATCGCCGCCCAAGGGCGAGATATGGCGACGGACGAAGGAGAATGGCATGTGAGATAACTGACTATTAGCATTATCAATATTCTCCACCAACTACACATCGCACAATCAGCACTCGCTTCATTCCATCCCCAAAATGACCCAAAGTGACTCACCATCTCGAGGTTATCCAAGGCCGTCGCCCTGTCCTCGTCGCTCTGGGTCTCGTCGAGCGCTGCGGCGAGGGCTTCTTTCATGAGGACTGCATCGGATTTGCCGAGGATGTGGTCGATGATGGCTGGGTCGAGGTCGCGTCGGGGAACGGGCGGTTGGGAGGTGTCGGTGTCGGTGGAGGGGGTGGAGTTCTCGATGCCCCAGCGGAGGAGGGATTCCATGGTAGATCTAATGTAGACTTTCGATATGTGTCGCAGATAAGTTAGGTTACAGATTCAGAATGCAGTTTCGTCGATGCGATTGTGAAATGAGATGGTTAAAACGTAGAGATACAGATCAATGTGTAGGGATCATAAGAGAACGAAAGCTGAGCTTGACGCTGTCAGTTTTAGGGTCTTACAGGATTTGAGGATGGACGGGAAGATGCTGGAATCATCCATCTCTTTCTCCGTTGACAATCCGTTCGGACGGTTCAGAGTCTGCACAGGCTGACTCGGCATTTACCATCGGCGATACGAGCGGGGTTCAGACTGTCACCTCATAAACAACATAAAAAACTGTTCACACTTTGTCTCTTTTGCATTGTGTCGCGAGGACGTTTACCTGGTTGCTTACTGTGAGTACGATTATTAATGACTGGTGGTGTGTCCCTTTCGTGGGCACGTCTTATTTGATTGTGATGATTCAAATTTTTACCATACGTTTTACCACATTCTGAACTACAAGCTGTGGACAAAAACATATTGATTTCAGCCTTGTCTGACCCATTCCATCTTCATGGCAAGTTGTGTATGCTTTGATGCTGACGATGATTTTCGGTTTCTAGAATGACATGCATCTGTTGAACTGGAGGCAAATGATATGGTGTGTACTTGTTCCCTCCTTCGCTTTCTGTATCTGGTTTTCGAACTATGACATTCGACGATGATAACTCTGATGGGCGGACAGAACTGTTCCCTTTCCACACAGTCTCCCTGTGTACAATGTGGAGGCGGGAAGGGCACTTGTCGAAACGCATCGACTCACTGATCTTTCTTTTGCTTTTTCTCTCTGGATTGTGGACATTGATTTACTGACTGATATTTGTCTTGTTCAGTTGATGTTCGACGACTAATAATGCTGTGTACTATATGTGTAATGAATAAGATTGATTGTGATTCTTATGGCAGTGATGTTGACTGGAATGGTTTTGGGTGCTGGTGCTGTGACAACGATGGTACCTAAAGCCCCTGGTTGGGTACAAGACTGTCGAAGTGAATGAAAGAGTCAGCCCAGTCAGGTGCTATCACCGCTGGAAGTGAGGGTGATAACGAGAGGGAGATGAGAAACATGGTCAAGGCATGGTGTCCGCCTCGACTTTTCCATTCACGGTCCCTTGAAATAACTAAATGGAAGGAAGCATTGCGTTATAGATGCTTCTTTCCAATCAATATATATAAACCCTGCCCCTCCCACCCAAAGCGTCTATCCTGTTCCAACAGCCTCTGTATCATTGTACCATTACACATTACTGCCAACGCATAGGGATGCACAGACGGGTTGTCCAGACTGTAGCTGCGGCGTGGAAGTGGAATGGAGAGACAGAGGGGGAGCGTGATTACGAAGGAGGCTCGCGGAGTGCAGTGGCCTCTAACGGCGCGGGCCAGCGACTGTCCTCACACCACGACCGCGATTACAGCCTTCACGTCCAGACCACCTTTGATGCACCCGCCCCTCCCATCCTAGCCTCACAACCCAATACCACCTCAGAACAGCCGCGAGAACGCCCATCGTGGAGACGCATGAGCTCACCAGGCGGACGCTCCTTTGCAAGCCTCTCCAGCTTGGACGACGGCGATGGCAGGCTGCGCACAAGTCCAGAGAGCATACGTGCCAGCCCAGAGAGCATGCGGCGCAGCAGTGCGTCACTGGGGCGCGTCGTAGAAGAAAATGATGCGTATCCGGACGACGAGGTGCACAATGCGGATGTACGTCCCAATGAGGACGACGAAAACGAGGACTACGAGTGGGAGCTGCAGGAGCGTGGCTTCTATAACGGTCAGATCCCCCTTTCTTTCTTCATATATCTTTTGTTATCGTCTTACGCGCAAATGCATGTCATCCGTGTGCTCTGAAAACGTGTCTGTAATCTGTATCTAACCATTGCCGTCGTCTCCCCAGGTTCATATTCCCGCTTCATAACCCTCTATACTTTCGTACCCCTCACCGCCCTGCTCACCTTTATCGTGCTCGTCGTCCTACCGCTCCTTTTCTGGCCCGCGTCCGCAGATCCTCACCCCCATACACGCTACTTCCCCTCTCCCCTCCCCGAATTCCTCCTCTCCTCCTCCCTCTTTGCTCTCTCCCACCTCCTCCGCCTCCCGCTATACACCCTCTCCTCCATCCTCCTCTCCCCCTTCCACTCCACCACCGCCTCCACCGTCCTCTCCACCACTCTCTCCGTCATCCTCTCCACCCTCCTCCGCCTCTCCGCCCTCGCCCTCCTCAACGTCCGCCATGCCATGGACTATCCCTACCCAACATGGAAAGACCCCGCGTTCGGCAGGGTATGGTGGCTCTCGCTCAATGTTGCCGAGGTCGTGATTGCGATTGTGCAGGGGTACGAGCAGGTGGCGCTCTATCGCGACGTTATGGTCCCTGATGGGCGAGAAAAGGAGTTTTTAGAAGGCCTAAGAAATGCAGAGGGCCTCAACGGGAATGGGAATGGGCGTGTAATAGGGTACGGGAGAAAGCCAGTAGTGGGACAGGTGTTTGACGAACCCCTTGATGCGGCTGACGCACATGCAAACGCAGATGGGGCCCCTGGGGGATACGACGTCGAAGGTGGAGATGCCAATGGCAGAAGTGGCCAGGCGCGAGGAGCGGACAACCGTGCTTGGGCGCTCTCCTCCCAGATCGACCACGACTTTGACCAGCTCCTCGCTCTCAAAGCGAGGGAAGAGCTCGAGGAGGTGTATGGTGTGCCTGTCATAGTGCGTCATTCCTCCCTTCCCTCCAAGTCTTCGTCTAAACTTGATATTGACTACTTGCTTTTTATTTTGAACAATAGAAAATACCGATATTCATATCCTGTCTCCAACGCTCAACTCCATCATCTCTCGTCGGACTCACCCTCTCTCTCAGCGTCTACTACGCTGCTTCCTTCTCCTTTCACGGCCCACTCTCCGTACGGCTTCGAACGCCC